TCGTAGTCAGATGCCTTGACCATTGGGCCACGAGGCCGCCCATATATTTCCTCTCCTGTAGTCCTATACTTATAACCCCGTCCATTAGCATTTTCAGCTTGAAGTATTGTCCGACGAGGCATTTTTGGTAACCGCAGTACGCTTTCAGAGAACAGGCCGCACGAGACTTTTGTTCTCACGTTAGAACACCTTGCAGGCAAGTAGACGGACGTCCGGATATACAAGGTATTCAAACATCGTCAGATTCTGCCTTTTGCATGGGTTGGTTATTATTTAGAAGACTTGGGCATTAAAGGTTCTCATGTAACTTGGATGCGCTCCTACCTGGGTTTGTTGCCGCCTCAGTCCCCTGTGGTAGTGGGCAATCAGGGAAACGAATACATTCATTTTCAGTTCTCATCTCATCTCACTCCAGCCCTTAGACACGCGTTGCCGAGCCGCAACCAATAACTCGGCGCTCGGCCACCCGCTCAAGCTCGAATTCGGTTTCGGGGTGCTTTTCGTCAAGTGCTGTTGGAGAGCTGGCGGTGTACTTTCGGCAAAGGTATTCTTCAAATCGATCAATATGGATGCCAGCCTGCCTGCCTAGCTGATCATGGGCTGGTTTGATCGTCGGCGATCACCCGCATATGTGCTTTGACAAGGTGCTTCTTGCTGTAACACGAGTGCAGGTAAACATCTCATCCAGCCTACGTACTACTGCAACCTTGACTTGCTTCAACACCTTGGATCTTCGCCTTTGTCTGTGTCTGCGCCTGCGTCTGTGCTCGCGAAAAGGAGGGGTTCGCAAAGCATCATGAACCCCAGTACAGATGCATTCTGTAACGAATATATGGATCGCCTATTTCCACACAGGACAGGACCGTCCCTTCTTTCCAGTCTACTCCACAGTCCACCTCATCACTGTACCACCTTTGAGTTCAACCTTGGCGATCACTGCTGACCGGCTGCCTGGAATACTCCGCCGAGGAAACAGTTCTAGCGGACGGCACGCCTCGCTGAATGCTCATCGACACGGCGCAGTCACGCTCTTGATTCAATCCCGTCTTTCGCGTCCCACAGTATGACTCTGCGCACACTCTCCTCTCCATACAGAACGCGTCGCACCAGCGCTTAGGTCGATAGTCCTGCGCCAGACGCTTGCGTTCCATCTACCTTCGAAAAGATGGCGACCGGCACAGTGAAGCGAAGGACGATGCATTTGTACCTGCAGGGCTCCTGTAAAGGTTTTCGCAAAGTATACTGTGCGTACAATGCAATGCTCGGCGAGGCCAAGAACTTGATCAGTCATGGATCGCAACTGACTCATGCACTCTCTGTATTGCTTACCTGTTATCAAGGAGAGCGTCTGAGAGTTTCGATGGCCTCTCTTTCGAACAATGCCAAGAGCGCAGGATACTCTGTCAGCTTGCTTCTCCCAGATGAGCAAGCCCATGCATCTCCTACGCAAAGTTGGTTTCTCCCAACTCCAAGCCCTTGCCTGAGTGACGATGACAGAAATACAGCTGTCCCACTGTGCCTCCCAAAACGATCGCGATCCTCGACGAGAAGCAAGTGGTTCTCAGGCGGGCGCTCAGAAAGCATTGTGGAATTTCATTTAACTACGTCTCCAAGATCCAGGTCGCCATCCCCTGCTCTCCAAGCACCATTGGCGTACGAGACTTACCGGTCAGATCACACCTCCGGCAACACCACAAGAGGCGAAGAGTGCGACGGTATTTCGAAAACCGTAGCTGACGTCAACTGTGGGACCTCTATGATGGAGTGCCAGCGATGTGAGGCATCAAGTTGAAGCTCTTCAAACCGACTCCCGTGCCCTTTTTCAATCGCATTTCATCAGCCTGGACAGCGCCGCCACCTCTGGTGATCGACGTTGGCAAGGCAGTTACATTTCTCTGGATGAGCACCAGCCCTGCTACTCCTATCAACGCACTTTCCTCTCTGATCGAAGGAGAGCAACCATGCTTTCCCGCAGCCTATCAGCCCACACCACGCCGTCAGCTCTACAGCAGGTTCTGCCTGGTCACCCGATTCGTCGCAGGCGGACAGTACACCAGCAGAGCCGTTCCAGCCGCAGCCACCTATTGAGGATGCTAGCGGTCAACATATGCTGATGCCTTTCTCCTGAGAGTTAAACTAAGTTCCTTTCCAAGTGGCCTCTTCTTCATTCGGAAACTCGGCGTTGGGGACGGCGCGACAGCACTTCTCGACGCTTCTCAGCAGCAGCTGCTGCTGTTGACCTTCGCTCCAGACCATTACAGCAGCTCTTCATCACACAGAGACGCACACATCTGTAGCGGAAGAGACTTTCAAATAAAAACAAGTGACAAGTGGGCCATACGAGGTTTGCACCATCATCATTATTGTCGTTATCTGCGCACCTTCGCATGCGCCTGTGGGCGCGTTCCGCGAGCTTTGGGTGTTTCTGGCACAAAGCTTTTGCATCGCCTGCTCCAATACACCGCTGATGGAGCACTCGGTCTGACCCGCGACCTCCTATACAGATTTTTCTCTGAGCACCTTCTCCATCACTCTTAGTTCGGCTGGGCGCAGCGACACCCTTCAGCGCAGAGCCAAACGAAGACGGTGACCACCTCGCCGCCGAAAGATGCCTCCCTCATGTTACCACATTTTCCGTGCGCATATTGTCGCACACCTTTACATCGGGCACGCAATAGTGTATTCTAGCTGCCCCCTATATCATCCGTTGCACATGCGCATTCGTCTCGGCAAAAGCTGTAATAAGGCATGGATGTGACAACGTGATACAAGGAGAGGAGATCCTGTTATAAAATGCCCGTCTCCTCTATTGGCGGTAGCGGAGCTTCCGCGCGAGAAAAATGTAATAAAAATACCATTGGCGAAATAATGAAACAGAATCTGTAAAATCGACGGAATACTCAAATCGCTTATGTACATAAATGGGAATCGACTTCTCAATTCTTCATACTTGTATTCAATCTACCCAAGGCCTTAAAAGCTTGGCAAGCTGGCGAGCCTGTAATTCTTCAAACGCTTCCTATGCGACTATTTAGCGGCAAGTTCGCGGGAACGGTCGTATCACCCACCTTACCACGTGCAGCACTTACGCGCGCGACAAGTCGCAAGTACCGTCGAGCTGCCCTTGATTTCCACCATGTCCGGCTTTCTGAAAAGCGTTTTCAAGCTGCTCGGCCTAGGGAGGGCTCGACACCTCGTTGGCTACGACTTGGAACGGAACGCATACTACGAACTACCCAATGCATTCGGCAGCACAGGTGCGTCTTCGTTCCAAAGTTGCCCTTAAAAACGGCTAGGAGAGTTCCGAGCATGGCGCAATGCTCATTGATTCCATTGCTCCATCCTTCGCTCGACTTAGACCCCCGTCATACACGTCGAATGATTCAATACAGCAAGAACAAGTCCATGGGGGATCACATCATGGACCAAAAACGCTTACCGGTCCAGTGGACCCTCTGGCTTAGACATACAAGGCAAGACCCGCCGACTATCGAGGTGAGCTGCTTTTCTTTTTCCACCTTCGATGGGATTATTTCAGTGGCAACTGGACTTGAATGGTTGAGAAGCGTAATGGAAAGATTAGCTGCGTTAAAACAGCTTTTCATCGCGACGACTGGAGCCCCTTGCTCAGTCGCACGCTCCGTGCGCCCTTGCGATCAGCAAAAACCGTGGGAATATGCGGGCACGTTGCTCACATCTCTTTCCCCTGAGCTACACAGGAGCTACAGCGAGACGTCCAACGCATAGCTGTCACGCAACGCAATGCTCGTATACTCGAGGCCAAGTATGTTGAAGAGCAGGAGCGAAGGAACGCGCTAAGGCAGGCCGAGCATGGCTCCGCAATAGCCCTTCTCGGTGGAGTGGCGCCTGTGAGTGAGGAAGCTTCGCGCGCATCTATGCGAATACAGCCGTCATCCGCACCACAAGGATCGTCATCGTCCGCGGCAGGCTTTGCCCCTCGCCCAAGTGCACGCCGTGTCGCCACCGTTCCGACGAGCTTTGTCTCCGACAAGGAGGCGGATGCAGAACGAGATTCACGCGTTCTTTCCGAGCAAGAGCTGGCACAGGGCAGCGTGCGACAGGAACGCATTCCAGATAACGACGTATGGGCTGCAGCGCGACAGAGGATACGCGCCCAAGATGGGGCGCAGGCAACGTCAGCACAACCGGCGCCTACAGCAGGCGGCGAGAGTTTATATTCGGAAGCGAAAGCTCTTCGGGCTTTGCGCCGCCAAGGTCAGGCTCGCGATACAGCAGAGAAGGCACGGGCCAGACAGGAGATGGGCAAGAGCGTCCTGAGTGCATTTGATGTTGACGTGCAAGATGAGGTGGATGGGGTGCCGAGTGCGAGATTCGAGCCGCGTGCGCGGCATAGTTAGGGTTGTAGGCGTAATACAAGATTTATCAAATCATCACCTTAGCGCTTCGTTCCATTCGCTTTCGTCCCATTCTGCCTTCCTCTTTGTATTTACGAATTTGACGCAGCTGACGTGGATTCCCTCTTTCCGACTTCTCCTTTCAAGCCTTGGTTGCACGAATCTCGGCTCATTCGCTAGCAAAGTTTGAGAAATAGCTCTCGCTGTGCAGTTTGTGTTCTAAAGCAAGTTGGCAGGCGGCAAGATTTTTACGTCTCGCACTTGCGTTTCGCTCCCATGCTTTAGTCGCATTGACTCTTTCCAGCTTTTCTTATGAGCAAGCGTACAAGACGCTCTTGATCCTTTTCGTGCTGCCTGAAAGAGCTTTCACGCGACGATCACGCAGGGCGGTGTAGCCACTGCGAAAGGCTTCCCCAAATGAGCGAAGGCCCACGATCTCGCCGTGGCGCTGTTGCCCATCTGGGCTCCACGTCGTCTGACGAACCCTCGACCGCCGCGAATCCTCACCCTTTGCACGCCTCAACGCCAGCTGTCGTTGCAAATGGCAGAATCGAGGATTTGGCCTCCCTCGAAGGAGACAAAAGCTTTGACGGTCGACTTCGAGCGGCGCGACAGAGCCTACCAGCTGAGCAGCCGAAAACCAAGGTCCCCTTCTGGTCACCATCGACTACACCACCCATCCCGCCCTACTTGGCAGACCAAGTACTCACTATCGCAGTGACATCCATCGCGCTCGGTATACTGTGGGGCTTTGTTCTGCCGCGAGCGCTGCAAGTTTTTGCCTTTCGCAATATTAGACAAGTCGGCTGGACTGACGGCTGCACGCTCTTCAGCTGGGGCAGCGCAATCACCCCTGCGAACTCGCAGTCGGGAGCTGCATGGGCAGAAAACCTGTTGAAGACGCTGGCGAGGCCTCAGTTGCACCTCTACTTTCTGTCATGGAGCACTTTTCATATTTTGGAATTCGTTATCACGGCAAAGTACAATAACACGCGACTCTATGATGATTGTGAGGAGTAGAAATCCGTTAGGCTTGGAGCTACACTTTCGCTGAAAATTAGTACATCGTTACCTCTCTAGCATTCCTTCTGAACAACGGGCTAGCATACTACCTTGCTCACTTTTTCGGTCTCGTTGAGTTTTGCATCGAGTCGTTGATGATCCCACATCGAAAGGTGTTATGCGGTTTAACATACCTAGGTGAGTCGACCCTGTTGTATTCACTTAAAAAGGATCGCATTGACATGCAGCTGGCCACCCCTCCGTAGGAGTTGCATTGATACTTGTGGGCCATGCAGCACGCTCGTTAGCAATGGTACACGCGTCCTCCAACTTTAGCCACAGCGTCGCGTGGCGCAAACGACCGGATCACTCGCTTGTCACACACGGCATCTACTCCATCTCTCGCCATCCGTCCTACTTTGGCTTCTTTGCCTGGGCTTTAGGCACGCAGCTGCTTCTTGCAAACCCAGTAGGGATATGCCTCTTTACTGTCGTCCTCTGGCGCTTCTTTTCCCATCGCATTCACGTGGAAGAGATGCATCTCGTCGAATTCTTTGGCGACGAGTACATCGCTTACAAATCTCGTGTAGGGACCTTGCTACCTTTTATTGCATGATACTCACGTATTACAACCCAGGAAGATTACAGCTGACGATACGATATGGGCAGCACAAACCTTGATGTTGATAGATGCAGGACGAAGGCCTGCCTTGACCGTCACCGACAGATACCAGCTGATGAGGCGAGCCAAAACCTGGAATCGTCCACCGGCACGTAGCGAGGCTTTGTGCCTTCGAACTTGAATACGAGTAAAGTGCGCGATGAGCATGGGCGACAACTACTTTGTAACAAACGCCGTCGTTAGCGTTGGGAGCCTCACGTGTACCATGCTTTTCATGCTTCCTCTGACCCTGAATTTGCGGGCAATAGTTGCTTTCACAGTCGACCTAGGGTCATTCGTTCGCGTGGGTGAGATAATGAGCATCAATTCAATAACTCTTCGGGGATCAATAGTAACGTAAGAGTGCACGCTAGAATTGCTTACACCTTTCACGCATAATATGCCATGCTTGACGATCAGCAGGGCCGTGCTTCGTCCAATTGGATTGACCGTGACGGCGGGCACCGCGGCAACCGTCACAGCGAGCGCCAGGGTCGGGACGAAGTCAGCGGCGGTGGTCTTGCGCGACATCGTTGACCGGCGATTAAAGATGAGCGGCGAGTAGGTTTTTACCAGTGAAATCCTCCCTTAGGAGCCGATCAGATGAGATTGCAGGGTGTATACATGAAATCCGATCGATAAAGAAACGCAGACATGAAGAATTGTATTTGTATCTGCACGAGCTGCTCAGGTACAGAGCCATCCGTCATCCATCTCAAATTTCTTTCCTTTGCTCGGACGCTCTCCTGTGCACCTAGGCGAAAGGCTCACAGAGCATGCGTGCGGCGCAAGGGAGGAACTGCGAACCATTGTCGGAAGAAAGATATAAAGTAGATGCGCTCACCCACAGCAGATGATGAGACCGTGAGAAACTGTGGACGAATCACGAAAGGTCTATCCATCTCCCGCATTTGAACCTTTTTTGGCCAGACGTTCTGATTGGCCAGGAAAGCTTTTTGGACTTTCCGAGAACCCGAAGGAATCCCGTACTCTGCTCTGTAACCCCTATATAAATGTCAGATTCGTTCTGATTCGCGACGTTGACACTGCAAACCCCACACACTTGCCGTACTCCTGCGCCAGCTGACTCGAGTGGAGCACCACGCATCGTCCAGCGAAGAGCCTGGCCGCTCAGTTGGACAGATGGAATTATAGGACGGACAGTCAGAGTCTATATGAGTCTATATGTGTTCGCGTTGGCACGCCTTCGTATGAAGGTTTCTACGCACGACTCCATCCATGGAAAATTGGATGACCGCTGCCCCGCCATCTACAGCGACCACACTCCTCTCGTCTGCTGGTTCCTCAATCGCTCGTGTCGATCGCGCCGCGCGTCATGCGCCTCCTTTCCACTCGGCCCGCCATGGCCAATGACGCCAGGCAAAGTGGACTGATTATCAGCCGTTAGCAGGCCGACGTCGGCTTCCCCAGGACCTTGACTTTGCTCATCATGCGAAAGACGCACAGCATCCGCCGCTGCACGGGCCTCCAGCCTTTCCACCTCTCTCAGCACGCTACTCTCCTTTGCGCGTCTACGCATCTCCTGGTACCTCAACTTGCCCTCTTGGCTGCGTGCCATCTCCCTTGCTTCTTTAAGACTCTTAACCGCATCAAGATGATGCTTGTTCGCGCGCTCGACGGCGCATTGGCTTTCGCATGCTAAACGCTGATACTGAAGCGCCGCAACGAGCCACGTTACAAACAGAATTGAGCCAAAGAGCCGGGCATTCGACGTGATACACGTGTTACCTCCGTGTTTTTCGCGCTCTTCGCGCGCCATGCGATCGCGGGCTTTGAATCCGTAGAACGACCCATATTCCGCCGCGCCCGCGTATCGCTGCCAGCCGAACGCATCGTGACCCTCTGGCCCTCCATGAGAAGCAGCCGCGCTGCCGCGAAATTCCCAACCGGTGCGTGCGCGGTTGCCTGTGCCGCCTGCAGCGGCCGTCCGACGGAGATGGATGCTCCATGCATTGAAAGCGGCCCATTCATCCGGTGTGCGTGGCGGACGCCCGCCCCACCACGGCGGACTGGGTCCTGCCGCATTGGTCGTGCCGCCCTTCTGCCAACCCAAGCCGGCTTTGTCGTACACGGCCCGTTTACGCGAGTCGCCCAGCAGCTCATACGCTGCGACGATGACTTTGAAATGGGCTTGTTCCAGATCAATGCTTTGGCTTGCTGCTCTATTTTGTGACGACACGTCCAGCTCCTTTTCATTCGCTCCTCTTTCTTTGCAGACCCCTCGGCGTGCAGAAAAGTGGCGGTCGGGATGTAGCAGCTTGACGAGCTCATAGTAGCGTGCTTTGACATCTTGGGCCGTTGCATTTGGAGAGAGGTGAAACACTTCATAAGGCGTGGGATTGAGAATGTGCGTAGGGAATCGCAGTGGGTGTGCATGGTAAGGGGCGTCAACGTTGCGAGACGATGGACTCGATCGATGGGCTGAAGAAGAGACCCGGGCTGACGACGAGGACAACGATTCAGGGAATTTTGAGGCCGCAGTATGTGCGCTTCGGCGCTGAGTAGACCGAACTAGATTGTAAAGGGGGCCAGTGCCTCGAGAGCTGAATTTTGTCCCGACCGGGTAGAACGGGTTGGCTTCCAAGCCCTTCCGTGTCTGTCCGTCCCGAGCGAGCGATGCCTCCCAAGAAAGCTGCGATGCCTCCGTCGCATGAAGCATGAGCATCCCGCTATCGATAGCGACGGGATTGGCCGTAGCACGCCCCTCCGTCAGCCCGGCAAGCCAGTCAAAATCGTCATCCTCGGGGCCAGCCAGCGAATCGGTGATATCGTGCTTCTGGATTGCGTTGGCTACGTGAGACCCGTCACCGGATTGTCGCGAGAGGCAGAGAGCTGCTGAGCGAGAAAACAGTTCTTGTTGAATCTGCAGCCTCTTATCTGAAGATGATTCCGGGTCGTCGGGAGATTGAATTCCTTTGCGCAACTGGTGTGCGTCGGAGCTTTGATGGCGCAATGAGAAGAAGAGCGGGCCGACCCTGGCTGCTGAAGGGAAAGAGTAGGGCACGCTGGATGAAGCGGCCTCTCGTTGATTTGGCTGCAGGTCTTGTCGCTGCCGCTGCCGCCGTAACAGAGTACTGCAGAAAAGTGTACAGCAGCGACCACGGCCTAATTGGACGACCGGCTCTATCCGACCTCGCGCCATGGTCAGCGTTGAGGTGGTGGGGACCTCCCACCATGCAATAGCCCTTCACTAGCTTTCTTCAGGGCCAGAGTATGCTATGTCTCTGTGCACACCAGACAAGATCTGCAAGAACGAAAGTCCGTGTTTGGGGACTCGCCAGTCATATCGTCACGACGATCCGCATCGATTGGAGAGAGCAAGATGCAGCTAGCTCCAGTAGAGTCAAAGCTATTACGTAACATGCAGCGGAGTAAATTCGGAGGCTAGCTTGCAAGCAGGCAGATCTAGATTGTGAAGGACCCCAGAATCTGGGACCTCTTGAAGACCTGGGTGAGGCGACTTGATGATGAGAACGGCTTTCAAGCTTGCACACATTTCCGACGGTGTGCTATGGATCCATCGATCTGCTACGGTAGACAGTTCCTCAATCGAAGCGAAAGCTCACAAGAATGAATCCATGATACTCCGCGTTGGACGGAACTCTCTCAGAGTGCTTGCAGGCAAAAAGAATACCCCAATCTCATCTTCCAAATCTACCTCGGCTGTCCACGTCCAGGCTCTTAAAGCAGAACCTGCCAACACGTGCAGAACTTCCATCCTCCACATTATTTGCACTCTTGACGGCTTGGATGAACCAGAGTTTTTGGTGCATCGAGGATGCGCATGGCCCTGCAGGTGTTACCAAGCTTGCCCTCAGAGAAAGGGTGGTAGCCAATAAAGTAGCTCTTGGGTGTTCTTTGAAGACGAGAAAGGGCTAGGGGCGAATTGGAATGCGAATTGGAAGGCGTCGGAGTTGGAAGAGTGACCCGGGAACGCTTTTCAGCCTTTGTGGGTGCTTTGTGGATTTGGAGCGACAATAAAATACAGAAGACCTGTGGGTTCATTTGCTACTGTACAGAGCATCTGCGATGCTTTACCCCATTCATCTTCACGCACCGCCTGCAGCCGGTGGCAGCATCTTTGTGCTCCTGTGACATCCAGAGGCGCAGGTCGGACGCTGGATCGAGATGATGCACGCAATGACCGCGTGTAGGACTTCCCGGCGCCTGTTCTGGAACGTAGTCGTGCGCGATCACAGCAGTTGGAAGACGCGCAGGAGCGTGAGAAAGTACGATGTAGCCATGAATGAAAGCACTGACCGAAATATTGACATCTGACCGCTGGCCCAGGTAAGCTGAAGCAGTGTTCTACGCGTGGTACTCTTTGAATGCAGTATACAAGACCCAATACATAAATGTACAGGCTTTTGTATTTGTACTATTTGTGATGAGAGCGGTCTGCGCTGCAATGCAAACCCCTTTGCATGTATTTCCCACAGCGCCATCTTCATGCGAACATTCGACTTCATCAGATCATTTATCAAGGCTGAGGTTACAGGATAATTGCCATACAAAACTACTCTGATACAGTTCTTTGTAAGCCGCTCCTTTCCATTCACTCTTGCTTGTTTCCGATGACAGCGCCTCTGCACTGCCGCATCCACAGCCGCATTTCCGGCTTGCCAGCTTTCGTCCACGTCCAAATGCCCCACGCCATGGTGACGACACTCGCGATCCAAATGGAAGCCGCAAAGCCCGCGACCTCGATCTGGTGGTTGATTCGTGTCTGCATCTGACCTGAAGGATCATCAGCGGGCGACGGTACTGGTATGCTTGGCAGACCGAGCACGATTCGCGCCAGGCGCGGCTGCGCCTGAACGAACATTGCTCCGGCTTCAATGACGAGCATAGCAACACGCTGAATATGGATGAGGTAAGCCGCGATTGAATGCGCGACGGCCCAGCGTCTGTGCTGCACGTAGTCACGCTCGAGCGCAGCCGTCTGGAATGCTCGCGTGAGCGTGTAGATGAACGGCACGGAGACGACGTACAACGCCACCTCGAATGTTGGCCAGCAGAGCGTGAGGTTGAGTGTCCTTGCAAATGGCAACATAAAGGAGAGCGGCAGAGAGTGCAGATGCCACGGGTCGGCGTGCGTGTATACCAGCTTTGGCCGACGCCATTCGAAGGCTATACCGCTGATAGTGAGCAGCGCGGAAAGGAATAGAGCTGTGTAGCCGCTGTTGCGATGGAGGACGGGGTATCGCTTGCGCACAGCATCCGAGTGCTGCAGCGGTATGGCAAGCGACCAGATGATGGCTGGCATCGCGTGCAAGATCATGTAGTGGACAGGCGCGCGGATGCGAGAGAGTATGAATGGTTCTCCATTCTATTCGTAGCAAAACAGCGGCTGAGTAAAGGAAGCCAGGAGATACCGTTCATCAACCCCTCACCTCCTCGCGCAGTTCATCAAGCGCTGGTTTTAGCGCGGTTTGCTCTTTTATAACCTCGATAGCAACCGGCGGCGAAAGGTACAGCAGGCACGGGAGGAGCGCAAAGGCTACCATCAATGCCGACAGGGGAACAATCACGTACTGCGATAGGTGCATGTCGCGCTTGCTCCGGGCAGATATGGGTACTTCCAGCTTCGTAGTCATGGCTGGATCTGTTGGTACCTCTGTGGCCGACCGAAGGGCTGTCACTGTTTCAGCTTGCGGCATATGTGATGGTTGCTTCATTGTACCTTGAAGGGTAGGGCTACAGCTCTAAGGAGCCATCAAGGGGTGATGGCCCCAGCTCGTTGCCTCCGTTCCGCTGCCATTTTATATATCCTCCATCCGTTGCAGTGCAGTAGGATGAGAAGCATCATACAAATCCCTTCTGCATCGGCCCCGCCGCTCCCTCCGGACGAGTTGGGGTATGTATTCCAAGAGCCGACTCAGGACGCGGCGTGAGTGGGTGAGAACAGTCTTCGATTTCGTTGCTACGGAGGGTCGGGGTGCAACAGGCACTTGCAGCAACAAACTTAGATCCGATGGCTTGAAGGGGAAATGTTGCAGTAATCGCATGTTGAGAGAGAGCATGGCAAAGCGAGGCTTGACCGGGTCTTACGAGATGCAAAGACCATTCAGGCATATTCTACCATATTTGTTTTCGGGCCATGAGGCACAGCCTGGCCTAGCAGCAACAAGCAGTGGCTTAACGTAGCCTCCGCATGCCTTGGCAGTGTCCTGGCGCTATCAGGGCCTGTTAATATATCATGGGCCTTCTTCGAGCTGCTTCGGGACGCTATAATGGCCTGCCTTACATAAACCACCACGGGTGGAGAACGATCAGAATCAGTTGTCAGAGCGGGACACAAAGCGTCACTGGTTCCGCCACAATCGACCTCAGCTTCAGCTTGGCGAGTAACATATCCCTCTGAATCTGTAGGCAAGTATAATGGTTCATCGCGCTATTCCTTTCAATCTGACCAAGATCATGTACCTGTGCGCACGCCAATTAAAAAACAATGTACACTTGAGCATCTTTCCCCGTGTCTGCTCTCGCGCTCCTGCATCCTTGGCCGTACCTTTCCATCGCTTTACAGAGTAGTTGCTTTGTGAAATTGAACAGCGCTGAGTTTCATACAACCATGAGCACGTTCATTGTGACTAGAGGAGTGGAAGCGGGACCAGGATTAAAGCTCCGTGGCCGACTATCCGCGCCTTTCACGATTTAGAGGAAGCTGCGAGTCGATTACCCGTTACGGCAGTGAGTCATGTTGGGATTCTTGTATACGCTCTGACGGGTGTCACACTGACCATCTGCATCCTCACGTGCAGGCATCTTCAAGCGCTATAGTTCCCCAGCATACCGGCCTGCATTGAAACATGGCTGCCCAGAAAGCAATGTCGCCAAGAGGCCTGGGAAGGGTGGATGAGAGTGGTTGGTGTGTATCCAAGGAAAAAGTGTTGGAGCCTGCGGTGATTGGCTGCGTAGTAGCGTGTTGCCGTGATATGTATAGAGGGACATTCGTCAAATTATAATCAAGTAGGGTCCTTTGCCCGGCATGGCAGCGCACCGTGCGGACTATTGTAGGCCGCTGGGCAACAGCCACTAGGCACACCTAGGCACAAGCACGAGCCACGTGGCACCAAAAACCCGCCGAAGCGTCGTGTTGAGTTACCAATGCTCTCCGTTTGATCCTAGACGACGACGCCCAACGCGAACATACGGTGTAGTAAAAAGATAATTACTAGAAGAAAGAAGTTCGAAGGACCCCTTCTTTCAACTTTTCCTTCAAGTCCTGATCGTCTGATGGCCGCTCGCCTCCTTTGTTTTGAGGCTTTGTCACCGGGCACCCGTATCTCAGCAACTTGGTTGTGAACACGCAACAGGTCAAGGAGAGGAGGACCAACAAGAAGTTGGCTCAGGGCTCAGAAGGGACGGAAGCCAAAGAAAAGTTGGGGCTCGGACGGCGTACACTGGGATCAGACATCGTTCAGGCGGCAAGGCAACACAATTGTGCTGTTGATGGTGCAACAACTTCTCTTCGAAGAGACCAGCGAGGAATACAATCTCGTCTGATTCAGGCAAAGCCCAACAAGTGATGAGCAGCGAATCGCCTTATGTTCCCGTTTCGGATACACTCGCCATGCCTTTTATGCAGCACTCCTCCTTTATTACTCGAAATCAGGACATGGCTCCTTCGAACAAATTTGACGAACGACCCAGCTCGCCTTCACTACCCGCACTTTCAGAGAGGATCACCAGGGCCGAGACAAGAGTTTCTCCTTCTCAATCCTTGTTACATCGACAAAGTACCTTGGTCAACGACGAGCAGGGCTCCCTTGATGACTCTGCACAGGATGTGGAAAGCGCCGCGCATATAGAGCTCAATACGGATGGTTATGATGCTGATGGAGCTCAAAAGAAAGCAGAGGCGCCATTAGGCCTCGTACGCTCAAGCAGCTCCTTTATGTCGGGACCTAATCGCGTGCCTCCCTCGCTGAAAGCTAGCCTCCCACTTCCAGCTGCGCCAAATGGCCCTGCCAATCTTACTCCCAGAAACCCGCTCAAGCTTCCGCCGCACATGCATACACTCGGCTCACTTCCACAGACAGGAAGGAGCATGAGCAGGCCGCAGACCGGCGTCTCGAGCTGCTACATGCGGCCGCGGACAGCTCTGACCAGTTATGTCGAACAGGACGGGCTCTACCTCGCCGCTGTTCTCGAGAGTCAGGGCATCCATCGTGAAGTGGGAGTTGCTGTCGTCAATCAGGACACCGGTTCGTTGTTGCAACAGAGATATTGCTTTACTGATAGTATCTGCCTGATGCTGAAGATCTTGCTTCTGGTACACATTACTTCGCAAAATTGGTTGGCACAATTGCAGGTGTATGCGTTCTCACACAGGTCCGTGTCGCCACTCCTTATTTCCTTACTTGCATGCCACACCAAGACTTCCCTGATCTCACCCTGATGCATGCACTCTCACCTTCATATACTCTGCGCAGCTGACGGATACGCCGACATATAGTAAGACGATTCAGCACCTCCGTTTGCACCCACCCTGCCGCATACTTGTTCCAACCTCAACAGCGACCGCCTCGCTGTTCTTTCAGAGGCCGGATCAAAGCACTCAGTACGCAGGCAACAACAAGTCGGCCCTTGTCACGGCATTGGAAGATGCGTTTGCAATGCAAGTCACTCCGCTTGCACGCAAGTATTGGAAGCATGAGGAAGGTGTGTTCCGCAGGGTGTGACACGGCATGGACACAGGAGAGACTCTGTCGAAGAGGGAGCTGACTGAATTCTATGCTTGGGATTCCTCACCAGGTGCAAAATACCTCGAGCGCGTCCTCGCAGATGATGTATCCGACCGCGTCCATCCAGACCTTCCAAGTGACAGCGAAAATACCACGATTGGCATCTCCGCAAAGGCGAGACGCACCGAAATGTCCTCTACGGTCGGCTCCAACTCTCGCGCTGCGATTCTGACGGCGGTCTCCGCGCGTTACTACGCTCTGGCAGCGATCTCTGCCCTATTCCGCTACATCGAAGCCTTTGAATCGCGACTGCTCTTTGCACACTCGATCCGTGTCCGCTGGCAAGGCCTCGCCGGGACGCTCTCGATCGACTTCGAGACGGCTCGCGCACTCGAGCTCGTCCAAAATGCCACCAGTACCAAAGCGAGCGCCCACGCTTCGCTATTGGGGATCATGATGCCCAACAAAGCCAGGTGCACGCCAATGACGCGCAGGCTGCTACGCATGAATATCCTGCAGCCGCTCACCGATGCAGAGATCCTTGAGGCCAGATTGGACGCCATCGAAGAGCTACTCGAGGAAGACCCGAGCATGCGAGCGCTGGACAAGGCACTGGCGCCGCTCAGAGCGGACGAACTTGACATCGATCAGATCGCACATCGCCTCGTCTCGCAGAAGGGTACACAGGGCCCAATTGCAGCAGCTAATCCCAATCCGGCCGTCACGGAAATGAGAATTGCACTTGTGCTCAAACTCAAGACGTGGCTGAGGGCACTCAGCTCTGTCCGCATAGGGCTCAAAAGTTGCCAGAGTGCGCTGCTCACGACCATAGCCCGCTTCTTGGAGCTCAAAGAACTTGACGAGATAGCGCAAAAGATCGAGGAGGTGATTAACCCTGAGCTTTCGCTCGAAAAGGGGGGCATGGCCAAGACGAATGCTAGAGTATATGCAGTGCAAGCCAATCAGAACCCCCTGCTGGACGTCGCGCGACAAACGTACAAAGAGAATATCCAAGACATTCTGGAGCTATGCTCGTCTTACAGCGACCAGTACGACCTCCCTTTCGTCATCAAACATACCAATGGTGGCGCTTTCATCCTCGAAGTCCGATCGCAAGAATGCACTCCCGACGACTTTCCGTCTGATGTCTTTCTCAACCTCGTCAGGTTTAAAAATGGCAAAGGATACTCAATGACAACACTTGAGCTCAAAAAGAGGAATCGGCGCCTCAAGTCATCCTACGAGGAAGTGTTGTTACTTTCAGATGCTGTCATTGATGAGCTGCGCAACAGCATCGTCAAGGAGGTTGCGTGTCTATACAAGGCATCCGAGGCGCTCGCCATCCTCGATCTGATCGTCATGTTCGCCGACACGGCTGGCACATACAATTACACGCGACCAGAATTCTGTTCGGCGTTCGTCATCAAAGGTGGACGGCATCCAATACTCGACCGCACCAGAGCAGTTCCAAATGATGTCTATGTGTCAGACAGTTCGAGATTCCAAATCATCACAGGTCCCAACATGTCAGGAAAGAGCACATATTTGCGCTCAATTGGTCTGCTGACCATCATGGGCCTGGTTGGTTCTTACGTCCCCGCTGATTATGCTTCGTTCAACTCGCCCGACGCTTTGCTCGCCTGTCTCACAGTCGGCGAAAACATCGAGCAGAACCTGTCAGCATTCGCTGCTGAGATGCAAAACTGCGCCTCGATGCTGACGCTCGCGACTGATAAAAGCATCATTCTCATTGACGAGCTAGGACGCGGAACTTCTCATCAAGAAGGGTTCGGCATCGTCTACTCCATCGCCGAGAGCTTGATCCAACGAAAAAGCACTGTCTTCTTCGCCACGCACTTTCTCGATATGGCGAGCATTCTCAACGCCCAGCCCACCGTCACGCTTAAGCACCTGCAGGTCGTTGTTGGCAATAACGAGCAGAGTCGTTCGTTGACATTCAAGCACAAAGTCGTTGCGGGGCAAGCAAAAAGCGAACATATCGCTCTGGATCTAGCTTTGACGGTTGGACTACCACCCGAGCTCGTTGCACGCACTCGTCGTTACTCCGAGCAGCTTGAGGCACTCGCGCGCAAAGGTGAAGATGACAAAGAACGCTTCCAGATGATCAAACGTAGAAAAGAAATCTACAAGGTAGTCGCGCAGCTCAAACAGATCTACGACACGAGTCAGCTCTCGGAGCAAGAACTTGGTGAGCAATTGACTTATTTGCAGACTCAGACAGTTCAAAACTTGCATCGCACTTTTGTGACGGACGAGGAACCCAGCGATTGAAGGCCAGTGCTTGTAGTACAGCTTCATTCATCTTGATCAGAGGCTTCTGCTTCATCATTCGCTTCGCCTGCATTGCCACTGTCGTCCGCCTTGCCCAGGCCGCCGCCCCTCTTCTTCTTCTTTTTCTTTTTGTTCTTCTTTTTGTTGCTGAGTGAAGCTGGCGTAGCTGTTGCAGGTGGATCGCGCACGAAGAGACAGACAAAGAACCCGTTTGTAGCCTCCACGTGTGGATCGTGGCAGCTGGATTTTTGCACACCCGCCGCCCCCCCTGGCGCCGCTCTAACTAGCGCATCCGCGTCGACTCCCGCCACGCCCTTCACGCCCCTCTGCGGCCAGGCCGGCAGGACATCCTCTCGGCCAGCAAGCCTCCATCCACTCTCCCGCGCCTGGGGGAGTGCCAGCGCATTAGCAACGACCTGCTCGTTCTCTTCCTCGTGCACGGAGCAAGTCGAGTACGTGAAGCATCGTAAAGCGGGGAAGCTCATGGCGTGTTTGATCATCGTCAGCTGAAACTTCGCGAGGCTTTCCAGTCGAGAATTGGAGCCGGAACCGTCGTTCTCGTCTGTCTCTTGTTCCACCTCACTTTCTGAGTGATTCGTTAAGCTGCACGCCGGACACTGTATGTCAGTGCGCTTTCCTCAAAGCCTGACTTCGAACGCGCAATCAAATACTCACTGGTCGAGGCGGCCGAGAATTCCACTACCAGAGCAACTCGGATCCAGCATCATCATCTGCACGTCCTTCCATCTCTCGTCGCCTTTTGAATCGGTGGACAAGAAATCTTCATGGAAGCATTGGACATTGAACGCCCCCGCACGTGGACTGAGGAGGGGAGGCTTGGGAGGAGCAGTAGAAGCCGAAGCGAGCGCACCGACTTTGCCGAGCAGGTTGACCAGGGTCCTGAACCGTGGTTTGTCCTTCTCGAACGCGGACACCGTGACATTAAGTTTTGAGGGTCTTGCGAGCGCATCAAGCAGCGTACTCAAATGGCTTGTCTTGTTTCCCGGTGCAGCGGTCGCATCGACAGCATGTAGACACTTTGGCTGAGAGCCTTCCCGATTTTCAATTGCGAAATGGCGGACATAATAGGAGGCTAAGATCTGAGCAGGGAAGCAACTTGCCAGATCTTGCAGTATGATCTTGCCGGATTGATACCATTCACTGGAGATAACTTGCGAGGTGATGCTTGTATGTAAAGCGTAGACATTCGACACATGTCTAGACGCGACGTATGTTTTCCTGCATATTCAGAGTAATGCCTATCAGCTTCGGGGAACATGAAGCGGGGGAAGAGTGACGTGCACTCACGGTTCGTTCAGCCAATCCTCGGTCTCACTGTGTGGCGTCAAGCCGGTCTCGTGCAACCATTGTTCCCATTCATCTCGAGCCTCGTCTTGGTTCACGAATCTAGCTGTATTCAGCCGTACCCAACGGGGAATGCGAGCTGCCTTCTGCCGCTCCTTGCCATCTGAACGCAGATCCGCAATGGTCGCCGCTCCGCGCCGGAGCTGAAGGCGAACCAGCTCAGAGTGAAGGCGTGCTTTTTGCGAGAGCAAGAATGCGGTTGGAGGGTAGCTAATAGATGTTTGAATGCCGCTGGTCTTCCTTTTCGTTGTTGAAGGAGATGCTGAAGCTGACGACATGAGCATGTCGTACAGTAGTACGAGAAGGAGGGACCTAGCGGACGGAACGTTGGAATGCGGGATGTGATGGGATGGATCATCTGTCTTTTGCTTTTTAGAAGGCCGCTCTGTGCCCGAGCCCTTTGTAGATGAAGAGACGGAAGCGGCGCCGCCTTTGCTCAGCGCAACCGATGCCCCTTTACCTTGTAGGAGCCCAGCCCGCTCGATCACTTCTTCGAGCGCATCCTTGTATGCGAGTGTATTTGCACACAAGGCCAGAATCCTCCTCTTATTTGATTGGTCGTTCTTGTTTCCGCCCCCATTCTTCTCTTGAGAGGTGTTGATGAGCGCTTTCAAGGAATTTGACTTGAGTGCGAGCTGGTCCAGAATGAAGGCACCTTGCAGATAGAAAGATGCCATTCTTGCCCGAGGCGGTTCGGAAAGCTTCCCTTGTCATATATCGCCGTTTCAAGGACGCCCTTCAGCCGCCTTGAGCACCGTGCTTTGCAGAAAGATGCAAACAGAATCGCCTCACGGGTTGTGCAGAAATCAGATGCATATACACATCACAGCACTTAAATAGAAAAAAGTGTAGGGAGGGTGGAAGGTCAGTGAACTAGTGCTTATTCTCGGCCGAGTTCCGTTCAACTTCGTGCAGATCATAGCTGACTCCTCTCAATACTGCAATGGTCACCGTAGCCGCATCCTTGCATCTTGAGTAATCTGTCAATGTCCTTGAGCATGCTGTGTGGCCTGTGACGCTCAGTCCGAGCTACCAGCACTGATACTTGCTGCGGTCCGAAAGACTTCCTGTAGACCGAGCCCCAAAAGCAGTTCCGTTACCCTGGCGCAGCGTGCTGGACCTGAAACAACTCGGTTGCCGAATGGTGTAGTGAGTCGGCGACGAGCGCAGCAGAAACGCAGCGTACTGTGGCACACGACCTTCTTATTCGCATCGGCTCGATCATTGCAAAAATGAAGGTGAGCAAGCTGGTGTTGGAAATGCATTTCCACGACGGTGGCTGACACTGAATTAATGATGCAAAGTTCTTTATCGACGACCTGCCAGTCATATGGCCTTATCCACGCGTCTATCCCGAGCAATATGCATACCTGTGCGATTTGAAAGTCGGTTTCGCTGTTTTGTGATGGAGAAGAAGGCGCATTCAGCTGAAATTAACATTATTTCAAATACAAACAGCGCACGCTTGATGCCAACGGGCACGGCGTGTTGGAGATGCCTTCGGGCACGGGTGGGTCCTGCGCAAAGAAGTGGTGCTCGGAATTATGGATGCTGATTCTTCTGTACGGACAGGTAAAACTGTGACCCTTCTCAGCCTGATTGTGGCATATCAACTAGTTCGTAAGGCGATGCCGTGCCATTTTCTCCATGATCACGGACCCTATTCTGACTTTCGCTTCCGTACATAGCATTACCCCAACCGACGGAAACTCATCTACTGCTCGCGAACGGTGCCAGAGATCGAAAAGGCGCTAGCAGAGCTGAAGCGCTTGTTCGAGTATCGCGCCGAATATACCGAGAATGGCGAAGCAGAAGACTTGCTGGCGATCGGGCTGACGTCGAGGAAGAACCTCTGCATACACTCTGATGTTTCGCGAGAACGCCGGGGAAAAGTGGTAGACGCCCGGTGCCGTGACATGACGTCCGCCTGGGCATGCCAAAAAGGTCGAGAGAACCCTGACAGCGGTGTACAGCTGTGCGAGTACCATGAAGAGCTTGGGACCCGCGAGCCTGGACAGCTCATCCCTCGCGGAGTATGGACACTCGAGGAGCTCAAAGCATACGGTCAGGACCAAGGAGTTTGTCCTTATTTCGCTTCTCGCCGCATGGTGCGTGCTGAATGATTCGTTTCAAGACGAAATGTCAGCTGATAGAAGGGTCCTGTTGCTCTCTCCCAGATCCCATTCGCCGACATCTTGATCTGGAGTTTCCACTATGTTCTAGATCCCAAGATTGCGGAGCAAGTGGCCAAGGACATTTCAAAAGATGCAATCGTCGTTTTCGACGAAGCGCACAACATCGACAATGTCTGCATCGAGGCGCTCTCCATCGACCTAACGCGACCTATGCTCGACGCGGCGTACCGAAACATCAACAGCCTTGCGGACAAAGTCGAAGAGGTCAAGCAATCGGACGCAGACAAGCTGCAGAAAGAGTACGAGAAGCTTGTCAATGGCCTGCAGAATGAGCAAGGGGAGGATCGCGACGAGGCAGAGAACTTCATGGCGAACCCAGTTTTGCCGCAAGATCTGCTGCAAGAAGCGGTGCCGGGGAACATCCGACGTGCGGAGCATTTCGTTGCTTTCCTCAAGCGCTTTGTTGAGTACCTCAAGACGCGCATGCGCGTCCTCCACGTCGTCGCCGAGACGCCGCCTTCGTTCTTACAGCATCTCAAGGAAACCACGTTTATTGAGCGCAAGCCGCTGCGATTCTGCGCCGACCGCCTGCGCATGCTTGTCTCCACGCTCGAACTGACGCGGTTGGACGAATACTCAGCGCTGTCCAAAGTGGCATCGTTCGCCACACTTGTCGCGACGTACGACAAGGGTTTCCTGCTTATTCTGGAGCCTTTTGAGACGGACAATGCGACAGTGCCGAACCCGATCTTCCACCTGACTTGTCTGGATGCTTCGCTGGCCATCGCGCCGGTGTTTGAGCGCTTCAGCAGCGTCATCATCACCTCGGGTACGATCTCTCCACTGGACATGTACCCAAAGATGCTCAAATTCGACACAGTGGTGCAAGAATCGTACACCATGACGCTGACACGCCAGTGTTTCCTCCCGCTCGTCATCACGCGCGGCAGCGACCAGGTCGCGATCAGCTCGCGCTTCGAAGTGCGCAACGATCCTGCTGTTGTACGCAATTTCGGCCAGATCCTCATCGATTACGCCAAGTGCATCCCCGATGGTATCGTCGCTTTCTTCCCATCATATCTCTACATGGAGTCGATCGTCGCTGCGTGGCACGATATGGGCATCCTCGAGGATGTCTGGAAGTACAAGCTGATCTTTATTGGTAAGTGCTGTCGATCTGATGTTGCGATATTTGCGTGCGTAAGCTTATGCATACTCCCTTCTCCAAAATGTTGCTTCCGCTAGAGACCCCAGATGCGAACGAAACATCTGTAGCGCTGGAGAACTACCGCCGTGCATGTGACAATGGCCGTGGCGCCATCCTGCTTTCCGTCGCTCGTGGCAAAGTCAGTGAAGGGATCGACTTCGATCACAACTACGGAAGGGCTGTCATCATGTTCGGCGTGCCGTACCAGTACACTGAGTCACGCATCCTCAAAGCTCGACTGGAGTTCCTGCGCGACAATTTCCGCATTCGAGAGAATGACTTCCTCACTTTCGACGCCATGCGTACGGCGGTGGGTCGCACGCAGCATATGCGCTTTACTAAGAGAATGGCGGGATACTAATATCCTTTTACTTGGGATGCGTTCCTCAGGCTCAGTGCGTTGGTCGCGTATTGCGAGGGAAGACAGACTACGGGCTCATGATCTTTGCAGACAAGGTGCGTGTGTACAAGGTCTTGAAAACCCTCATGTGGCCTCTAGTTGACGCCGAAGGGCTGTTGTTTGTGGGCAAAGCGCTTTGCCCGCACGGACAAGCGAAACAAATTGCCAAAGTGGATCGCACAGCAGATCACAGAGGCGCACAGCAACCTGTCCACTGACATGGCCATGGTCGAGTCCAAACTGTTCATTCGGCAGATGGCACAGCCGTATCCTGAGGGTGCGTCTCGCCAAGGCAGCTGTCACAATCTTACTACTGTTGGGTCGACTAACCCGCAATTTGTGCTTGTCCCCAATTCTTCAGGCAAGGACGGGATCAGCCTGTGGACGCTGGAGGACATTGAGCAGCGACAAGCGAAAGAACGAGAACATTTCGAGCGCCTGCTCGAAATGGATGGGCACATCGATGCGGATCAGCTGGACGACATTCATGATCTGCTGCTCGATACTGAGCAGGATGGCAAAAATGCGGAGCCGGCCGATGGCGGCGTAGAGCGGGACGAATTTGACGAGGAGTTTGGAGAGGGGGACGACCTTGCAGCTGACATGATGGTTGACGATTGACAGAGCATGGCCCCTTTTGCTTTGTAGTTATAGCCTGTTACGTTCACTGTATATCTGTAGACTTGCTGTGAGGGTCGAGGTTACCTGACATGTAGGAGCGAGCGACACACGAGTCATCTACCACGCTGGGGAACATGCGTTTACGCGCGTACACGGCTCCGAGCGCTAGACTTTTCGCGTAGCATGAGCCTAGACGAGAAGATGAGGCAATGAGACAGATGGAATCCAAGTAGTTCCAGGCCAGGTATCATGCTACTGCGTTGACACTGTAGAGAACAAAACAGCCAAGCGACCTACATGGCAGGGTCACAGATTTGCGGACAAGGCGTGGCTCATAGCTCACTCACCGTCCCGTCAGAAAGTGAATGTTCGCAGTAGGTGCAGGGCACGCGCTTGCGATGGAAGGTCGTCGGCCGTACCGATGATGATTGCATTACCTTGGCTGTCTGACGGTCGAGGGTTGGTAAGGAGATACATGCGAGCAAGTTGGACCAGGCTCTTTGACCGGTTGTCGGGTAACACAACGGACTACGCTATCCACAGCTCGACAAGATATCATCAGACGATGCTTTCGTTTCTTTCGTTCCTTCCTTCCTTCCACCACCACTCATTCATCGGCCCGAACCTCCCCACTAAATGCACAGCTGGAACAGCATCTGCACATGGTTGCAGGTTTTCAAGCAGCGATGGCAACCTCTGAAATCAGAGCGTATTCTAACATCAATCCTTACCATCCTCGGACCCAGCCTCTCCCCACTCTGTCTCTCTCTCTCTTGATGCATGTCCCTCTTAGATACCGCAAGGAAGTTTCTCTCGGGGCTTCAGTCTCGATAGGCAATAAAACGAAGGGGACAAAGATCTCGCGAGTGGCAGTGTTCATCACATTGGAAAAGGGAATCGACGCTTTGCCTCTTTTACTTGAATTACCAACAACCTAGATACTTAAACGCTTTGTTTGATCTGCTGCGTCGTCCGATCTCTGAACGTATTGCCGATTGCAGTGCGTGACAAGCAAGCTTCTAGACAGATCAGACCCTTAGAGCCCAGCGAGCGAAACAGGGTATTAGATTCAGTCTTACCAGCTCAAGCATCGCCAGTCATTCCAAATTGCTACTACTTCAAAAGTTTAATTTTATCAACAGGAAGAAACGTAGAATCGACAACATGACCGGCACAGCAGCATGCCTCGAGCCCACCATCATCTGGTGTCTCCCGCGCTCTTGCTCGACGGCGTTCGAGCGCGCGTTCATCCAGCGCTCCCACGACACCATCACCTTCCATGAGCCGACCGGCGACGCAGCGTACTTCAGCAAGGAGCGGCAGATCTACCGTTTCAAGGAGAAGGAATGTAGGTCCGACCCGCATAGGTACGAGAGGGGCCTCAAGGAGGTCATGGAGGATCTGGTCCAGGGAAAGGGAAAGGATATCGGGGGTAAAAAATATATTTTCATCAAGGTATGTCGACGGAAGGTGGCGAGCTCTCGCGAAAGTGTCAAAACTAAACCTCAGTATTTCCGTCGGTCGCAAGGATATGGCCCAATATATCTTCCCGGCCTCGACACTGCAAGCTCTGCACCCTGGCTCGCGCGTCTACCACCCGACTTCGCCAGAGTACCAGCCGCCCGTCAAGCCGTCCGAGCCGGTCGTTAAGACGCCTTTACCTGACTTCTCTAAGCCGCTAGCTGCTGATTTCGGCACAAGCGTCAAGAGCAACCCGACTGCGCTGCCCACTGCCCTCCTGCGACAATTCAAACATACATTCCTCATCCGCACGCCGAACAAATCTGTGCTGTCGTACTACAAGTGCGCGCAGGAGGGTGCTGGAGGGTTCGAGTACTTCGATGGCGCAGAGGCAGGTTACAAAGAGCTAGCACTGCTGCACGCTTGGATCTCCAACCCGCAGAGCGACTTCCACGTCGATGCCGATGCTGCCGCTTCTAACAAGGAGGATGGGCAAGAGCATGTGTCGAGGAAGAAAAGAGGCGTCGGAACAGACGGCGTGCCCATCTCGCAGCCCATGCCGCCGCCGCTGATCGAAGCGAGCACGCTACTTGCCGAGCCGAACCACGTGCTGGAGCAGTACTGCAACGCGATCGGCATCCCATTTTACAAGGGCATGCTGTCCTGGGAATCGTCCAAGAAAAAAGAAGCAACGGACGCCGACGTGAAGGCCCAGGTCGACGCCAACAGGCGCACAGTATACAAAGAAAATGGCAATGCTAATGTAGAGGTTAACGGCAGCAGCAATGCCTCCCTCGCCGATTTTGCAAAGTGGGGCACGTACCACCGCGTCGCCGAGGAGAGCACCGGCTTCCGCAAGGAGTCGACTCCAGCGAATGGCGCAGGCGACAACGTCGGGGCGACAGAGAAAGAGCCGCTGCTCCCCAAGGAGGTGCAGGAGACGATCGAGTGAGTGCAAAGAGGGGTGGGGGCTGTAGGCACTGGCATCCTCGCGGCCCGTGCTGAGGGACTTTACTCGCCCTTACATGTCCCTTTTTGTAAAGGGCAAACAAGAGCGCGTACGACTACTTGCTCTCGAACCAGACCATCCACTTGCACGCTACTGCATGAGCACCACCATCGAATCAGTCACAAACTCTGCTCCTTGCCTGCACACATTCAGAAGATGCGCTGCACCCATCTCTCTTCAAGATCGCTGCCTCATCACATGCGCATACCTGCTCTCCTAGATGCTAGATTAAAACTCCACTCCTTGCTGTATATCTAAAATGGCACGTTGAATGGACGCTGACCACTTCACGAATCGTTCATTTTGAGGTCATTCACAATCTACAGGGAGGCTCTTCGTCATCTTTCGCGTCTTCACTTCCACCTTCCAAGTTTCGTTCATATTCAAGCGAGAGGCCGCAACCCGGAGGTGATCTTGCCGATCTCGCTGATACCGGTGATCCTGCAGAGCGTCCCTTTGTACTCTGGCAAGTACGCCTGCTGCGTGAGCGGATCCGTTACTGCGCCTCCAGCGTCTGCGGCGGGGATGAGTGTGTGCGAGGCGCCACAGATGACAAAGCTGCGCTCGCGTGGGTCGTAGCTTGGCACTGGCACTGCGTCCCGTGGTGAGCGGTCCGCGACTGAAAGGACTTGCTGCGCCTGACAACCGAAAAAAGAAGAATGCGCAGGTATGCATCAGCAAGCGCACAGAGATTAGGGAGAAGAGGAGTATTGTGCGGCGGGCTCACCTGCTGTGCGACGCGCTCAGGCGGTGGCGGATGGAGCGCCAGCAAGCGGTTGGCAAAGCTGGCCGCCATGACAAAGTTGCCCGCCTTGCTTGCGACATTCATAGCGGAGCGCAGCGCGATGGTCAAGTGCGGCGACTGCATCTGCGCATGTGTGAAGAGCGCGGCGAGCTCCAGACCGCGCGGGCTGCTAGTAAATGAGGGATCGGCCTTTGCGCTCTCGCGGCGCTCGAGCTCAATGGAGATACCGAGCAGGTACTCGCGGCAAAGGAGCAGCAAGTCGTTGATCTCAGCTGCTTCGGCCTCGTCGATGGCGACGGTAAGGACGAGCTTGTAGAGCAGGCCCCGGAAGATGGTCTGCGCATCTTCGAGTTTGTTGCCGTTGACCGCCTTATACGCCTCCTGCAGTTCGCCACTGCTGAGATCGCGCACGCTCCACAGCCGCGCAGGGAGGACCTTCTGCTTGCTCGTCTCGTCAAGATTGCGGCGAAGCGGCAACTCGAGCGGATCGAGCGCCGGTGCGCCGGGGATACTAGCTTTGGCCGCTACGGAGAGCGTGAGGAAGAGCTGCTTCAGCGGCGCAAAGTGTACAACACCCACTTGGCGCGAAAGGAGCGTCATGGCAGTCTTGAAGCTGCCGGCAGCGCAGTGATCCGCCGCGAGGGCCGAGTTGCGCAGCCAATGCTCCGTCTCGCTCGAGCCTGGCTCAGTGCCCTCGAGCGGTCGGTCGCCGAGGGGTGTGACGACGGGGGCATCGAACGAGTTGACGGGGAGCTCGGTTTCCTCGAGATCCCATGCTTCCTCCGCCGCAGCGGCAGACGCTATAGCAGTGGTGCTAGCCAAGACACCGCCGGTGGCAGTAGTGCCTGCGGCAGCAAGGATACCATCTGGATCGTCGATCTCCTCCTCGGCATCCGCAAAGCCGTCTGCCTCAAGCCACTCGTCCGCATCGACGGCCTCCGCGACGGCGTTGTCCTTGAAGATGACCTGTCCATCCTCGGCGTTAGCGACGAGTGCCTTGTCAAAGAAGCTCTCCTTACCGGGCAGCACGGGCCAGGCGTACTTGTACGCCGGCGTGACGATTTGCGGGGGCCGGAGCGGCTGCATGTTGGACTGCACATCATCGCCGCCAGTCTCCAGGCCGGTCATGCCAGGTGTCGCGCCGGCAGCATCCGCGATGGCAGCTGCGTCGTCGAGGAGTCCGTGCGAGCGGGCGGTGGCGTAAGCGAGCGCGTCCATGCCTACATCCTTGAGCAGCTCGACCTGCTTGTGCGCATCGCCAAGGTAGAGCGCATTATGGTACCTGCTCATCGCGTCGCCACGCCGCTCGGCAATGACGCTCATCTTGGCGAGCTTGTCGACGTTACCGGTGATGAGGTAAAGGAAAGAGAGCTTTTCGAAGGCTTTGATGCGCTGGTACGCACGCTCGACGACTTTGACGTTTCCCAATTTGAGCGCGGCTTCCGCGAGGCGCTGCCACACCTCGTCGGCGCCAATGGCCTCGGCGGTCTCGAGTGCAACGTCAAGATTGCCGCACTCAATCGCGAGGTCGAAGCGCGTGGTCTTGTCGTTGACGAAATGCAGCGCGATCTCGGGGTAGCCCTTCTTTTGGAGGTAGGCGATGATGGCCTGCCCCACGAGGTTGCTGTTCTTGATGATGCTGAGCACTTCGTCGTAGTTGCCCATGCTAAGTGCGAGCTTGAACCTGTACTCAGTCGGGTCGATGACGATGTTCTTTGGGCGAGCGGTCCGATCGAGGACGCTGACGGTTTTGCCCTTGACGCGCGTGACGTACACGGGTTGCTGCAACGTCTTGATGATGCCGCTGTCCCCGTTGGGTAATGCGTATTTGATGTGGTTAAGCGTCGTGTAGATGAGCACGCCGGTGTCATCCCAGCAGGCGCTCTTGATGCGAATCGTCTCGTGGATCAGCGTCGACTGCCCGAGAGACTTGTTGGCGATGGTGATGGTGTGCTTGGACAGCAGCGCGACTGAGTTGCCGTCTGCGCTCCAGGCGATGTACTTGACCAACGGACTGGCGAGCTCGCCGAGGATCTTCTGCTGCTGGATGTCGTACATGATGACGCCGCTGTTCGTGCTGAGCAGCAGCGACGCGGTGCCGCCAAAGAAGATCTCGTGCGTCGTCGTCGGCACCACAGAGGCATTGCCGCTGTCGCCGCCGCCACCGCGGCTTTGCGGGCACGGAAAGGCCTTAGTCACGTTGTTGCTCAGGTCGCGGATCTCGATCTGCTGCGCGACGCGGTCGAGCACGGCGATCCTGTTGCGCGCGACAAAGATGGCTGACGAGCCATGGCCGCGCTTTCCGACTGCGCCAGAATCCTGCAGGTCCTGCGTCAATCCAGCGACGGCGGCGCCTTCACGCGGCAGCGGCGCGAGGTCGTAGACGCCCTGTTGCGCTGGCGCGTCCCCGTTAGTGTTGGAGGAAGCACCACTATTGGCGGAGACGACGAGCACGCTGCGCTCGGCCGGGTTGAAGCTAAGCGTGCGCGGCTGCACGTAGGCGCTGCCAAGCTTCTTGACGCTGAGCACGGCATGATCGGTCCCCGTCTGGTAGTCTAGCTGTCGGATCTGCTTGTCACGCACGTAATACAGAGTCTGCTGGTGCACGCTGAAGGCAGGGCGCTCGCGCTCGAGCTTGAAGACGATCAACCCGGAATCGTGGCCTGCTGCGAAGAGGTTGAGCTTCGGATGGGCGGTGAGCACCCAGAAGCGGTCCGCCTCGCGTCGGAAGGTCTGCACGGCGGTCCGCTTGCCCATGTCCCACACGCGGATCGTCTTGTCTTCGGCGTCGGAGATGATCAGCTCATGCCGCGGATGGAAGAGGGCAGAGGAGACATTGTTGAAATGCCCGCGGCACGTGTCGACCTCCCACGCTTTGGTCTCGCTCATGCGCCACAGCTTCACCTGGCGGTCATCGCCGGCAGAGACGATGAGCGGCAGCGTCGGATGGAACGACGCCCAGTTGACACCGCGGTCGTGGCCTTCGAGAACGTACTTGACCATGGCGTCCGTGCTGCCGAAGAGGTCTGCCTGGCCGCCTAACGCTCCGGGAAGGCCGCTACCAGACGCAGCGCGGGCGATCTGCTCCTCGATGCTCATGGGCATGCTGCTGGCTGTGCCGTTGCTGCTGCTGGCGGCGCTCTTCTTGCGGAGGCCAGAGATGTCCCACACGCGCACGGTCTGGTCCATGGACGCGCTGACGATCAAGTCCTCTGTGGGGTGGAACTGGGCGCACATGATGTAGTGGTTGTGGCCCGTCAGGATGGCGATGCACTGTCTGCTCTGCCAGTTCCAGATTCGGATCGTCTGATCGTCGCTGGCCGAGAGGATCCAGGGCTGCGTGTGGTGGAAGAAGACGGTGCGGACATAGTCGAGATGCCCGTTGAGGGTGAAGAGGCACGTACGGGTCTTGTGGTTCCACACCTTGATCTTGTAGTCGTCGCCGCCGCTGACGAGCAGCGGCTGGGTAGGGTGGAAGCAAATGCCGCGCACGGGCCCATCGTGCTCGTCTAACCGGTCGTAGATGGTGCCCGTCTGGTAGTTCCACAGCTGGATGGAGCCATTGTGCAGCGTCGCGGCAAGCAGGGGCAGCGACGGGTGGAAGGCGATGCCTTTTACCCGGTTCGACTTGGACTCGAACTGGCGCCCCGGGGGAGGAGAGGGGGGAAGATGCACAGGGTCAGCCCGCTGCCATGAAGGATATCAGACGTTAGAGCCGATTCCAGCTCACCTTTGTGAGCATCTGCATGATGGGCAAGCTTGTGTCGCTGCCGAGGAAAAGCGGTAAAGATCGTTTACTTGCCTCGGGGAGATCGGAAGCGAGGTGCAGGACGGTCCTCGCTGGCGTTGCGCGTGTGGCTGCTCTGGCCTATCTACCAACGCACCAACACCGTGGCGGCCTAGCCTTCCCGTGCTTGTTTCCCTCGTACCTTTTCCGGCGAGAGCCAGACCTGCTGGATGAATGCGTCGGCTCGGGAAAGAGGTTGCACACGTTTGGTGGCTTTACGCGGCAGTCGAGGAGGCGGATCGCTGCACGATCCGGCTCGCCTCCCGAGGACGCGCAGTGGTGTAAAGGGGAGCAAACACTGCTGTTTTCGGCTGCCGAGGGCCAGCGCTGACACTCTGCTCGAGGCGTTTGCTGCTGTACCAAGGACCATGCGTCCGTCCAAAGCATACGTGGGATTGAGGGGCGATGCTACACATGTATGTATACTCCCCGGCACCCGCGAAGAAGCTTCCTGTCTTGTCCTATCGCTCGCTGCCACGCGCGCGCCACATGCCGCAACCCTACTTGTGGGAAAGATCACGTGACCAACCCTCGCCAACGCACGCGGTCAGCCGCGCTGATCTTTTCAACAAGAGAGACGACGAACCAACACTTTTTGTATTGCTATCGTTGCCTACCACTACGCGCTCTCTACCCTCTACGGCTCTACCATCTACGTAGCGCAAGGCACAAGCTGCAGACGGCAGATTTCAACCTGCACACACCCTAGAGGGCAGCTGCAGCTGTGGAGACCAGGGCAGCTGCAGGCTGCGACCCGCGGCAAGCGCGATGCTCGTGTCCACCCCCACTTTCGGGCCAACCGACGTGGTTCCCTCGGCAATTTCCTCCTCACTGTCACCGTCGCCGTTAGCATCAGCACCAACCTTTGCCGCCACTCTTCCGCAGCCGGCTTGCGCGCACGCAGCGCAAGCTCGAGCTTTAGCTCAACTCTCTACGCGCCTGCTCACGACGACGCTGCACCATGCATTGTACGCCAAGGCGCAGCTGTCGTCGCCCGTTGCGCTGCTGCAGCGGGAGCGGGAGCGAGAACGAGAGCGAGGGAGTCAAAGGGGATGGCAAGGAGACGACGGTGAGCAAGAGAACACCCATGGAGCTCGTAAGAAGTGGTCTTCAGCTCCGACTGGGCCAGCCAGTAGAGCTGCGAGCATCAGACGAGGGAACAGCAAGGCAAAAGGCAAGAAGGATCAGGTGCGTCCGCAGCTTCTGCTGCTGCACCACGGAAACAAGCGCTCTGACCCCTCGGGTATTCTCTATGCATACGACAGCTGCTGGACACGCTCGAAGCGCTCTCTGATGCACTGCACTCTGCGCTGTCCCTCGCCTCGGCGCCAGTGCCAGGCAGCGCACAGCCAATGACGAGGGAGATGGACCTGCTGCTGCTCTTTGGCCCAGTGCTCTCCATCCCCAAGCACCTCTTCCTCATCCGTCTACTCCTCCCCATCACGGCCGCGGAGCAGGAGGCAGCGCCTGCGTCGCACGCGGACGACGGCACGGACACGGAAGGCGCCGCGACGGTGCGCATGCAGGCCCAGCAGACGGAACGCCAGATCGCCATGCTCGAACGCAAGCTCGTGCGCTTCCTCATGTTGCACGACCGTCCTGACGAGCCCGACTCTGGCTCCGACTCTGATGGCGGCTCTGGCTGCTGCGACGACGAGGCGCCGCAAGTGGAGGCGAAACAGAAGGCAGCAAGCACAGAGCCGCTGCGCCTGGCGCACGCCGGCGCTTGCGTCTCCGCCGTCAAGCGCGCACAGGCACGCCCACGCCCCGCGCCACGAGCGATGAAGTGCCATGTGCTCCTGCGCGCGGACGCGGACATCGCGCACGGCTTGGCGCGCCGACGCAGGGCTCGGTGGACGCTCCGGCGCGGCTTCACGACCAGAGGCCTGGCACAGCTGCTCGGCGAGGCAGAGCAGAGGCAGAACAATGGGCAAGTCGAGCATGACACACAGGCGCAGACACGAGCGCTCGTTTCGTCTTTAGCGGCAGCACCATCGTCCGTGCCGCCGGCATCGACGCGACCGCCGCGCGACCTCAGCGGGCGGGCGCATTTCACCGCGCGTGTGCAACAAGAGCAACCGGGGTGTGCGTCTGCGCCGCCGTCATTGTCCGGGGGGGCGCACGGCGACGTGGTTGCATCGCAGCAGGCGCGCAACCGGCTGCAGCTGCCCGTGCGAGCGGCCACTGCGGGTGCGCGTGCAGCAAGTAGGGTTAAGGGCGCGATGCGTGCGGGGCCCGTCGCAGGGCGCATGGTGCTCGATGTGCGCGGGGCTGCAGGGCTGCAGGAGCAGGAGCAGGAGCAGGAGCAGGAGAATGGCAGGCGAACAGGCAGCGAGGGGGAAGGGGGTAGAGCATCGCACCAAACGCCGCTGTGGTTTCTGTTTGATACGCCGCTGCTGGGCGGTGTAGCCTAGCACAGCGCTTCGCCTCCCTTTCCTTTGCTTGAGAGTAGTAGCCAGCAGTGTGCAGGCGTAAGGGCAGCACATATGTCCGCGCGGTGCGCGTTACGGCGAGTGACTTGCCCTGCAGCGAGCAGGCAGGACGAGGAGCTGGGCGCTGATCGAGCCTGACGAGCCCTCGATGTACGAGTATGTATACATACGGCTTGTGCTGTGGGACATGGATGTCTGTGAGAGTCGAGCGGCGATCACTGGCGGGCCGCCGCCCACCGCCCACCACTTTGTTACCAACACGGCACACCCTCCCCTCGTCCCCTTGCATCCCGCACCTTGCCGTCCACATGGCACGGTGAGGGGATGCAGTCCTTCGAAGCGTGAATGTGTGTGTGTGTGTGTGTGTATGAATATATGTATGTATGTATGTATGTATGTATGTATGTAATTTTGACGCGTTCAGGGGAGGCCAGACTTGTCCACGCGAGTTGAATGAATATGCATGCATCCTTGCTTCGCAGCGTCTGTGACACGGTGCCAGGGCAAGGGCGATGCCTTTTCTTGCCTGCTGCTGCTGCCCCCCGGCTGTCATTTTCGCCGCGGGAACCCTCTCAGCGGAACGCTCGACGGATGTCACATGCTTCCATTTATTTCATTTCGCTCTTTCTGCAGTCTCTATTTCCTTCCGTTCCGCCGCACCGCACTCACTCACTCACTCCTCGGGGCCTAGCCTAGCTCCGTCCCGCTTCCTCGCTCCTTTGGCCAGAGTGGGAGAGAGAGGCATCTCGCCCCGCACTTGTGAATGTACATTAATGTACATTAAAATGGAACCGCACACAGCGCAGGTGCTATGGAGGGTGCAATTGGGCACTCGGCTGTTGCATCGGACGCACCGAGCGAATCAGGCAGGCAGTGCACAGCACGGCAAAGCAGCAGTGCTGCACCACCGTCTCCTGCTCCATACTTTCAACCATTCTAGCCGCTGATTCGCGGCGCATCTTCTCGAGGGTTAAACAGGTTGAATACATACCATACACCGACCGGCCCCGCACCAGTCGCCACTCGCTCACCAGCTGGCCGATCGCCCTCATTGTCTGGCCTGGCTGATCATCGGTCATGGATCGGCTCACTTGGTAGCGCTGTTTCGTCTCGGACGAGAGAATTGAAGTTCGTCTCGACCCTTAGCTCATCCTTTTTAGCCCTGTCTTGGTTCGCCTTGCGGCCCCTCGCCCGCCCATACACACACGCTCCCTCTCCCTCTCTTGCGCGGAAAGAACGTGCTGACGCATTGGTGAATACAATCTTCAGACGCTGCAGCAGCAGACATGGTTTGCACGCGTCTCGTTTCGTCGTCTACTGCTGCTTGGCTTCGTGTGGGGAGACATGGACTGCTGTGCTATGCTCCCGCCGGTTCGCATGCACCACATCTAGCAGAGCATTAGGAACAGGCCGCCTGAATATATAAACCGCTCGCTCGCGCGCCGCTTCTCTCCTGCATTCACAGACATCAGCTTCATCCCTCTGCCTGTGCTCCTCCTGTCTCTTTTCCTTGCACAGACAACCGGCGCCTATTCGCCAAACGCACCAAGCAAAGCAACCCAGCGCAACTCACCATGCAGCTCACCGCCGCCGCCTTCCTCCTCTCCACTGCGGCGCTCATCGCGACAGGCTCCGTCGCCGGAAGCCCCGCCACTGCTGCCCCCTTAGCCACCCAAGTTCACCGGCGCCAGAGCGGCTGCAACACGTTCAACGGCGTAGCCCAATGTCCCTCCTCTGCAGGCGGCAGCGGCTCCTCGAGCGGCCCAAACGTGCCCAACTGTATCAAGATCGACAACACGTGCGACACTTACCAGGGCGTCAATGTGTTAGTGCCGCGCCACATCGCCTTTTTCCCCTTTTCTCTCTTCCCGTCGCTGATTTCTTCTCTCTCATTTTATCTGTTTACCCTCTTCCCCCTCACTCGCAGCTGCTACGACCACTGCAAGTACAGCTTCCAGGGCATGTCCTCTTCGATCGGGAACAGCGCCTCGAACGTCGTGTCGTGCGACTTTGCGACGCTCAAGTGCGAGGATGGCACGCAGCTGATCGCCTGCCGCGACCCGACGTCGTCGGGCACAATCACCAACGCCTCGTGTGGCAGCAACAACAACGGCGCCGGTGATGGAAGCCAGCAGGGCGCCGCAGCACCCGGCCAGCAGGCCGCTGCGAGTGGCTCGACGACAACGCCGACGTCCACCACGTCAGTCAGCCAGAGCATCTCCAGCTCCAGCAGCAGCAGCAGCTCCTCCAGCTCCAGCAGCAGTAGCACCACCACCACCACCAAGAACGCAGCAGCCGGCAGCCTCGGCACATCAGGCGCACACGCCCTCGCTGCTCTCATTGCCGTCGCTGGCGCCGCAGCCGTTGCGCTCTAGGCAGCGCGGCCGGGAGCGATATCATGTAGATGTACAACAGGCAGGAACACGTACCGCACTGGACATTGACAATTCGTCGCGCGAACGCGACACGAGCGACGCGCAGGCCAGTCCGCTGCGTTGTACTCCATCATGCTCATGAGCGCTTGCCCTGTCCCTGTGCATATGCATGCCTGCATAGTGCGTGCGTGCAGGCACACATGACAACGCGCAGCCCCCGAGACGCGCGACGACACGCTCAGTGGCAGTGCATTGTGCACATGTTCGCAGTGCGGGATGCAGATGCAGCGCTACGCGTCCACGCATTTACGCGAGCTTCTTGCCAAGCAACGCAGAGGCAGCATGGGTCAGGCGTGAGATATCAGTCGTCAGGCGGCAGGGAATATCGCGGATGACCACCACCACGAGCGTGAAGAAGGATTACCCTTGGTCGCCAACATGGAGACCGAGGGAATAGTGAGACTTGATGTGGAAGAGATGGCCTACATGTGCACTCGCGAACCCTTTGGGGAAATACCCATCCGAGACTCTGGCCGTTGGCAAAAACACTCTCACGTACAACTCAGGCCTTGGCAATCAGCAATGAACAAGTGTTCAGTTTCACCATTTGACTTGGATACATCCCTTCGCGTTGGTACATTGTCAAACAGCGTCAGCATGAGCATCGGCTACTCGACTTTGACAGTAGCTCCAGCAGCCGTGCCCGTACATCCAAGAATGCATCGCTCGGCCCTCAGGGACAGCTTCTTTAGCGCCAGCATCGGGCGCTGCCTGCTTCTGCGCTCTGTGAAGAGAGGAGATGCCACTCACTCGCAGCTCGTACGTATGCATCAGGATTAGTCATGGACCATGTCCGAAATGCGTCCATCAATGGCAAAAGTACCACCCGTTACAAGGGCATGCTGCTCGTGCCGTTCTTCCACTGGGATAGATGGTGTCGCATGCTCTCCCACCCATCCCCCCGTCGCTCGGCCCAGGGTACCGTCTGCACCCCGTCCCTCTGACCCCGCCACCTAGGACCCTTCCCTCGAGACTTGCAACCTGTTCCTTGTGCATGCCCCTTGCATCCCGCACTCTTTCCCCTCGGGAGCGTATCGAATGACAAGGCAGAATGAACCGAGTGCTTGGTCACGGACGGGACCTAGCTTTCTGATCTAAATGACGATTACCGTGCAAAGATGCTGTGGTGCGTGGTGGTAGATGCTCAAGTAGGGTTGTTCCCAGCTCACTTCTAGGCTCTCTCCGTCGCAGTTCCGTGAGCAAGCCCTTTTCCCCATTGGGCGACGGAAGTGCGGGACCTCCTGGAAACTGGCCTAGATTGTTCCCGTGCTTTTTGCGCTTGTTCTTCGTCCAAATCGCCAATATACTGTTCCGTGTGCCCGCCAGCCTCCCCTGTTCCTCCACTACCAACGGTGATCATGAGGCATAGCGAGAGAGAAGGGGGAAACATGCACTGGAGCGCAGAACCCCTTGGTGGCACAGGAGTTGAGTTTCTTGGAGGGGGGACCGCGCCTGCCTCTGTTCTGATGCTCACCGCTGGCTGCCAACCAAAATGCAAATCAAAAATGTGCACTGTGATTCTATGCCGCTTTGCTGCTGTTCCGCTGCTGGGCCGTGTGCCGATCCGATATGCTCACGACTTCTCACTGTGGCCCAGCGCTGAAAGTCTGCGTCTCTCCCCCTGTGTCAGAGAACACGGAGGCACTGCAGCACTTTTCTAAGATCATGTTTGTCAGGCAACAACAGGGCAGCAGAACACAGCGCGTCGCCCCTCGGGTATGAATGCGCTGGACAGCAACATAATCCTCCACCCGTCCTCCTTGACAACCCCCCAACTCACTCGTTTGGGCCCACCCCAGCCTCTCGTCGTCGTCGTCACCACCACCATCAACATCATCATCATCATTCGCGTAGCAACAGGCTCCCACATCTCTCTCTGCCTACCACCTCATGTTGATGGACCGTCTCCCGCGAGTCATCGACGCTTATTGGTGAACGAGCCGGCCAGCTGCGACCCAGCGACGCGCGAGAGGTGCCCATCGGAGCAAACACACACACACTCATACCCTCATCCTTTGGTGGAGAGTGGAGACAGGGAGCAGCAGTCATCCACCTAGGAGAGCAAAAGCACCTGGTCAAGCCACCTTCAATCTTTTAGGGTGCCGACAGTCACAGCCAGCCTCACACACACACCCACACTCCCGACACCGTCACCATGGCCGCGCGATCATCGCCCTCATCAATCTCTGCGTCGTCGTCGTCAAGACGCAGCGGCACAAAGCTTACTGCCTATTTCTCTGAGACGCATAGGCGATCCCCCATGGCGCCGTTCACTTGGCAGAGAGAGAAGGAGGAGGAGGAGGAGGATGCCAATGACGAGGGAGACGAGGACGAGCTACTGATGTGCTCGTGCTCGTACGCACACGCACACTCTTCCGCGCGATGGACCACAACTGCACTAGGACAGGATGAAGATCATAGCAAGCCATCGCGAACATCACCACAGCCACAGGAACAGCCGCATTGCTCAGCAGCACCGCGCTCGCGTCAACATGCACGCGCATGCCCGCAGCAGCAGCAGCAGCACCGCAAGCGAGGCACTCGGATGACGCTCCTGCTCGTCCCAACTCTCCTCTCCTCACTGCTCCTGCTGCCAACGCTGCTGCTGACGCTCATCGCCCTCACGCCTGTGCCGGCACAGGCGCAGCTCCCCACGGGCACAAACATAGGACAGCAGAACAATGTAACGAGCCTCCGCGGTACGTGGAGCTCGGGCTCGGGGAACGTCGTCACGGGTCTGGTGAGTTTTCGTGTGAGATTGCATTGCACCTGCTGAGGGAGGCTTGGGAAAGTATGCCTACGTGCATCCAGCTTGACTCTCACCTCTTTGGAGGCCTAGCGCTATGCAAGCGTCGTGCTGACACTGCCTCCCCGCCCCACTGCAGCAATTTTTCAACCCAGCCAACAACACGTTTACCTACCCCACCACCGCGGGGATGTCCTACTCGTTCACCGACGATTTTCATTGGGAGCAGGCGCTGTACATTTACCAGCCAAAGGCGGACAACCCGTACTGCGTGACTGCGCAGCTGATCTGGCAGCACGGCACGTACAGCATCAACGGGTCCAACTTCATCAGCCTGCAGCCTTTCAAGGGCGACGGCATGCAACAGATCGCTAGCAGGTGCACGAAGACGAGCCAGAGCGTGCAGCCGTACAACCAGCCGGAACGTGAGTGCCCAACACGTACCTCCCATACCGGACGACTCGCCGTGCTGATCGTTTATAACCATCGCATGATGCGTACTCTCCCTTCCCTCCCGCGCCCCAGTCATGTCCGGCTTTGAGATCCACTTGGATACGCACTACGGTCAGAGTGCGTACTACCTCAAGATGTACGGTTTTGACGGCACGCCCAAGCCGCTCATGTGGAAGGTGTACGACCCGCCCCAGATGCTGCCGACCGTGCAACTCAAGGAACAGGTGCGGCGCATCCTCCTTTTTAGCCCGTAGTCCGTCGCGAGGAAGTTCGGAGGGCTGACGCTGATGCTGTGTCTCTTTTGATCGGCTTGCTCCGCGCACAGGTGCTCAATAACGGGTCATGAAGCAGCGGCAGCAACAACAACAACAGCTGCTGCTGCGGCAGGCGTAGCTACCAGGCTTGCTCGCTAGCTGGCATGCAATGTGAATGCACAAATCCAGGACATTTCTCCCCTATCCAGTTCCCTTCTGCTCTTTTCTACTACATCAGCATAAGGCCGACACCCGGCCTATAGACCGTCGTTCCAATTCAAATCAGCGATCGACAGCCTCAGCAGCACATGCTACCCCTTTTTCTCGCCGTTCTACTCTGCCGTACTCTGTCCGCCGGCTCGCAAAGCTGCGCCGGACCGGGTCCAAGAGGGTAGGGTTCGAGTGAAGACTCAGTTGTGCGAACTGCTTTAGGCTCTGTCTTCGCCGCAAGCAGGCGAGCGAAGGAAGGAAGGAACGCCAGCGTCCAGCTCCATCATCCCCCGTCTACCTTCGCTCTTGCCTTCGCATCGCTCCTCTCCTGCATTTTTTCTTTCTTTTCCATCATCATTATCAACAACACCATCCGGAACGCGACCAATGGACTTTTTCGCAGCGCCTCGCCCTCGTTCTTCTCTCGCCGCGCGCGGACAGCTGCGGCGCAAGCATGCATGGCCGGCGGCCACCTGGCTAGCCATCGCGGGCACCCGCGATGTCCTGCTCGACGTAATGCAACGCCACTCGACTCGATGCGGGTATGCACGTGTACATACACGCTGCCGCCGCCTTCCCGTTCGTGGTCACATACGAGCCCTTCCCCGTTCCCCCAAATCGAATTGTACTACATAGGACGTTGACTGTGAATATGAATGTCTTCTTTTCCTCCTCTTTGCGCTGCGGGCGGACGCTGGCGGAGAGGAGAGCTGCTCGTGACTGGTTCGCTCATTCACTTGGCTGTGCTCGGAGCATGCGCGTGGCAGGTTGCGGCCGCGGCTCAGAGTGATGTGGTCGCTCTGGCAGTCGAGCGGGCGGGAGACTCGGAGCTGCTGCCGACGGAAGTGCTAGGATGGATAGATGGAGTGATGGCGACAGGCTTGGGCATCTAATGCTGGCGATGTCCATGCGATATGCAATGGCACTGCATTTGATTGCGGATGGCAGAGCGTTGGGCCGAGTAGTGAGCGACTGGTGGATGGTTTTGATTCCGCCGGCCGGAACGGCACCGGCAAAGATCGAACAAGAGAATGGAGCACAGGACAAAAACGTCACGTCGCCTCTGAAGAGGAACACGATTCCACGACATGGCCAACAGTGGGGCACACGTAGAGGTCTCTGCGCATATCGTGGAAGGACCAATCGACGCTCGGGCCTCGGCTGTCTTGCCTTGGTGGTCTCTCGACTCATCTGTCGCTCCGGTCTTGGGTGGTCTGTCCGAGCGAGACGCAGCCGCAAGCTGTGTTGTAGCACACATTGCTACACCCTTCGCCTCTCGGCCTGGCCAGAGTCGCCAAGGTGTACGGCATCGAGATAAAGATAGCATCAACCAGGCGGCTGCAAGACAAAGGCAAATTTCACTCGAGCGGGCCGCAAACTACACTGCATTTTACTCAGACGGTGCTTGGCTGCTTCGAGGTCCTGCTTTTCGATATCGCACGTCTGCTACCATTCATCAGCCGCCGCCGCTGCCGAGACGGACTCACAGCGCTTGACTCGAGAACGAGTCAAGGCACCGGTACAAACAAAGTAAAACGGGTGCTTAGATATTTCATGCCTCACGTTTGCGTGCGAGGCCATCGCTAGAGACAAGGGAAAGGCTCTTGGTCAAATTTTTGCTGCATCAGCAAGGGCAGTGAGCGAGCGAGCGAGCACGCATATAAGAATCCAAACAGGCAAACAACCATGGCTGGCTCATCCGCCCATGGCTCCAAGTGGGGCACCATAGCCTCCTTTCCGTCTGCGTCCTCGTCGAGCTCACCCGCAGCGCCAGGATCGTCGCCCGATGTTGCAGTAGCCTCGCCAAACCGGAAAGCGAGGCCTGGCCTTCAGTCGCTCCTGCAGCAGCAACCGCCCTCCCCCCCTGCGGCGGCAACTGCAGCAGCATCGCCTCGGAGTCATCAAAGCAGCAGCAGCGGCGCCTTGGATGGGCCTTCCGCTTGGCAGATGGCATCAGCCACAGGCGCTGCAGACGCCGGCACGACGATGGTATCCCACAACGGCTCCGCGGCCTCCGGCATGGACAATGTATCCGTCAGGCGCAACCACACCATCTCCTCGGCCGGAGGCAAGATCGCTGCCAAGAGCGAGCAGAGACAGCGCGAGATGAGCATGCAGCGCCTCAATAGCCACTTTGAGCGGCCGCCGTTGCCTTTTGACCAGCAGCAGCAGGGCAGTGATCTGGTACGAGGCGCTTCGGAAGGTCTGCGAGAAGTATGGAACCGCGGAAACGCACCTGCTGCAGCTGGACGCAGTAGCGGTAGACAACCAACCACATCATCTCGGCAGGCTCCGACGGATCCTGGCACACTGCGCGAACTGCACACTGCTGCAAGTGCAGGTGCAGCTCCCAAGAATGACAAGCATGACCAGGCGCTATATGATAAGGTAACTGTCCAGCGGAACAAGAGCATGCCCAATAGCAGGACGGGTGCTTCTACCAGTGAGTTGCTGCTGTGCATGCTCCTGTACACCTCTTTTTCGCATAGATTCTGAATAAACGCCGCATTTTGGTCTCAGAACCTGAATTCTCGTCCCTTCGGCACCATCAGCTACCGCAGCTCACAGGTGCACAGAGAGACGCCAACGCAGATGATGACGATGATGACGATTCGCAGCACCAGCTTGTCGCAGAGCACAACTACCGATATGCTTTCTTTGACGACGAAGACGAGCAGGAACAGATGGCAAATGTCGTCAAGCACCATCGCTACTCTTCGCAGCCAGACTCGCGGACCAGCGGCCTCAACGGCAATGCGAATGGCGTCGGGCCCCTCGGTGCCAGTCTCGTGAGTCCCACAGGCTCCATCTCCTCACGCAGCCGTCTCGAACACAGGAGCGTACGATCGCCGTGGGACAGCCCCGTCACGGAGCTCGTCGGCAGCAGCGGCAGCGGCGTTGCTGGTGGTGGTGGGCCCTTCACCGGCTCCCCGCGCACCTCGGCGTTGCTCAGCCCCATCGTACCACATGCGGACGATCAGCTGCCTATTAGCGGACTGGACAGGGGTCCCTTCGGAAGTGCAGGCGCTCAGCGCTCAGCGTCACCTAGTCGTCACCCCAGTAACAATGCCAGCCCTGCTGCCATCCGCAGACATCAGAGCCTTAGCTATCGCTCCAGCCACTCCTCGCTTGGTCCTGGCTCGGGAAGAACAGGCACAGCAGCGCTCCCGTCGCTCGTGAGTCGGTTCGGTCCAGCGGATGCGAACCGCCCGCCGAATCCCAGCACTGGTGCGACTGCGAACGACGCTCCGGGCATCAGCGCAGGATTGAAGCAGCCCATCCGGAGCAGCACGCTTGACATCGCGCCTCCGGACGGGATCGAGCAGTACGAGCGACAGAGGTACGGAAAAGTAGCAGCAGCGGCAGGGTACTCCAACAGTAATTGCAACGGGAACAGCAACAGTGACGGCCCGACCTCGTCGCCACTTCCGCATTCGCCTCTCACTCCTACACACACCAGCTCCAGCGCGCCATGGCTGATCGACGAGCAGCCTCGCTCGGCGAGCAATCTCCGTGGGTCGCCAACTACTCGTTTTTCTCCCTCGGCCGGCGCCGGAGCTGGGACTGGGGCCGTCAAGGGAGCAGCGTCGCCGCTCAACTACGCGAATGCGAGCGATCTGGCAAGCGTACAGCGTGACCTTGCCAATGTACAGCTTCGAGATGGCGAAAATGACCGTGACCGCTCGCAGTCACATTCGAATCAAGTAAACAATTCCTTGCCCTCTGCCAGACCATCTTCGCAGCTGCGCAAGCTGCCGTCCCTCATCACTGACCCAGAAACGCTAGCTGCTCGCGCGTCAGCCACATCCTCCTCACGGCCCTTGGCCGGGCCTGTCAGCGCCTCGGCGTATGTCCCGCCCATAGGCCATGGCCACTCTCGTGCCGACTCAAGCTCGAGCCCGGTCGTGTACATCCCTCGGTCGGAGAAGACCGCCCTACTTGCGGACGGCGAAAGTGCGGCTATGCACCGCAATGGTGGTCGTGGTACTGGAGGTGCTGCGGCGGCGGCGGCCGGTGCAAGCGGTGGCCTGACCGGAGCTCATGCACGCGCGAACAGGGTACACATGCGTAGTGGTGGTGGTCATCAGCAACATGGCAATCCTCTCGCTGGGCCGTACACGGCGCTACCTGCCTCACAGAGTGAATCATTCAGGTGGCCGTTGGCCCCCGCTACACCCACCCCCGCTTCGGGGACCAAAGCAGCGAACAATGCTTTCGCAGAGGGTGATGTGAGCGAGTTCGACGTCAGCGTCACTCCCTCCACTCTGCAAGAGCGCACGCCCACTGGGGATGCATCTTTCGCTGCCCAGCAACAGTTGGAGAACCCTGCTCACGCAACCGGCCCGATGGATCTTTCCTCATTCGCGCAGGCACATCCGCTCGCCGCCATCTCTCCATGCCCGCCACTGGCGCCATTGCCGCAGCGATTCGCCGCTCCGACTATACAGCAGCCGCAAATGCAGGCTATGCTGCCGCAGATGCCTTTTGGTGCGTTGCCTGGCGGTGGTGGCAGCGCCAGCCTTGGTGTACCTTTCCAGCCGCCGATGGGCCCTGATCCAAGTCTTGACGGTGCAAGCCATGGGGTTGGTACGGGCCACAACAGCTCGGCGCTCTCAAACAAGATCCCACCGCATCTGATCATGGAAGCCAATCGCCTCGTTGCGGAGCGCCACTTCAATCCGGTCGACTTTCCTTACCTGTGTCCACCCCCTGGCGCGCGCTTCTTTGTCATCAAGAGCTTCACCGAGGACGACGTACACAAGTCACTCAAGCATGAGATTTGGGCCAGCACGGAGAAGGGCAACGCACGCCTTGATAGAGCGTTCCGCGAGACGAAGAACCTGCCTGCTGCCCCAGCTTCAGTCGCATCTGCCGATGGGGCAGCTGGCCAAGGACCGCCGATCTACCTCTTCTACTCGGTCAACGCTAGCGGGCACTTCTGCGGTATGGCCGAGATGCTCAGCCCACTTGATTAGTATGTCGTCCGCTTAGCACCAAACTAGGACGTGTCTGATCGCGAGCTCTCCTGTCACTTGTTTTCCCCTCTCCCCTCCAGCAACACGACGAGTAACGTCTGGGCACAGGAGAATAAGTGGAAAGGCATCTTCAAGGTCAGGTGGATTTACGTCAAGGATTTGCCGAACAACCAGCTGCGCCATCTCCGCTTAACGAGTAAGTCTGCCTTCCATGCCAGCTGCTGTCTGATATCCTCTGACACATCATTTGGGCACCTGCAGACACGACAGAGCAAAAACCGGTCACGCAGAGCCGTGATACTCAAGAGCTTCCCTCTAATGTCGGACAAGAGATGCTCCGCATCATGGCCGAGTTCCCAGCCAAGACCTCTCTTCTTCAGGACTTTGCTTTCTACGAGATGCAGTCACATCAGAACGAGGCACAGAAGAAGGCGGCCACTGCTGCTGCTGCAGCCGCCGCCGGTTCTGTTGGACAACCCACCGGTACGCCCGGCTTACCGCATCCGGCCAGCGGCATGATGTCCGCTCCTCCACCTCATGTGCTGCTGCCCATGCCTACATCCTCGCCCATGCCATTCTACCAGCAGGCAACACCTTTCTTTGGCAGCGACCCAGCTGCATCCTTGCGCTACCAACAGCAGCTGCAGAATCTATTCCTCAACCGACCCCCACAGTACCAAACCCAACTTCCGCAACAACCATTCCTCCAGCAGCAACGGCAGCGCGGCTCGCAGCCTTACATTCCCTCTCCACAGCCGAGCCCAGGCTTTCCCCATGCGTAGACAGCTGTCATTTTGCAAAGTATCCATCGACCACCGTACGCTGTCATCTTCAAAGATGAAAGAAAGATTGAAATGCAGGAGGCAACGGGAAGGACAATCTGACCATGATAAGCAAGCTTTGTATTATAAGCTCCTTCAGCTGTATCACACCAACGCGGGTTCCTTCTTTATGCTCGGATGCTTCACCCCTTAATACATCCCTGCTCGCCATCTCATCGTTGCGCTGCCTGTGCTAACTGGTGAGAGGCGCCACTGGGTCGCGCTGTTGCTTGTTGGGGCTGATGTGCGATCGCCTTATCCTTCCTGACCTTGCTTGCCCGTTTCTCTGCTCGCTGTCGTTTCCGATGCCCTGCGCCTCGTTCTGTAGGGTATTGCAATGCACCGGAACCATCTGTGAGTGATGGCAAGCTCGAGCGCAATAATTCTAGCACTCACTTCTCCCAACACCGGCAAGCTTGACCTTCCCACCATTCTCATCGATCTCCTTTTTCTTTGCAACAAGCAGCTTGTCTACCTTGCGCTCTTTTGCTTTGTCACGCTTTCGCAACGAATTCGCCATTTGCGCCTTCATCAGCGGAAGATAGAGTATTTCAAACTTCTCGAGCTCGGGTGCTTTTACCTGTGTTTCATGATATTCTTTTAGCTGGAGCTCCTCACTTCATCATCTGTCGAGCCGGGCCGGGTCGAGCTTGTTGGACTCACTAGAGTGCTGAATTTAACACGCTTCTTCTTGTCCTCATTGCCATCGGTCACTCGGAAGATGAGCGTGTGACCGGGAGAGCTGGAGCTTGCAGAAGCCTCTTGCATTTGTGCATCCCCCTCGAGGTCATACTCTGTACTGAGACGTTTCTTTGTCAGGAAGATGGTGTGCTTCTCCTTGCTAGCTGCGAACTGCGCTTCGAGGCGAGTGAGAAACTGCAAGGATACCATCGTCAGACTACGCATTTGCTTGCCCACACACACACCGAGATGGGCACCCTCTCGATGCGCTCACCTCTTGATTAGAGACGCGCATGATGTTGTTCACGACGAGCCTTAGTCCAAGTGCTTTTGAGGCTCCTGAGCTGTTAGAATGAAAGAGCGAGTATGAAGCGCAGGTGTATTTTGACAGTGGGGAAAGCGATGAATAGCAAAGTTATTGATGTTAGAAGTGATCACATAAGCACACAACGCAAGGCCGATCCGTGTATTGGGGGATTGTTGAGTTGTGGAGCCTTGGGGTCTCGACATCACGAACCTTGAGCTCATCTATGAGATCAACACACTATCTTTAGTTCAACACACACTTGAGACGAGCTTATTGACAGAGCAAAGAGGCGCAAGTCACACAGCTTGGCATCTACAGAAGCCTGTCTGCGCTATCGTCCTTTTGTAGTTTCTCAGGACTCTGCCGATCATGGCCAGCGTCAAAGACCCGCCTCAGGAGACCACCACGCCGCCACGATCCAGCGAGGACAACAGCCAACCTGCCGAGAAAGGGACGAGGGGAACGCCACCAGCTTCTGAAGATGCCAGAAAGCGAGCTGGAGAGACAGAGAGCGCTGGACAGGATGAGAAAATTGTTGCCCGGCCCGAGACACCTCCGGAAGCCATCAAAGAGGTACCCGAGAAAGTCTCGATACCAATTCTCGCTCCCCCACCTCCGCCACGTACATCTTCGAACGCGGCCGCGTCTAGTGGCAGTGGTACAAAATTCGAAAGCTCCCGGGGTGCAAGAGAATCCAAGGCAGGGGCTGGCGCCACGGCGAATCTTGGTGACGATGGAGAATGGCAAGACATGCCCGTGATACGGACATTGACCGAGGAAGATGAACACTATGCCGTCTTGGATGAAGAAGACCGCAAAAAGTATCGCTACAAGGTGTCCAATAATCGCAGATTCGAAGATGAGACTGGACTTCCCGGGACACTTCAAGACAAGCGCAAGTCCGGGGCAATCGGCAATGCGACGGGGCGTCATTTGGACATCGACGATGCACGAGGGTATGATTGGCGTAGCAAGCCAGCCGGGATTGATTTGGACGAAAGCGAGGAGGAGGAGCAAGGGCGAGGTTACACTCAGATTCAATTGCAAGAAGATGAAGAGGCGGAGCGACTGCATGCTGCTACCGAATACTTGTTTAACGACGTGACGAACTCCCCCTTAGAAGGGCCGTCCGTCACGCCTGCGAACCAGATGGCGACGACGAAGCAGTTGTTGACAGAGGGGCAGCGCATAGCCTACGTAGGTCTGTGCAGCCTACTTGCAAAGGATATCAAGGCAAAGGTCGTCAAAGGGCCGAAAGGCAACGACCTAAAGGAGGCAGCTCAGAGCGCCGACCATTGGATAGCTAGTACTATGTCCAAGCTCTACGTACACATGGACGTTGAGGGTCCAGGTGAGCATATTTGATTCAGGAAGCGCATCATGCAAGATGCTGACTCGCCAAGCTTTTGCGGTGGACAGAGAAACACATGATCGAGATGTTGGGAGAGCACGGCGTGTTCGCCTCGGACCTTGCGGCAAATCTTGCAACAACACAGACTATAGACAACCCAGACTTTGATCCGCGAGCACTTGCAGAAAGGGAAGAGATGGAGCGGAAAGAGGCGAAGGAGGCAGAGGAGGCAAAAGAGAAAGTTCGCATTCAAGTGGAGGAGGCTCAGGCCAATGCTTCAAGTGGTAAGAACCCCGATGGGTTGCAGGGAGACGCCACTTCCGGGGATTCTAGCGAGCCGCCCCCGGCCTACGAGGCCAAAGAGGAAGAGGAAGGAGAGATGGAAGAGATCCAGGATGACGGAGACATCGGCGCGCAGTTGCAATCGCCGCGACCGGCGAGGAAATCAATAGAACGGCCGTTCAAAGCAGCGAAAATCCTAATCGACAAGCGCGACGAGGCTACTTTGGAAGAGACGGACATTGGGTGTGGTGCTCAGACTCAGCGGGCGCCACAGCCGGATGCGGGCGATGCGCCAGATGGGACCCACGATCAAGGTCTCAGCATGGACACAGTCCAGGCAAGTCCCGGCACCCGCGCCAAGGTCTTGCTCGACCCGAACACCATGGCTCAAGTGAATGCCGACAATCTTAAAGCCGACGGGCAAGAAGCGAGCAAAGCCCAACAAGAAGTATCTAAGACGTTGGGGCTAACCTCACAGCCGCAAGCTGTGCAGCCACCACCTAACGCCCTGGAGGGCGTGACGACAGAGATCAGTACCGCAGACAGGACCATCACCCTCGACATTCGATGGACCGTTCTGTGCGATCTGTTCCTCCTTCTCATCTCCGAGGCCAATTACGATGCGCGTTCCCGTGTCCTGCTCGAGAACGTCGCCCAGGCCCTCGGGCTGACATGGCTAGATGTGACCAAGTTCGAGAAGCGAGTCGCGGACACACTGGAGATTGAAGAGGGTGTGGAGAAGCTTAAAGATCAATCGCTGGTGGAAGAAAGGGCAGCGCAAGCGAAGAAGAAGCGTCTCTTAATGATGGGACTCGCGACAGTCGGTGGCGGTCTCGTGATCGGATTATCAGCCGGGTTGCTCGCACCGCTGATTGGGCTGGGTCTTGGTACGGCTTTGGGCACCATCGGTATTGGTGGAACAACTGCATTCCTAGGCGGCGCAGGCGGTGCCGCGCTCATCACTACTACGGCTACGCTGGGAGGTGCGCAGATGGCCGGTCGAGGAATGAGTAAAAGGACCAGGAGTGTGCGCACGTTCGAATTCAAGACGCTGCATAACAAAAAGCGGTTCAACTGCATCATCGGCATCCCTGGGTATGTATGTTTGTCACAAAAAGGTCGCTATGGAAAAGTTCATGATATTCATGGTCTCTGCTCTTCAGATTCATGAGTGGCGAACAGGACGATCCCCGCCTCCCCTTCAGCGTCATCGACAGCATGATGGGCGACCTTTTCACAGTGCTTTGGGAGCCGGACATGATGAAAGAGATGGGTAATGCCATCGGCATCCTTTGGAATGAGACGATCGGGTCAGGTGTGCAGCAGGTGCTGGCAGTGACATTCGCCAGTGCCTTGGTAGGAGGTGCGTGCTCCAGACTCGTGGCGCGTGCTGTGTCCATTCCTGACATTCTCTTTACACTCGCAACAGCTCTCGCGTGGCCCATCTGGCTTTCGAAGCTCGGCTATCTGATCGACAATCCTTGGTCCAACGCACTCGATCGCGCAAGGGCAGCTGGCCTCATCTTGGCTGATGTCCTCTCTAAGAAGCAAATGGGCGCCCGTCCAATCACCTTGGTAGGCTTCAGCCTCGGAGCAAGAGTAATATACTACGCCCTCACAGAGCTCTACCGCAAGAATTCCTTCGGAATTGTGCAAAATGTCTACCTCATCGGTGCTCCAGTCAGCGCCAACGTCAAGAACTGGACGGAGGTCCGCAGTGTCGTATCAGGCCGATTTGTCAATGGTGAGGTTCAGCTCTGCGAGTTGTATGCGAATGTAAGCGCTGATTCAACGTACGCTAGGATACTCTACATCTGACTGGATCTTGGGGTACCTGCATCGGGCTACGACCGGCGGTCTATCAACCGTCGCCGGCTTGCATCCCATCCAAATAGTCCCTGACATTGACAATGTCGACCTCACGCACATTGTACCTGGGCATCTCGCTTACAGGGCCTTGATGCCCTTAGTGCTCGGCGAGTTGGGCTTCAGGACTATTGCCGACTACTTTGACGAGCCGGAAGAGCTGTCTCAGATTCCAGAGAGAGAGGTGGTGCTTGAGCCCACCAATACCGCCCCGGAATCGGAGCAGGTCCCACAGACGAGCACATTCGCATCATTTTTCCGCCGTAAAAACGACGTGTCTGCCGCCTCTCCCTCGCCAGCGCAACCTTTGACTCACAATCTCGAACAGAATCTCCGACACGCACTCTCCAAACAGCATACCTCAGCACTGAAACATGGCCGGTCTGCGCAGGATTATGACTACGAATACGACGAAGACGCTGACGCTGACGAAGAAGGGCATGCAGACAAATCTGCCTCTCCAGGCCGAAGATTACCGCCATACCCAGCGGAGAGTGTCAGCGCCTCGAGCTCTGAGAAGCACGACCTCAGCCTGGATCGCTGTGAATCTACAAGCGTCGCCCCTGCTGCGCTTGAGCGGGAACGGGATTCGGAATCGGCGGTGGTGTTTGATACGGACCTGCTTCTGGAGGAGCTACGCCGCGCCGGCGTAGAAGTGAAGGAGCTGGAAACTTCCTTGCCACCCTTGGCCACTTCGACTGTTCAACCCAAGGAAAAAGCGCCTGTTAGGAACGACAAGGCGCAAGTTTGGCAGCCAGAGCTGCAAGCCCCGTTGGTGCGCCCAACGGACTTGGCACCGAGCCAATCTCACCAAGGCGGCGAGCACAGTCTGAGCGGATCAGGGATGCACACGTCGACGTCAGCTGACAGAATCCGTGACAGAACTTTGGGCAAACCGCTGCCATCCTTCGGTTCCGAAACCAGTGCATCAACAGGTTGGGGCTCGAAACCATCGGGCGGTCAACCGGCACCCGTGCCTTCATCAGCCTGGAGTGTCGAGGAGCCACCAGCACCCGTGAGCAAAGACTTTGCTTTCAGTGCCCCGTCCCCAGCACAGATTCCGAGGGAATCTTCCATCTCCATGACATTCGCGTCCTATGACGATGAGGAGATCTCAGCCCCCGTAGGCCCCCTACACGAAGGATATCCAGGACATTCTCCTTGTCTCGATCCTGCGCACACGTTTCCACAACCGCCCGGGCCTCAGCTGTCTTTTGGTGGACACGATGGTTCTATCTCTTTTGCAGACAACCCCTGGCAGTGATCTCTGCGTTCTCATGCATATGCAATTCACCTTTTGGCTGTATCATAGACAATTGCATTCCGAAAGATCATTGCTTTTCGAAAAAACCTCATGAAGGAAGTGCACTGCAGAAGATATCATGAGCTCAGCTTCACGGGACCAATTGCTGGAGGAAGGCCACAAACGCACCTCCTTTCGACCGAATTTGAGGAAAAGTAGAAGGTGGACCATCCGTACTCTGTGCCTCTGAATGAGCCAGGGCTGAAGACTTTGCACGTTTCGTACGTAAGGTCAAATCGGTCATATTTGTCCGCCAGAATTAACTGCGCAAGTGTAAAGGAGGAGGGTCGCGTGAGTCTGCTATGACGCGGCGCCACTTGTCCAGAGTTGGTTAATGAGCAAAGGCTCGACTCACTGCAGTGGGCATCGGGTACAGTCGCAACGTGTGGTCAAAGTCCCATGCGATCGGTCGGACCTGTTGTGGCAGAGGGCACAGGTGTGCTTGATCGAGGATGGTAGATACCAGCTGAGGATGAGCACGGCGTAGCATCAGTAGCCATAAGCATTCGTGGATTTGGATCGCACAGGAGAGCATGAAGTGAGACTCACGTATTTACGCAGATCGACCCCTTCCTCCTCCTGCTGCTCATCTTTGATCTGGACGACATTTCTCAGCATTCTTGCCATTAGGTCCTCGCGGAAGATGACGACCTCCTGGCTAAAATAGCGTATCCGGCACGGGTTGGTGGTGAAGTGGATGTTGTTCGGCGCCATGTCGCGTAGCTTCTGAGTCATCGACGCGGGTAATGGTCGCTTTGGGAGCAGCTTCGATGGGAATGGGTCGTTTGGGCCGGGAACAAAGACAAAGTGCGACGTGCGAAGGACGTCAGGAAATGCTTCTATGATGTCCGCTAATCGCCCGAATGCGTCTGGATGCGTCCGTGCGGAGTGTTTTGTCAGGGGGGACCTTGCGCCTGAACTTGACGAACCAGCGTGTGCAGAAATCGCACAGTACTCACCGGTATATCGCTTCACTACGTCACCGGTGCCATTCACGTCGCTGCAAAAGTTGCCACAGAGGACAAATACAAAAGGAACGAACTTGGCATCGACATAGCCTTGCAGCATTGTCTGAAAGTTTGCGAGCGTCTTAGGATGATCGAGGTGCAGGTCGGAGATGACGACCATGCACACTTCGTGGTGCATTTGCTCGTATGACTTGAGTACTTCCTGGCAGCGGTCGAGGGTGTATTAGATGGCCACGGCCTGTGCATGTGTCAGCGATGCAGCGCTCACCTCATCCTTCAGAGTGATCGACCCGGTGCCCAAGAAATCTACGTGCCCGTACATGGCCCTGGAAGTGATAAGCCAAGATGTTGCATGTAAGCTGGTGGTACATAACAGGCCATGGTTGTGGGACCTTTCGCCGCCGTCTCCTCACCGTGCTTCATGCCGTGGCTCGCTCGGCGGGTGACCGATGGCAAAGACCTTGAGCCGATCAGAGTAGGTATATTCGCCTTCCACCAGGATGATGCAGCCTTCGGTGAAAATACCTTCGCCGGGGATCTGTGGCCGATCGCAAGAGCAGAACAGTAATCCATTCAGCGCACTCCAGCATGAGATGCCGATGTGACGACACGACTCACTGCTTCGCTGAGGTCCAGCAAGACTACCCCGTCCAGGTCTTCGAGTGCATATTGTCCGTCGTCCGTGGTGCACAGCAGGCCCAAGAGGAGAAAACGTTGCCCTTGTCGCCCGGCGAGGTTCTTAATGGAAGTGAGCTATCATGAAGAGTAAAAACGTAGGAGATGAGCATCTGCCAAACACCTTGCTTGCAAGTTATACACCTCGCTAAGCGGGCATTGGCGCACCTTCATAAACTGCTCGCGTTCCCGCCCTTTGCCTAGCGCCAATGGTGGAAGAAAGTTCTCGTTGCGCAGGACGATGTTCTTGACGACGCTCAGACGCTCCCTCAGCACGGTGGGTCGGGCTACGGCCAGTGGAAGAAACGTCCCTCGAGCGGCTCTTTGAAACAAGCGTTGAGTGTCAGTTTCGTTTGCTGCGTCACAGTCGAAGAGAATACTGCGGTTAAACCCACTTGTCAAAGTTCTTACGGTGAGGATCAAAGACGTTTCGTGGCATGTCGAATGCACCGACGACTTTGAAATAGTTAGCAGGATCCGGCCCTGCGCCTTCGCTAAGTTTCTCTCCATCGTGCGTGTATTCAATTGTGCCATTTTGCGCGCCTTCGAATCTGTTGCCACCAGAGGCGGCCGTGGCGTTCCCATTCTCCTCGGAGACCATCATCTGCTGGTAGACGGCTTCGAGTGCAGCACGGGTGACGAGGGACGAAGACCCTGAAGGTTATATGTGGAGGTAAGCACCCGCTTAATTTGCCCAGGTACAACCAGAAGAGAGTGAAAATCCCGACTTACCCTCCGAGCCTTCCTTGTACTGCTCGCCATTGATAAACTCCTTTGCTAGGAACTCGATTGCGTCGTCCCACTGGCTCTGCTTATGGTTCAAGCCATGATGATCGAATGCCTCCGCGATGAAGGTCAATGCAGACGCGTGCAGCTGCAGGTTGTACTTGCGCGTAAAAATGCGTACGATGGACTTGCGCAGAGGGGCTGTGATGTCCGGCATGGTCGGCTCGTCTCGTTCGTCGTTTGTGCTTCGATGGTTAGAGCGGGAGGCAAGGATATCACGCCGTCGCGTCGCTCCGTCGGCATAGGGGAACTGCCAGAATGAGTCCACGATTTTGCTCGTCCAAGTGGAAGACGCACGTCGCAGCAGGCTATTATCGGATTCATGTGAGGAGGAGATAGTTGCGAGCTGAAAGTGCCGTCGCCATCATCACCGTCATTCACCACCATTAGCTCGATTCTCTCTGTTTCGCGTCGCGTTGGAGTAGATTGATTTCCTCGCGTCGCGTGCAAACGGCCACATCGGCGATCAAAACCACCCTGTCGGCCATTTTCTTCCCTTGATGGGCTTTACAGACATAGTCTTGACACGGCCCCCACCCCACCCGCCGCCACTTTTGTAAATCCAACCGATTACCCTTATAGCGGCTTGCAGCAGCGTCGGGCACAACCGCTGGCGATCTGATGGAAACCGCGAAGAAAGCAACGCTCACATCCTATATCCAATCGAAGGCACCCTCAGACGACGCTCGCTTTGTTCAAGAGCACAGGATTCTCGCAGCAGACAGGAGGTCATGAGCAGTAGTGTCATCATGGCTCCTTCTCCCGTCATCAATGTGAGTTGTCCCTTCTCCATGCGACCTTCGTGGCGCTGGCCTGCTGGGCTCCATCTTGGAGGCTATTGAAGACTGACGCACGCACTATCTCTCTCGCTCCCTTTTCACGCCAACAGGTCGTCCGATACTCGGCCCTGGTAGGCGGAATTGCATACGGTATCGTTCACAGGAGGACGCTGCAGGCACGAGAAGATGCCAAGGCGGCAGAGCGAGCATACAAGCACAAGGAGGACTTAATAAGGCAGGCCAAAAAGGCGTACGCCGATAGGCTCGTCGCTGCGAATTCGGGCTCAGGAGGTGCGTTCTTTTCCTTTCTCGGATCGATCCCTCTCGCTATCGGCATACTTCTCGGAGGGTGATTGAGCCGGACGCACAAAGCAAAAGCGAATAGATGACTGCCGCCCTTCAGACCAATGGCGAAGCCACTCGTTGCTGGGAATGGATGCGTCAATGGCACGGCAACGTGCGGGATATGTCCAAGCTGTGGTACCATGCGCATGCTTTTGCATACCGGACACTATGACACTGACACGTTGCTCCGATCCTCTGCTGTTCTTCACAACAGTCGTCACCAACCCAGACGACCCAAAGTTCGATCTCGAAAAGTTCTTGGTACACCTCGAAAAGCAATTATAGACTCCAGTCTCGTGCCCTCTCTCCCTCTCTCTACAATTTCAATCGTACCACATTGTAATTCCAACCAGGATACCGCTCGAGCTATACGTGGTTCACATTCTCGAAGTGCTCCAGGGGATGGCATGGCATGCATGTTCTTGTGACTTGGCCGTATCCGGAGGTATTACGCTCAAGCGCACGGGGAAGAGATGGGGGTTGCTTGAGCAGTAAGAGCATATTTCATGCATCATCAGAATCCGCAGCCGTCTGGCGCAGAGTTCATCTTGCACGAATAGGAAGGCGAAGAGAGACGATGTTATGAAGCAGTGCTTACGAACAAGAGCATAGATGGATTGAAGATGGCCGCCGGATGAGGCCAAATCGAGGCAAAGCTGTTCGGCGCCTTTTAAGAAACCCCGCGCCTTCCTAGCGTTCCGACTTGTGTACCCTGTGTATTGGTTCGTCATCAAGCATGCATGCCAAGATATCATTGCAGTTTACAGGCTGCTGGTGTCCAGAGCAGGTTCGGGTTGTGATGAATGAAAGAGTGGTTGTCTTTCGATTTGACTCGGATGCTGAGGGTCGGCCACTGCGCGACTCTTATGAGTCCACTGCGGCGTGGCCAGAGTCTGCTACTTCCAAGCGCGAAGCTCTCTCTGCCCGCTCCGCCTCGATCCTTCCAATCGGAATTCTTCCACCCCGCTTCGACGGGGGAGATGCATTCGACAAGTACACGACATTGTACACTTCCTTCTTCAACATCCTTTTGGTCGCACCAGGCCAGGCAGAACACACGAGCGAAAGAGACACGCTTTCGCAAAGGGGCTTCTGCGTCATTACTAGCCAACCAGCCAGACTGCCCGCTCTTCTTGGACTTTCGAACGTCCGCGGCCCTCATTGATTCTCAGCAGCGATACTTATCAGTCTTCCGTCGCAACATGCCTCTCGATCAGGAAAAGCTTGCCAAGCTGCAAGCTGCCAGCCGAATCGGTGCGTTTGCGACGCGAAAAAGATTCTCTCATCTGGCTTTTAACCGCACACATCGCTGACGCTCGTGTTGTCTGCACTACAAAAAATCCATCCTCAAATCCCTCCATGCGTTAATCCCATTGACGGGAATTTGACCTACCACACGCACACGCACACGTGCTCTATGCTCTGTGACTACAGGTGGCAAGGGCACGCCCAGGCGGAAAGTCGTCCGCAAGCCAAAGGCGCCCGGCGGCGATGACACCAAGCTGCAAGCGGCGCTCAAGAAGCTCAACGTCCAGCCAGTGAGCGGCATCGAGGAGGTCAACATGTTCAAGGAGGACGGCAACGTCCTTCACTTCCAGGCACCCAAGGGTGAGTCATTGCTGGATGTTAGGATTTTTTTCGACTGCGACTGCCACACTCCGCAGACAAGAGAGCAGACGGTCGTCTTCTTTCCGGTTCTTTGGCCTTATCTCACAATTTTTCTTTAATTCATTTTTCTTTCCTTGACAGTTCACGGCGCTACTGGTGCAAACACTTTCGCCATCTACGGCCAGGGCGCCGACAAGGAGCTCACCGAGCTCGTCCCGGGAATCATCAACCAGCTCGGCCCAGACTCGCTGGCGAGCTTGAGGAAGCTTGCGGAGAGCTACCAGCTCATGCAGGGTGCAGCAGCAAGTCAGCAGGCCGGGGGGGAATCAAAGGACGATGACGACGTCCCCGATGTGGTGCGTTTCTTCATGATTCGTTGTGAAAAGAGCGAAGGGCGAGCGGCGGCCAGTCCACTGAATTAGGTTGCGATCAACGTCATGCAAAGTGTGGCATTAGGCGCAGCCTATCACATATGCCCTGCTCGCCTGCACGGACGATACCACCCTTAGATTGTTGATGATACTGACTCCATTCTCCCCTTCCGCAATGCAGGCCGGCAACTTTGACATTGACGAGAACAAGCCGGCAACTGGCGAGACTGAGGTCGACAAGCTCGACTGATTAAATCGCACGTATGCCGATGGCCCAAGGTAGAAGGCAAATCATCCGATCTGCATGCACCCTATCTGACCCACTGACCGACCGGGCAGCGCAGACGTAGTGTAAGCTGTTGTCGCGCAGGGAGACTTTCAATGTGTACTATCAACACTTTTCGTTGCAAAATTGAGCGTAAGCTACGGCTCCAAGAAGCAAGTCATGCGAAGGTGCTCGATCACTTTCTTGGTGTTGAAGGTGCACGGCATGGTGCATTCAATTATGATACAAGCGAGAGAAGCGACAATAAAGTCCATGTCTAGTCGTTTTAGTCATTCTCTGCAATGAGCAACGCAATGAGCACAAGGATGATCGTCGTTGGCGCAGCCAAAAAGGTGTATGCGATGACTGGTGGGGAAAAGTATCAGAGTCCTTATTCCCTCTTGCTTCAGTCATAACGCATGCAGGGAAATACTCACAGAGAGTCTTGCTGATCAGTCTCTCGAAGCCCGAGTCGCCACCAGCGCTTTGAGTTGTGATCTGCGCAAGCGTCAGAGCGGGAGGGCTGCCGACAATCAGGCACGCCGAAGCAATAAAGACTGGATCGTCGACACTGGGGGCAGCAGTAACAATTGCGCCCGTGTCAGTTGAGAGTTGCAAACGAAGGCATGCGCGTCACACAGCTCATAACTTACACATTGTCTGTGAGACAATGTACCCAAGTGGCAGCGAGATTCAATTAGCGCAACACCCTCATTACCACTAGCTGACGCACCTCAGACTCACAGTGTGTCGAAATTGCATACCATGCAACAAGGGGGACCAGTAATAGCGGCGTGACGAACATGCGGGATAGGATGGCAACAGCAATCGTCTTGTTCTCCTCTTTTCTCTGCATCGCGCTGACGCGCTTCGCGAACGCTGATGAGGGAAGCGACGCACGTTCCGCGCCCACACTGTTGCCAGTTGCATCCGTGTCGTCTCGATATGGCTCATCGACTGGATCGGCACCACGCCGCTCAACCGAGTCGAGCACATCCACAGACCGTGTGCTCCGCCATGGATTCCAGGAAGAGATGCGCCACCCGTTGCTCTCGCCGTGCTCGCTGCCCGTGACAGAGTGCAAGCTACCTGCTGCCGAAGGCCTTCGGCTGTCGGAGATGTTCTCCGAATGCTCTTCAGTGCCGGCAGTGAATGGCCCAGCAGATGGAGCCGCTGCCGATTGCGATGTGATTCCACCCGCGTCCCTCTCCTCCAGTGGGACGTGGAAGTAGCTTCCGAGACAGATCAGGGTGAGTGGGATGCTGCAGCCACCGGCCGTCTCCAGAGCGCCAACGACGGGTTCCATGTTTCGGATGGTATGCTGCAGCGGGGGGATGAGAGTGACGACAAGCGAGAGCACAGCGGCCCACAACGGCGCAGTCATAAAGCTATTCACCACTTGGAGTGGTGCGAGCACAAACGAGCAGGCAGCACCGCAGCTAGGTCTCTCTTTCGTTCCTCCTAAGAGGGCCTGTGAATGGTCGCCTTCATCGCCATCATGGTCCGGCCATCGATCGTGTTCGTTGGTGAGCTCATTGTCTACGGCAGCAGGCGAATTTGGAAAGCTGACCGCCCATCCTGGAGGCCCAGATCGCTTCTTAGTCGGCCTTTGCGCCACTCTGCTAGCGCCGCTGTTGACTGCCGAGTCATTCCTAGCTGATGTATGGCCGTCCGGAATGGCATGCGCTCCATCATCATCGGAGTCGATGAGTCTACCCACGCGTACACCTTGCTCCAGAGTGAGCACCTCTCTCCCCGCCGGCAGGGCCTCGTCCACCGAGCTGAGCAGCTTGGCACCGACGCTCCATCGCAAGAACATGCCCAAGGTTGAGAAGAGCACGAGGTAGGTCAAAGCTCGACCCAACCTGGATGTATATACTCGGGGATGCCCGTCAGCGGAGTAGAAAGGCGTGAAGCTTGGCCATCTTGGTCACTCACATGGAGTCACTGGTGTCTTCTGGCTCCCCCGGGTCCTCCCAGTGGAGCATCGGTACGGTTGCAACGAGTGACTGCATCAGAGCGACGGGCAAGGAGTTGGAGTTTGGAGAGATGGCGCAGGCGACGGCAAAGTTGCGGTGCGCACGGGAGATGCCAAACAGCTTCGAAAGAAGTAGAGCAGTGAGGGTAGAGACCTTCGGCAAGATGGCGAAATTTTTCAGTACAGACTGATCATGGTGAAGCATACCAGCGATCATACCCACCAAGCTGACAAGGACAAAGCCTACCGGAACAACAGCCAGCTCTACCAGCCTTCCTGGGGTTAAACTGAATGCGACTTTGGAGAAGAGAAGGGCCGGTGTGAAGATGGAGACATTGAGCTTGTTGATTTTCTGCGGAGGAAAGCAAAATTTGATCACGGTGAGGCGTTGGAGGAGAGTCGAGACGACTGAACCGCCGGTAAGGATGGAGAACATGAGGGTGCATGCGACTTACCGTCTGCGTCTTCTTATCAATGATGCCTCTGCGAGCCATGACGTACCCAACGGTGCTGATCAGAGCCACCTCCAAGATGGAGAAGGCGGTGACCTTGATGAGCTCGAGGACAGGGGCATTTGCGGTATGCCGGCCGGTGGTGAGGATGGCCTGGTGATCCTGCACTGCGAACGCCTGCAGGATGGGTGACACATGGTGCGGCATTGTCTGTCTGCTTCGACGAGGCGAGACGGCTGTCCGATTCTTTATGCAGGGTGATAGTTTGCTAATAGCTGTTGATACCCGCTGGTCAGCGGATTACTTCTTTAGCCTGTGAGGAGCTATCAATGGGAGAGTGAGCTACGGGGTGCATTAAACTTCGAAGTGCGCAGTCACAGCTAGCCCCCGATCGGTATCATGTATCGCATGTTTCTGTACATGTGGAGAGCGAGACTCGAGAAGAGTTGGATCGAGTTCGTGATTGAGACGTTGCTTGGGCTGTGCGCACGGGCCAGCGCTTGGCATCTGCGCTTGCGAGCATCCGCGAGTAGGGTTGCGCCAAGAAGGTCACCGAATCAATCACCTGACCCTGAAGTGAGAGAAAGTGGGCTGCAAAGTCTCATCGCTTGGCGCTCGAGCTTGGCCGTCGACATGGCGAAGCCATCGAAATCCAAACCCAAGACTTCTCTCAATCGCGCCGACGACGAACGATGGGCGCGGCGAGTGCTGCTCAATGTTCAGATTTCATCATCTGCCAAAGCACCCTGCGCCCATCTTTGCTGTGCAGATTGAAAGGCTCTTTTGACCTCCAAAGGCGGATGACTTGGCGGCGCGGCGATGGCAGCACGGCACGAGGCACTCAAACCGTTCCTTCGGGGTCAATGGTCCGCGTCCGCCCGCAGAACGGCGAGCATTCGCCCCGGGCCTGCAATTTTGTCATCGCTACGTAATGCTCATGCTTTCACGACTGCACCTGATCAGTCCCAGCAGCGCTCCATACGGCTACCCCGAACTCTGAGACAGGCCGTAGATCAAGTTGAGCAAGGCCGACATTCTGGTGAGGAGCAAGAGATCACCGTCAAAGGATGGATCAAGAGCGTGCGCAAGCACGCCAAGATCACCTTTATCGACCTCGATGATGGCACGCTGCTTGGTGGACAGACCCTACAGACCGTTCTCAAAGGGTCGGCCAAGGATGTGATCGAGTGAGGCCTTCCCAACGATTAGAGAGATTAGTTCATAGGTCCGGGCTCTGACCGAAACAAGCGTGTGCTCCCAGCGCTACTTGGACGGTTGGTGCGGCAGTACAATTGGTTGGAACACTGATCTCAGCGAGACCATCGCAGGGCTCTCCGGGCCCTTCGTCAAAGCCAAAGCTGATCGAGCTCGTAGTCTCCGAAGGTCGCCTGCTTGCCCCATGCGACAGTGCTGTATGTCACAAGGGGCCATATGTCCCAATTCACAAACTGATCTTACGACTTCCTTACGCACATTTGACAGGTTTACCCATTGAACACCTTTCCGAGCGTAGAAACGCTTCGACAGGCTGCTCACTTGCGCTTTCGACGGAGCCGGGACGCTGCGGTGCTACGAGCGCGCGACAGAATCGAAGCTGGCATTGCCCAGTGGTTCACAGTGAGGGTTGATGTTTCGAGAAGATTGAGGCCCCTCACTGCGCTGATACTGCATTCTCCTGTTCTTTTGGAACTAGAGGAACGATTTCACAAAGGTCACCGCCCCCGTGATCACCAGCTCGGACTGCGAGGGAGCCGGTGAGGTATTCCAGGTTATCGCAGATGCCGAGCTCGCGGATTCTCGAGAGCTAGGTAGAGCACCGTCATACGCGTTCTGGTCAGGGTCGCCTGCCTACCTCACCGTGTCCTCGCAGCTGCACCTAGAAGCGCTGAGCCTCGCATTGTCCCGGGTATGGTCCTTCACGCCTGCCTTTCGTGCTGAGCACTCCGCCACCAACCGCCACCTGGCGGAATTTCGTATGTGTGAAGCAGAAATGGCATTCACCGACTCACTCGGTGACGTGCTTGATTGCGTACAAGGCGTCGTCGAAGCGGCCGTGCGTAGCGCGGTGCTTGCGAATGGCACGCATGCTGCACACCCAGATGCAGCCACGTTATTTGATCGGGACGACTTCGGAGCGCACCTTCGCGCACTGGTTCAGAGCGGCGATGACAGCGCACCTTGGCCACGAATCAGTTATACAGAGGCTGTCGATAGAGTGAACCGACATTTCAACACTTCGTCGCTATCGTGGGGAGATTCTCTTTCATCCGAGCAAGAACGGTGGTTGGCATCGGAAATCGGCCAAGGCCCGCTGTTCGTTACCGACTATCCGGCCAGTATGAAGCCATTCTACATGCGCCTGAACGATGCGAAAGCTGCAGGTGCTACAGGCCCTACAGTCGCATGCTTTGACCTTTTGATTCCTGGCCTAGGGGAGTTGGCGGGTGGCAGTTTAAGGGAGGAGCGAGAGGAGGTGCTACTCGAGCAGATGCGGGGGAAGGGTCTCGTCTCAGCCTCGACGCAGGAGCACCTTCGATGGTATGCGCAGGATCTGCGTCGGTACGGAGGCGTAGCACATGGCGGGTTCGGGATTGGCGTCGAGCGCCTCGTCAGTTGGATTACCGCCACGGACAATGTGCGCGACTGTGTGCCCTTCGCGCGAACACAAGGTCCTGTACGATTCTAGCTGGTTCACAAAGGGCCACCGCAGGCTGCCGAACCATTGAAAATGGGAAGATGTTAGACACATGATATATAGTACAGCTGCGAACAGCCAGATTGCAGCAGTTCGCAGAGTTCTGTCCTGCCGGTTTCTCGTCAGGCCTGACACTTGACTCAAATCTCAATCCGTGCAGGGTCAAGTCTCTTCCCGTTGGTCCGCCTGTCAAGTCATTGCAATGCACAGAAATGCTTGTTGTATCGGTGTATAGGTCTCAAGTTAAGATGTTCGCTCACGGGGTGACACTCTTCATATACTGTAACTGTGATTTCTCGGCCGAGAAGGCCCTCCGCTTTCTCGGTTTGCACTTCGGATGTCCATGCATTTGAGAGGAACATCAGACCCTTATTCAGCTTTGAGACTATCGCTCTCATCTTACCTCGTAAAATATTACATGGTTGTAGATCTCCACTTCTCTGTCGAGCTCGTCAAGCTCCTCCGAGCCCAGGAGTCCAACCTTCTACTTCACACCCATTTTGATGCCATTACCACTGGCACGTGATAGGTAGTCAGCCGGGGCGTTTGGAACAACCAAGCTCTTTCGCCTGCGGGCTAGCAAAGGGCGTCAGCCACAGGTACGGAGGATGGCGACGCTAGAAAGATCTCGGCCTGTTCGCGAGGCGCTGCCACCTGCAGTGTTGGAGGAGGCCTATGCGGATGCTGTTAGCAGAGAGGCAGAAAGGACACGATTGCTCGAGCACCTCATTGTACCCCTCGGTGAACCGAAGTTGGCCACCACAGCAATCACCACAGCATCGCTGCCCGAATTGAACTTAGCCTCGCTCCTCACCACGACCTTAACAGCGACCCCGCCTCAGCAGCACACCGTGGACCAGCTGGAATACCCCCGCAACGCTGCCAGCTCTCTTGTTTCTCCCATAGCCAGAGACCTTGTCGAAGATGGGGAGGGAGAGGAGGAAGAGGAGGAGGAAGTCCTCGAAACGCTCAAAGACGAACATGAAGACATCTTCCAGGATGCTCATGAGGCTGATTCTGACGTGCAAGTGAGCCTTTTTCTTTATGCTGCCGGTGCTTCTGGCAAATCAGAGTCTGAACTTACGTGTTCGCTCGCTGCTTCAGACCGATGTTGGCCTTCAAGTTATCCAGCTATCGTCCGCAGTCCTCGATACTATGGATCACTTGCTTGATGCCTTGCAAGAGACATGTGCTTCCAATTTCATCAACGATGCCCGCAGATCAATCGCTACCATCAAGAGTCCCGCTGCAGAGGACGATCAAACAGCGCTTCAATCATTGGAAGCATGTACGCATGCCCTCCAGCAGATATCCAATTCGCCATATCTCAACGAAGATGTTCTACTTCTCCGAACCCTCTACTCCCTTTTCAATGCTTTATCTGATGTCTCACTGGAACCACCGGAGGAGGGCTCTTTGACGCCTAATCAGTCGTCAAGTCCAGGGAAATTGAAAAGACGCGATTCAGGTGTTACTCTCCCCGGCTGCAGTGACGAGCTGCGAGATCCCTTCCAAGATCGCAGCGAGGTCGATGGACTCGGTGGTCTTTTGCGGTCTATAGCGTCGTTCGAACGTCATGCCGGTCATGCTCCTAGCCAGTCATCTTCAATCTGGCCGAACCATTCGATTGATTCACCCAAATCGTCTCCCTCGCAAATCGAGCTGCAAGAAACATCTTCGAAGGAAGCAACCCATCAGTCGAACCTGATGACCGACTTGACGATCGTCCTCGATCTGCTGTTTCAAGTCAAGACGCAGGTTTCCTACCGCCGCAACCGTCTTCGCAGCCAAGAAATGCAGACTTCACCAAGAGCACTCAGCCATCGAGGTAGCATCGCATCCAGCATCCTTTCATCGTCCGTAAACGCGCGCGATGGAGATGGGCCAGACGCCTCCAATGGGCACCTGTCCCGAGCTTCGCTGCTTTCCAGCACCATGACTGCTGCGGGAGGTTCGATGACAGATAGCAAATTAGAGCAATCTTTAAGCATGCTCAGTCTTGGTACGGGAACATTTGGAGAATCTTCAATTCAGCCCCCTCGATACTCTGACGAGTTGCACGGGTTCTCTTCTGACATGCTTAGCACAGCGGAGAAACCGATATGGGAGTACCAAGACTCCCGGCAAAGTCAAGAAGCCCTGCCCGCCAGCCGCGAAACGCCACTCGGCATGAGCAGCGCGCCATTGAGCCCCATCCAGGATTCTACCTCAGCGTATGGAGCAAGAACGGTTCAAGACTTGCAGATTTTGGAGGCCAGCATCGATCGCGCTTATTCTGCCATTCCCCAGCTCGCCGACCAGCGAGCTAACCATCGGCCTGGTCAGGCGCGGGAACTTGCGATCTCTACTCTACTGGACAGGATGGTTGGAACGCCCCGTATGGAGGATCAACGAGCGTCGCCGCCCAGGACTCCACCGATCTCCGGCGCGCATGCATCCATCAGCGACCACAATGCGGAGACTTCCAAAGCGGGTCGCAGTTCGTCTAGACGTCTCTCAGGTGCCAATCTTCGAAGAAGATTCTCTGTTGGCATGTTTGTATCTAGCGTGCGGGCGCAAAGCAGCATCGCGTCACTCAGCGATCGAGAAAAGGGCAAGGAGAAGATGAGTAACATGGGTGATGCAGTCTCATCGCCTCTCGCCGAGCCCTCGGCTTCAAGAACTGCAGCTCATGCGAGAAACTGCTCAGCCTCAGTAGCGCGAGTAAGTACCAAGCATGCTTCACTGCACCTGATTCAGATGTTGATTGGGTCGCGATTTTCCTGCAGGCAAACAAAGATTGTTTTGAAGAGGACATACTGCAGCTCTTGTCAATGAACAATGCAAGGTCGCGCATGATGAACCAAGATGCACCCATGCGACCGGGACCGAAGGCTAGCATCGTCTCTCCCCACGTGCAGTCTTCCATATCGAGCGTACAGTATGGGTCGGATGCGGAGGCGACAATGTCAGCAAATAACGGAATGGGATCGCAAACAGGAAGATCACTTGTCAGGAATGAGGCAAGCGCACCTGATCCTGGTAACATCATCACATCAGTCGGGCCTCACGACACCCGCGATTCTGCCAATCTCCAAGGGGCACCGCAACAAGGTGAGCACTGATGCTGTTCGACCACAGAAACACCATGTAAAGCTGAGCTCTAGGCTATTCCTGCGTGTTCAGCGAATGGCAAACCAACATTGGTGCGGCTGTGATCATGGCTTGGTCGCCTGACGGGCCAGTTCAAGGGGCACTTACCGTCATTGACCCAACAACTCTAGCCATATCGCTGATCCAACCAAGCATCACGCTCGCGTTGCGCGCCCCCGAATATCTCCGTTTCGAATGTCCGCAACAAGCAGATCTCTCAACTACGGGTCGCATTAGCTTAGGCCGAGCTCGAGGCGGGGTGCACCAAGAAGAATTGATGGCTTCCCGGGTTAGAGCGCATCAATTGCGATCTATATCGGGGTTGGAATGCAAGTCGTGCGCAACTACCATCACCAGTTTCACCGACGCTTGCAGATGCTTGCCTCTCCCTTCGGAGGGCTGGGAAGAGCTGGTCGACGCATGGATGTGCCATGACGATCAGCTTCTGAATGCTACTGTTCTTCAAGGAAAATCGGCGATCAGCGGCGGAGACAGCAGCAATTCTACCATCTTCGTGTCGGACTTTTGGTTCCGCGTCCCAATTTCCCTTGTCCAGCTTGCTGAAGATGTTGCGGATCCAAACCTGGTGGGTAGTGAGCGGGAGTGGCACAGGGTCTAGAGAAGGCCGGCATCTGGCTTTCACCGATGCTCTCATTCTGCCTGTGGCACGCATTGATGGGAGTAGCGAACCGCCGTACTGGCTGGTATGCACTCTTGAATTTGTTGATGGCCACATGCAGACGGCTGATGCAAGGACCCGAGAAAAAAATCTTTAAAGAAACACCATGGAGCAGCGCTTCATTGCTCTTATGGTCACTGCAATAAGGGACACGCCTCAAAGTTGATAAATGCAACACTTTCTAACGATTGCAATTTTATCATCCGCAGCTGAACTGTCCTCACTGCAACGCTTTGCTTGGTCTTCGCTCCGACGGCAGTCCTGAATGTTCGCAATTGGCACGTCACGCCTTGTCCGCAATGTCACCTAATGGGATGGAACAATCAGACTTCGCCAGCAATATTCGCTCTTTGGTGTGCGCCATCTGCGACAATAATGATGTGCACCGTATTCGAGTGACATCAGCCGCAAGAGAAGGCGCAGGACAGGACTTCATCGTAAGTAGCCAAGTGTATTTCCCAGCCGCAACTGAATTCATTGCGCCTTTCCTTCTCCCAAAAGATATGGCTTTTTAAACGCGATACCTTCGTCGCCGCAGGCATCGTGTTCAGTGCGGTCGCTACCATTTCGTTCGTGGACGCCATAAAGGTTTTTTACAGCACGGAGGATGAGCTTGTGCAGTCATCAAGCTTCCAATGTGCAACGCTGAGCCTACCTACAAGCTTTTTTCGGAGCCTTTTGCAGAGTTTGCAGGTCAACAACATGCTCATACCGTCCCCGGCGAACGCATTTGGACGTTGGCAGACCTCCTGGCTTTGAAACCCAGGCCAATCAATCTCAGTTATCAGAACTGTATGTAGTTTTTACTTGTCGGCTCGCAAAATTGAGAAGTCCATAATAATTACAATGAAATCTGGGTAGGTGATTCTTTTGAAGTCGTTCCTCTTTTGGGCTCATACCTCGGTCCCTGGAAGCCATCGCTGCTTTAGAATAACAAAGCGTACATACTTCATATGGATACGTAGGTCGATTGCGCTACTAGTGCCTTGCTGCAAGGTAAGACGATCTGAAAGATGATGAGTAGCTTTGTGATGTAAGAAGAATGCTAAATCTTGATCATCAAGGAAGATGTCCCCGAAAATAGGTGAGCGACAATATCCAGAGCATCGCGAATGGGCCTATCTCAGGGGAAGTCATACTGAGTTGCAAGGGGGACTGCAATTGCCAAAGGTAGTAAAAAGGAGAAAATATAGAAGCAGGAGTTGTTCAGGAAACATCAAAGGATGGTCGGATCGAATCAAATGACCACTGCCGCAATTGTATACGGCCGATGCGTTCTACCGTTTGAACTACGACCTAAATTGTTTGGATATAGGTTCACAAGTCTACAGTTGCTCCCCAACAATGCGTCCTTGGGCGCGAAACGATCCAACACCGTATAGATGCACCAGCCATCTCATGAAGGGATGGGTCGTTGCGAGGAAGGTAGTTGCTCAGACCTCTTGTTGTTCGCTCCGCTACACAAACTCTGGGTGTTGCTGCTCCTTATATATATCCACAAGGTACTGACTTTCACATGTAGCCATTGTACCTTGGTCCTTGATATCGAGCCTCTCGCAATGTTCGATGATGTTCTATGGGGTATGCTGCTTAGACGTACTTTTCTTCGTTCTCTCGGTTGGCTCGCAAGTCTGTGCTGTCGCTGCTCCTAAGTCACACTTTGGCAGCCTAAGCTCATTTCGTGCAGTCGACGACACCGGCTGCCGCGCGATGCTTTTTAATTGCTTGCTCTGGGGATGTTTGGTAAATGGAACAGCCATTTTTAGGGTTGCTGTCGACCCTCTCGACCTTAGCGGTGCAGTTCCCGTGTATACTTGGGTTCAATTTCGTAGTGCTTGCTTCTTTCATGCTTTCGCTGGTATGCTTCTTTGAGTACTCAGTGCCCGAAAAACACTCTGCAGCCAAGCTGCCTCGCAAGTCTCCTCACTTGTTGCCCTTCACTCTGCCTCATGTGAAGAAAATGCAACCTTGCTCTGCATTTGCGGCAACCAGTTGATGTCACCCAGTGGGATGGAAAGCACGAAGCCGGTTATAGACTTCCTCTCTTTGCTGCTTTCCCAGTCTGAGTCACAGAAGCCTAGTAGATTTGTACTCCTGGCATGCTTTATCACGAGTTTGCACGTCCCTCGGATGTACCGCATGAACCTCTCGGCATCCTGCCAAGTTGCGGCTTGTCGGCCTTGCGCTATGTCGCTCAGTCCTGATGCCTGAGTAAGCCAAGTCGAGCCGTGTGCTTGAGTCCAAGATAGGGCAGAGATCCGCGAGCCGGAGGGTAAGAAATGCTTGGTCTTGATCGTGTCACTAGGCATGCACCTTATCCTGTGCGTTGGAGGTGGGAGTTGCGACAGCCTTACACTCTGCCATGGCGAACCTTCGAAGTATCGATATTGCTTAGGCCCCCCTAGTTAACAAAACTCTGCCGGTGTGCGTGTTGCCACTGATCCGTAGGCTGAGGCATTGCTGAAGCGGTCCGAGATCCTTGATGCGGAAGGACTTGAGCAGTATGTCTCGAAGTCAAAATACCGCCTCCTGATACTCGTTTGCGATAACAAGGTTGTCGACATAAGCCATCAAGCCTGTGAAGTTGACATCGATCGTGTGCATGTACAAGCATTAGTTGCCTTCTCCCCTGGTGACGCCAAGGCGCCGAAGGGTCGCGTCGAACTTACAGTCCCAGTTTGGCCTCCTTGCTATACTGCGCAAATGTTTTGCGCAAACACAAGTGCTTGTCGGTCGAGCACTGCACTTCGGCGGGTGGTTCTGAGGTAAACTTTCTCCTCACATTCGCCGTAAACGTAGGCAGTCTCTATGCTTAGATGGCGGAGCTGCAGGGTATTCATGGTGGCCAGAGCAATCTGTGCAGAGAGTGATCAGTCGGAAGACTGGCACATAAGTTCTGTGAAAATCTTTCACGTCGATCTGTGAGAAATCCCTGGACACTTAGTCCCACTATATACTGCTGTATGTTACTATCGCCTTCGAGTTTGACCTTAAATAGCTAGTTCGTGCCCATGTCTCGTCCAGCCTATAGCAGTCTTGCCTCAACGCGTGTTTCGTTGTTCTTGGGGCTGTTGAGTTCGCACTTGGTTGCTGTCTCCAAATTTTCAGCATCGTCGCTTCCCGAAGCTTCCGTGTAAGCGCGAGATTCTGCTGGATCGGAAGAAATAGTGGCTAATAAGTAAGATGGCGCTACGCAACAGAACTCGCCAGATTGCTTATTGGCACGAGTCGACCTTTATCAAGGCGGGTACTTGGCGCTTTTGTAAGGGTCACTCTTCCTCGAATTATTGCGTTCGTGCCTGCTGCTGCGCCAGTCGCTGTCCCTTCTCCTCGTCAGGTTCACCTAGCATGTGCTCCAATACGGCTGCTTCGGGAGCATCACTGGTAGTGCTTTCGCAGTCAACGGTTGCATGCTCCTTTTCATCAGTGCGCACAGGCCTGCCAGGTGTGTCGATAAGTTTCACGTGTCGAGACCGGATGAGCTGCTTAATACGGATATTCCAGATATGGTACGTCATGGTGCAGTCGTATCGGACGAAATGGTCCTTGAACCCACGCTCGTTCGATTTGGTATATTGCAGGGCTTTGTCACGCATGAAGTAGGCCGTTGAGCCCATTTCGCGAAGGTGGTCGAACGATATCCTGTGATTGCGGTATGCTCCTTTTAGATTCTGGGATACCGTGCAACTGTTGCGATACGCAATGCTTGCGCTGTGATTGTTAGTGTAGGTGACTGCTGCGACCCAACGCACCCCAGGGTGCCTTTCCAGCTTTGACTCACTTTTCCATGCTCAGATCGTGTTGAAGAGAGTCAGGTTAAGACGTTCGGCGCGCCTGTTCCGTTGCAAATGTATGGGGCTGACCCTTCCTATCGCATATCATATTGTCGCAGGGGTTGCTACACCCCCATGTTGACATATTCGCAGAAGGTATCCGAGCGGAGGAACTTATCCCCTTGCTCATCTCCTTCTCTAGCAGATACCGTTGTCGATGATTTCGGTAACATTCTTGCGATTTGTCAGTATATGAACCCAGACATTGCCCTTGATTTCGGCTGTGATGGCCAGAATGCAAAGCGCACCACCTGTAATATCCCTGAGCAACGGTCCGGCGACTCCTGCATGCATCTTTAAAGCGCATGCCGTCCTCGCCTTTATTCCCTTTTCGTGCAGTACAGGGAGTGGGCCGCATTTCCGAGTGCGCACGCTTCACATGCGCAGACAGCTTCTGTGACGGGCAAGACCTTCACCCTGCAGGTCGCATTGTGAGAGTCACATCCTTTATGGCCGAGGCATCGGCACCACGGCTCACTGTTTGCATCTGCACGACTGTATAGGCCGACATGTTTTGCATTACGGCGGTGGTTCTCAGGATTACAGGGAGAGCCATAGTGCCTTTTTGGAAATCTGTCCTTATGGTCAACTATGCAATTTCTACAGCCAAAGCAACCATCGCTCCATCCTTCTTGAGCGTGATAAAGCCACTAGCTTTCCGCCAGTTTGACTCCACTGACAATGATGTGGTCCCGTTGCATGCCTTTGACTTCAAGTGCACTCTTGAGATAGATGTCAATGACGACGCCCATATCGGTCTTAACACTGATTGCTCCATAGTCGCCGTTGATTACTGTACTCATTGCGCCGCCATTTGCGAGCTTGATGACGGCAGAGTCCTTAACATTGTTGGTGAGAGCAGCGCCTTTTGAGGGGCAAGGTGGTCCAAAGATCCTGTGTCGAGGATGGTATTGTCGTTGATGTTTGCTCGCTGCTGGGTAATTCTGCATATGATGAATCCCGTCATAATACCTGTCGAAGCGGCGGGTGGATTTTCGGTCGAGAAGTGACTCTGTGCACTTCTTTTCGATTGACATGTGATTTGTAGGTGGCTTTGCCTGCTGCATTTTCAGCAAGCTTTCTTTCTCTTGCCACCAAGCGTGGAATGCTTGCTGAACATGATTGTGAATGACGTCTCCCTGACATTGCTACGACGCCAGTGAAGCTGATTCTAGAGCTGTACTGCGTCGTTGTTCCCTTGTCAACTCATCGCAAGACTGCTAGTGAACCTGAACAATATTGTAGTATGAGTCGAGTCCGACATGACTGGCAAGGCAGTAGATAGGTTGCCGGCATTTTGACTCCTTGTGCGTTGAACTTACGGTACTAATTGCAACGCGGTCGAGGAACTCCTGCATGCTCGTCGCTAACCCTTTCTTGACGGTCCAAAAGTCTCTCTTAAGGAAGAAGTGGGCAACTCCTTTTTGGTTTGGTACCTGGCTTCCCAAGTGTCCCATACCTCTTAAGTTGTTTCCTCCATGCGGATCGAGCCAGTGATCTTGTCGTCAATGATAAGCGCCAGCGTCGCCAAGGCCCCCTCCTGTCTGCGCATGTATTCAGCAACGGTGCTGTCGTTGCTCAGCGGCTTCCTGGCTGTGCTGGTCACGTAGCCACACAGCCCGGTCTTAATCATCATGGCTTTGAAAGCCTATGCGTCGTAGTTATCACCATGCAGTTTCTCAATGCTGACGGTGGCACCTATCGAGGTCGCATTTGCTCCCGTCTTAGTCCTCTGCGGCAAGTTCCTTGAGTATTCAAGTCAGGCTTCGTGTTTGGGTTAGTAACCGGTTGAAGGGATAACTCATTACAACCAAGATAATTGGCTCAGATCTCTTGTTGTTCGTTGCGCTACACGAACTCTGGGTACTGTGTACAGTTCCTTATACATCCCCGTGCTGGTTTCACCTGCAACCGCTGTAGCTTGGCCTTTATTATCGAGCTTCCCTAGATGTTCGATGCGTTCTATGGGGTGTGTTATTTCGATGTGCTTCGCTCCGTTGGCTCTGTTACTTAGTGCGTCCACGTTGCCGCTGCTCTTGCGTCACATCTCACGGCAATTACGGTAGCACTCTCCGAGATTGGAGTTGAGGATCACCAGATCGCTCACCTCCTCGGGGTTGACAATGTACTCGCTGACGTGGCTTCCAGAATCCCGCCTGCAGTCGTCGCATCAGTAGGACCTAGGCTATGCACGGTTCAATTTCCCTTAGAGTGGCACGTGCGTGTCGCGCAGCAAAGTGCAGATTCGTTCTGCAGCGTGCAGCGAGAGGCGTCTTGCCAACTCGAGTAGGCAGCTCAGGAGCCCATGACCGTCCCTCGCGCTGACATGCTACGCGATACGTTGGAACGATTCCGCCTCAAGGACGACTTGCTCTATCGTGTCAATTTCCCGATATGGGATGGCGAGGATACAGATGCTATACTGGTGGTGGTCGTGCCCAACACTGAGATCGAATGCATCCTGCAATTCGTGCACGGGACCACTGCTCAAGCACGGAGACGGCAGTTTGTCCTTGCTTTCTGGCACCCCTACATGCTCCCATCTTTGGCAGCGAACGCGGCTGAGTTCACGCGCCGTTGTAAGGGTGTCAAGCCTCTCGCGGCATCGCGCCACTGCAGGTAGCGATGGGAATTCGACCTGGCGGGAGTGGGCTAACACGTTTGTGTGGATCACGGACACGTTGGCCCTACAGGCGTAGCGTCGCAGCGTCAGTGAAAGTTCTTCCCCCTGGTATGAGAAGGCATCGGGGTACGTCGCCGCCAGAGCGGTCACTCCCCTTCCCGCTAAGCGCACGACACAGCCACTGTGCTACATGCACTTTGGTTCCGACCCTATGGTCCGCCCGCGGCATTGACTTCCGATAACGCAGTGGAGTTGAAGAGCAATGTAGTCATTGACGATTTGCGGGCTCAAGGTTGCACGTTCGTACCCTCCTCTCCCCTCAGTCCGTCCGCGGAGACGGCTGTCAAAAGGGTGAAGGAGGGCTTGCGGGTCTACATGACGGATTCGTGCTTCACGGAGCTGTTGCAGGAAGGCGGCTGGCGTTGTCTATCTGACATGATCGTGCATGCGTTGAATACTATCCACTCGGAGGCAGCAGGAGTACAACCTGCCAAGATCACGATTTGGGCCGGGAAGGGTGTATTGTTGTGAAGGACGGAAAGGAACAGGTGACCATGGATCCAACCCCTGCCACGGCATGGGCCCCGCCATCGGCACATTCACCAGGGTCTCCCCCCCCTCTCTCATCTCTCATGACTTACGCTGGACTATGGTAAATGCACATGTATACACCTCATACTTGGGTGAATCTAACCACTATCCCTACCTTCGTACAGTGCCTCTGCGCATCTGGAGATTGCTCTATTGTGAGCGCCGACCGTCGAAACAGGTGAGGTATGGATTCGGCGCGATGTGCGAAAAGACGGAGGGTCAGGTGGAAGAAATTCGACTCGCGACAATCCAACAATTTTCAATGAAAAGCAATGGTTAACAACAAAAATTGGGATTGCATCGGAACAAAGGCAAATACCTATTGGTCGGTACCCATAATCAAAAAAAATTAACATCGCAAGTAGAATGATGAGCATCGTTCATGAGTTTGAACACTCGCGCGGTCCCAGTTGAACAGTGCTCTATTCTGTTTGCATTGGGTGCAAAGATGCGATCACACTGTTCCGATCGTACCTCCATGATCATGGATGAGGCGCGATAATCATCAATAATATTGGATCGCCTTGGAATAAAGAAAGTAATTTTTCAACGGCATGCATAAAAAACCAAACAGTACTTAAAGTAGCCATAGGTGTTGGTCCTTGTTCCTTAGCTCGAGGCTGATGCAGTTCTTTGCTTTCGGTGCGAAGTTGCGATTAGACCGGCCTTTGGCCGTGATGGAAAGGAAAGGACGTGGGCCATTAGCACCTGGAGTTTGCAACTTGTGTCATGAACATCGAATGGCGGGCGTCTGCTTTCGAGGTGTTGTCGCTGCAGGTGACCTGGATGCCGTGGGTGCATGGGCAGTGGACGCAAATATCCTCGATAAGCGAGTTGACCGATCTTTGATTTCGAACACAATCGCAAGCAGTTGTCACATTTCGTCCATTTGAAACCCCATTTGGACAGCATCACATAGTCAAAATGATAGTTTGGCCCAACTTGCTTCGATTACGCCCTTGTTTCATGCTCGCGTGGAACTTAGGACGGAAGGATCACGACAATGCCCGCCACGCGCTTGGCACTGGACAGCGCACCTCCAACAGTGAAATTTTCACGAGAGCGCAATGGCTTGATGCCCAACAGGTTCGCAGCTGTTCGAGCTTCGATTACAGCGAGTCCCTCGTTTCGACCCAGCGTCCCCACATAATGTCTTGCCTCTCGCTGCAAGGCAACGGAGCGCACCATCAATCTCTCGTTCAACTTTTGGAATCCGCATCCGTCATTTCAGGTCAGTCTAGCCAGGTATAGAAGCACGGCGGGGCCAACAAGTGATCCTTCTTTCGCATTCTAGGTTGGAAGTATCAGCCGGGTTTGCATCCAAGACGCGTAGGGCTGAGCTGAACGAGGTCGCACGGCGCAGACTCGCCTCCATGAAGGGCGTCAGGAGCGATGGAATTGAGTCAGATGAGGAATGCACGTTGTCCTCCTGACGATGGCAGCTTCCGGTGCATCAGTTGCTCTTGAACTGGGTCAATGTTTAGACGGCATTTCGCGCTGGAGCGACAGCATCGGAAAGGAGTGAAAAGTAGTAGAGAGGGCCTTTGATTATGGCTGATTGTGGAACGATGGAGATCCAGTCGACCGTTCAGCGTACTGTGTCTTCGTGTAATGTGTTGCTATCGGCCGAAACGGGGCGCTCGAGACCCATTTGCGTGGGTTGAGGCGCTTTCCACCGATTGAGGCATCAGTAGAGTGACCAAGGCCCAGACGGTCAGCCAGGTACCAGAGCACACATTTGCAGCGGGCTGTGGACTAGCTGCGTGTGGCCTGGCCCGTGCAGCCCAGTGCAAGCTGCAGCCGAGCAGCATTGCACGGAGCCCTTGCCGGCTGCCAATGGTTTAGTCGCGCCAGCAGCCGTTGCTGAGGAGCGAGACAAAGGGGCCAAACAACACCACAATCCACTGGCCAGGATTCCAGTCTGTTGGCTGTAGTTCTGTAGAGTTGGTCTCCATCACACCCTCTCGGGTCGAGTTGCGATCCGATCACTACCGAACCAACCCGAACGTCTACACTTACCAAATGCCGCTCCCCAGAGTCCAGCAGAGTATCTTCGTCCGGTCGACCATGTCATCGTTCGCCAGTTATGCACGGCACATTCGTTTCTCGTCTGCACTGCTGCCCTTCCACTATCCTTTAGCTGTGCAACTTACAAGCCTGGTCGGGGAAGCCGTTGACATCTGGTGGTCTCCTGATTGCCAGAATCCGCAATTCGCTTTGCGTGTAAATGCTCATAAGATACATATTGGACACTGGCCACGTGTCACTTCGCTTCCATTTCAAGCTCATCGACCACCTTACCGCTAGAGCAGGCTGGGGCTCGCTTCTCGCAGACTGTGGGACCACGGGACTTGCTTGTTTCACATGACATCATAACCTGGCAACGCAGTCCCCTCGGCTCGTTTCAGTATTATCCTGACCTTTACATCTGCGCCCAACGGTCGTCGTCTCCCATCTTCATCTCTCGTGCTCGTTGGGTCCATACGCTTCAGTAGAACTTAGTCCATCTCGGGTATCTGGTTACCGAGCGCTCAGCAAGGTTGCAGCCTAAGCCTTATACCCCGACAGGTCTGCATTCTAAGTGAGTCCTCACGTGAATGATTGCTTAGGCCAATTTCCGGGACAAATACACACAGATCCTATAAGGACGCTTGCTTGAAGAACGATTGGTGGATCGAGCGTCCCTCTTACTGTACGGATCGTCTCGTCTGTCCTGGTGACGGCAACCTCGAGAAAAGGGCCAGCGTGTCGAGCATTTTTCTGTCGGGTACAGAGGTTGGAACGCTCATCACAATGCCCTCTGTCGCTCTCATCAGTCGACGTCAGCCTCAAGGCATCGCAGCCTTTGACAACATGTCAAGTCTTCTGCAAGTCTTCGAATTGAATTTGGAGGAGGACGGTAGCCCAGGTTCTGAAAGGGCTGTGAGTGTCGCCTCCAATGCAGCTGGAACGGGGCTCGAACTGAAGCTTTTGCGCGTTCTGCTTCCCCAGTATGTCCGCTTGCCGCCCCCAGTGAAGCCGTATGTGCTGAGGTTCACGATTGAAGCTGGCGGATCTGCTTGCCGCGATGGCAGGCTCTGGACAAACTTCCCACCTCGCGGCTCCGAATTTGATCGGAAGAAATTCTGGGAGCACAAGTCAGTTGGAATGATAGGTCCTGACCAGCTTGAAGTCTTCTCATCTTCTCATCTTCCTCTATGTCCGTGCAGGCTTCCTACCGACTTTAGCAAGCCGATTCAACTCGACCTTTGGATCACACACGCAGGTGTCTTCGAATTCTACGTCGAACATGCCGCACCTATACAACGATCGCCTTACCCGACAAAAGAGCAGCCCATCTGTCTTGGCGCAAGTGGGATGGAGCGCGTCAAAAGCAAGCGGGGGTACTTCAACGTCGACCCGCTCCTGCGGCTCCCTAAACGCACACCTGTTCTGGGCGGCAATGGTGGCATGGTGCTCAAGGATGTCATCAATCTGCCTCAGGACGGCATCGTGCTGCAGTCTTTCGTTGCCAAATGGGCTGGCGGCCTGAGCTCATGGGGCCCTCATCTCGATCTCGCACGCGACTCGGGATACAACATGTGGCACTTTCTTCCCTTGCAAGTGCGCGGCCAGAGCAACAGCCCCTACTCGCTCGCCGATCAGCTGGATTTCTCGCTCGACCTTTTCGACGCAAAGGCAGGTGCTTCAAAGACCAGGGCGGACCGTTTCAAGACGATGCAAACTTGGTTGAATCGGATCCGATCCGAATGGGGAATCCTGAGTATGACAGATGTGGTGCTCAATCACACGGCAAACAACACTCCTTGGCTCTATCAACACCCCGATGCCGGTGAGTTTCGTTTGGCAGCTGTTACACTACAACGACTTTCTGAATGGCGAATGCCCCTTGCGGCTTATGTGTTCACATCAGGTTACAATATTGTCAACTCTCCACATTTGACGCCCGCTGAGGAGCTGGACCGCAAGCTCATGGAGTTCTCCGCATCCCTCAGTGCGCTTAACTTGCCCACTCGCGTCACTTCGCAGTCCGATGTCGATGCCATCATGAGTGGCGTCAAAGCTCACGTCCTCAATCAGCTAGAACTCTGGCAGTACTATGTCATCGATGTCGAGGCTCACACGAGAGCGTTCCAGACTGCCTGGGGCCAGTCCGATGCTGCGTTGACCAAGCTTCCTGAACAAGAGTCGCTTGATGACAAGGGCTTGGACGACGCTTCTGCGCTGCTCCAGAAGCACGCCTTGCGCAATCGAATGGCACTCTCTTCTCGCTACTGCACAGATATCGAAATTGGCACTGCTATCGGCATTATGCGATCGCTTGGCAGGTCCAAGCCAGATGGAGACGTGTTCGAAGCTTTCAAGAAAGCGTTAGACGCCATCAACGTGCCTCTCTATACCGTCTACGATGACGACCTCAAGGCCATCACGGCCAACCTCGAGGGCCGTTTGAAGTACCAACGCCTAGATCCACGCGGACCTCAGCTTGGCGAAATCAGCCCAAGGTGAGTAGCGAGAGGCACGGCTGTGAAGAAGTGGTAACTGACGTGGCGAGCGCCGCCGCAGCTCGCCCTTCTGCGAACCATACTTCACACGTCTCGATCCAAAAGACCCCAGAGCAAAAGGTCAGAATCCGAAGAGTCTTGCGCTGGCGCACAATGGGTGGATCTGGGCTGCCGACCCTCTGGTGGACTTTGGCACATCTGCCTCAAGAGTGTACCTACGGAGGGAGCTGATTTCCTGGGGCGACTGCGTCAAGCTCCGCTTCGGCAAGGGCCCAGAAGACTCTCCATTCTTGTGGAAGCACATGGAGGAATACGTCAAGTCTATCGCAGTGCTCTTCGACGGCTTCCGGATCGACAATTGCCACTCTACGCCGATTCATGTCGGCGAATTTCTTCTAGACGCCGCTCGAAAGGTCAACCCCAACCTGTACGTTTGCGCCGAGCTTTTCACCGGTAGCGCCGAGATGGACGTGTACTTCGTCAGCCGCCTCGGAATCAACAGCTTGATCCGCGAGATGGACAATGCGAACGATCCGAAGGAGGAAAGTAGGCTGCTCTATCGCTTCGGTGTCAACAAGCCAGTTGGATCCATGGACGACGATTGTTTGGCCAAGGAGAGCGTCATGCGAGAGCCTCTCAAGGGAAAGGCTGTCAAGTGTATCATCAAGCCTCTCCTCGGCTCGTCTCCCCATGCGCTGTTCATGGACATCACACACGATAACGAGACACCAACCGCAAAGCGCACAACCATTGATGCCTTGACGATGGGTGCCCTCGTCGCCTTTTCCTGGTCTGCAATTGGCTCCACTCGTGGATTCGATGAGCTGTACCCCAAACATCTTGATGTCGTTCAGGAAAAGCGACAGTATCGCGCCTTAACATCGGTGGAACAGGCAGCAATTGGGCCTGTACGCCGCATTCTCAACCATCTTCACACCGAGATGGTCCTCGAGGGGTATGCAGAAGGTCACATGCACCAGGAGAATGACGTGAGTGTCGGGCTGCGCCCACCTTTGGAACCTGGAAGTTTGCTGAACCCAAGTGGGGTGTGGCCAGTACATCATCGTCCATCGGATTCATCCTGTCACCCACAAGGGCTATGTGATCGTTGCACGTACAGCGTTCCATGATTCTACCGATGAGCGCGGCTTTCGTGAGTGGAATTGTAATAGATTTTGCGGACATTCAACTGATGCATCAGAACGACTAGTCTCTCCGATCATCTTGAAGCGGACTAAGGTTTACTACATTTTCGGCAAGACCTTGCGCTTGAAGGGAGCGGTTCAGGAGGACGAGAGATTCCTGTGTGGTATCCCATCAGAGCTGGTGGACATTGCTGCTCCGGAATTGCGCGCAGGCAAGGATCATGACGGCACTTTCACCGAGATTGTCATCCCTGACTGTTTCCCGTCGGCTAGCGTGATGATTTTCGCTACGGAGATGGATGGCATTGATGCCAACTTAGAAACCTTGTGCAAGAGCGGCGCTGCAGAAGCTCTTGCTCCATTAGACCTTGTCGATCTGAACATCGTCTTGCACCGCGCCGAAGGAGAGGAGCGGGACATTACAGGAGGTGCGGATGGCGCATATGTTGTCCCCGGCTACGGGCCGTTTGTCTACTGTGGGTTGGAGGGTTGGATGCCAGCTTTGCGTCAGATTATGGAGCAGAACGACCTAGGACACGCTTTGTGCGCGCATCTCCGTGAGGGGACGTGGGCGATGGACTATTGCGTGAACCGGTTGCAGAGGTGAGTGTTTCGCAATATGGTATTGACCTCAGACGCAGAGCTGACATATCGTCGCTTTGACAGGCACATGAATCTCTTCCCTCGTCTGCGAGGAATTCACGCCTGGCTTGAGGAGCGCTTCAATGCGGTCAAAACTTCAGCACCTCCATTCATGCGGCCAAAGTACTGTGCACTCATCATCAACAGTGCATACACAGCAGCCAGAGAGCGCACTCTGAGCCAAATGTCTGCTTTCGTTGCCGATGGCCACGAATTTACGAAGTCTTTAGCACTCTGCGCTGTGCAGATGAACGGCATGGTCAAATCAGCCTCACTTTGGCCAGATAAGCATAGTGCGTCTATGGCAGCCGGATTGCCTTTCTTTGCGGCTGGTTGGGCTCGTCTGTGGGGCCGCGACGTCTTCATCTCGCTGCGTGGCCTTTATCTTACCACAGGCATGTACCAAGCCGCGCACGACCACATCATTTCCTTCGGCAGCACCTTGAAGCACGGCCTCATCCCGAACCTGCTCGACTCGACGCGGACTCCTCGATACAATTGTCGTGACGGTCCATGGTTCTTTGCGCAGAATGTTCAAGACTACACGACCATGGTGCCCGGAGGCGAAGCTATCTTGCAAGAGAAGGTGAAGCGTCGTTTCCCTGCCGACGATACATGGGTGCCGTGGGATTCTCCTCAAGCCTTTGCCTACTCCAGCACAGTCGCAGAGCTTATCCAGGAGATCTTGCAGCGCCATGCTACTGGAATTCACTTCCGCGAATACAATGCGGGGCCTGCTATCGACAATGATATGAAAGACGAAGGCTTCAACATTGACATTGATGTTGACTGGAAGACCGGTATTATCTTTGGTGGTAACAGGTACAATTGCGGAACCTGGCAAGACAAGAACGGCAGTTCGCAGAAAGCAGGGAACAAAGGCCATCCCAGCACACCTCGCGACGGTGCTGCTATTGAAATTACTGCACTACTCAAGAGCACATTGCGTTGGGTGTCGGCTCTGTCAAAGCAAGGCAAGTGGCCGGCCAAGGGCGTCGAAGCTACCATCGATGGGCGCAAAACAAAGGTTACATATGCCGAGTGGGATGCACTACTTGCAAAGTCGTTCGAGCGATGTTACTGGGTGCCACTAGACCCAGCGGAAGACAAGACTTATGACATCGATCCGCAGCTCGTCAACAGGCGTGGTATCTACAAGGACGTTTATGGCAGCGGAACAGGCAGGGAGTGGTCAGACTATCAACTTCGCGCCAACTTCCCGATCGCCATGACCGTTGCACCGGAGCTTTTCGACCCGCAACACGCCATCACCGCCCTGCAAGCGGCAGACAATGTCTTGCGCGCTCCACTTGGAATGCGCACGCTCGATCCTAGCGACATGAACTACCGTGGTGACTACGACAACACCAATGATTCCGACGACTACCGCTTGGCGGCGGGTGCCAACTACCACCAAGGGCCCGAGTGGCTGTGGCTCACCGGCGAGTTCCTGCGAGCGTATCTTCACTTTGATAGCATAGCTGGTTCCGGCCGTCACGACAAGGCGGAAACTTTCCACCGTGTCTCGTCAATGATGCTTCAGCACAAAAAACACATCCAGTCAAATCCGTGGGCCGGCTTGCCTGAGCTGACAAACAGCAACGGCACCTTCTGTGTGGACTCTTGCAGGACGCAAGCTTGGAGCGCTTCGACAATGCTCGACACGCTGGAAGAAATGATGCGGTTGCAGAAAAATACCAAATGACTTTGCGTAGCTGACGAAGGACAGAGCAAACCAATCAAGCGCCATCGTATTATAGATTTTCACATGTCTTTCATTCACATCTGCGCCAATACATGTGGGTACGACCTCATTGTAGACTATGAGTCCAGCAATCGTACGCCGAGGATATGCCGCACATCGGAAGAGAAGCGAAGACTGTCAAGGACAGGGAGCAGATCCAACAGCGCTTCGTCTTTCGGGTCGTGAGTCCATCCTTCTATGGGAATGCCATTCGCTGTGTGGAAGTCACGGCCTATAATTAGCGCCTGGGCATAGGGAAACACGGCGCGATCGCTTATCACTTACATGGGTTCAGATGATAACTCGCTGGCGAATTGTCCACCAGGCAAACTTTGGATAAGTCTGAATCGACGATGGCGAGATCCTTAAGGTAGGAGCCATTCTGGTACGTGCACGCCTGAAGGACCGGAGTGTGAATTTGTCAGCTCAGCAAAGCGGTTTCCTGTAGGCGGTCAAAAGGCATTCACATCTCGGAAAAAGCGGCCAGTGATCAAGCCTCTGCCTTGGTCAAGCCAGTCGATCACGGGATCGGCGTACTCTTGCACTGACGCCGTGAAGATGACGACGTTGTACCACGTCGCGACCTGCAGGTTGAAGCGAAGACATCGATGAGTGCCAAGTACAGTGCATTGAACGATTGACTTGCGTTTCAAGGAACGCTCACCTTCCGCAAGAAGTGGTCAACCCAGGGCCGTTTGTAGACATGGTACAGAACGCTGCGCCCTTCGAGCACGACTTCGACCATGTGCGGCCGCAGGCGTCCACCGGTCGAACGCAGGCCAAGCAGATCGCCGAGGCCGTCCATGCCGAGCAGACCACCGCCAGTGCTGACGCTAGCGCCACCGCGCAAGACTGCCCAGTTGGGTGAGCGCGATGTCGAGTGGATCAGTGTCTCGTCGAGGTCGAGAACGAGAGTCTTGGGAGAGTGGTGGATGATGGAAGAGGTGAGATGCGGCTTTGGTAACGGTAAGTTCGCTTGGGTGGTCCCGGGAGCAACATGCCCTTGCGGGGGCTTGGCATTCGGGTCGTGGCCGAGGAGATTCTCCACGGGATGTGGATTCGGTAGCAGCCGACTAGAACTTTGAGTCTTTGGAACAAGCTGCTGAGGAGTTGTACTAATCTGGTTCTCGCCTGTACCTGTGCTTATGCCCGGCACCGCCTTTTCGCCACCATGCCCTGTGTGTGAAGATTCGCCACACAATCCGTTGTTTCGCCGGCTCACGGTATGGGACCGCCTAGGCTCCTCTGATGGTTCAGGAGGAAGGATGTCAGTGCCAGGAGATGCAGTGCGGGCTCCCACAGCGATCTTGTGCCCTGTGCCTAGTCGTCCACGGCGTACGAGGCGCAGTGGCAGCATAAGAATGTACAGGATAGCTTGTTGGAGAGATCGAAAGAGGCTCTTAAGGAAGCGGTTTGCGCCTGTACCTGAGCCTGCAGGTCCGTCTCGCTCTCCTGCTATTGTTGCATGAGGGCCTTTCTCGCTCGGTTCTCCCCGTACAGCTGCTTCGTACGAAGGAGGAGCAGAAGGGATGCACTGCAAAACCCTCAGCTGCGCCTCGCGAGCACGTGTTTCATTCAGAGAAAAGAGCGATCCGCTCTCGACCTGCGCCTTTGCATCGGACGTCGCTAGATCCGTCGCAAATGCCAGCGGCAGGCTGTCTTCTTGGAGAGTACTTCTATTGGATATGGACGATGTGCGATCGCCATCGGCTGCGTCTTGCACATTGGGCAAATGGCGCCGCTCCGCTTCGTTCCCGTCTTGATCTTTTTCAGTGATGCTCTTCTCTCCCTCGTGGGTATCCGAAGATGTACGTGAGGGAGGAGCGGCCACGTGTAGTTGGTCCTCCTCTTCTTCGCCTCCTTCAAAGTCAACGATGTTCTCGCGCTCCATCTCCGACATCATTGTCACGTCTGAGTGGACGGAGGCCCTGCCTACAGAGACACCACTGGAGGACGAAGCGGTCCGACTTGGGTGAAGCCCACCCTTCCGCCGCCGTTTCCCGCCCGAGCTGGATCGCGTGCTTGCTTCGTTGCTACCACCGCCACTGGCACAACCGCTGTTGTCACCCCATCCTGTCAGACCCCACAGACTTCCCCAACCATAGTTCTCTTTGGAACTGGTGGTGGAGGTGGAGCCGACGCGCCGATTCGAGTACCAACTGAAGTCACCGGGGGTGCTTCCGGCTCTCCGTAGATGTACTCGCTCCCGTTCGCATCGCTCTTGATGATCGCTGTGACTCTTCTTGTGTGGGCTCTTGTTGTTTCCTTTGCCACGAAGGAAGCCAGAAGCGCTGCCGCTGCCGCCTTCGTGGTGTCGACTCCTGCCTGCGTCATCTACGCTACTTTCCATCGAGCTGTCCTCGTCCCCTTGTGGCCATAGGCTAGCGTCACTCTGGTTCTTATCTGTGCTACCTTCCTTTCCTGCCTCTCCTGCCAATCGAGGGTTAACAGGCGTGAATCCAAAGCCAGCGTGGGATGGTCTGGCGGCAGCGGCGGCACGATCGGACAAGAGGTTGTCCGATGCTCTCCGCCCGAGACACAGCCTGGGATTCGCGTCATCGCCCAGTTGTTGGCCGCCGCTTCCGCAGGTATTGTTGTAGCCGCTGCTCATGGCCGATCTCTTGTTGGGAGATGATGTGCCCGATCCCTTGCGGCTAGTGCTGAGGGACCGGGATAGGACAGAGTCGAGGTAGCTGATCGAGTTCATGGTGCCTGTCTGCCCACCCGTGGGTCCGCACGACTAGGACAACGAAACCAGTCGTTGAAGCAAATGCGCGCACTTAGCTACAGCGGCCAGGCCAACACAGCACATCCATGATGGAGATCCGAACTTGCGGACCTGCTGCTGAGGTGGTGTCCAAGAAGCGGTCTGTAGTAGTGTCATCCAAACCAAATCCTATGCAAGGATGCAGTGATGACGGAACCGAGTGGGGGGGGGGGGCATTGGTAGGCGGCACTGAAGCAGTGTGTCCGTCCTGATTTCACTGGTTCATTGATCCCTACCCAATCCTCCTCATCGCCAACCCAACCTCGGTAGGAACTGACGTTGGCTCACAAGCGCTTCGCTCGAGCCATTCTCCGTCCTTCGGTCAATCGTGTCGAGCACCGACGAGCTGGCGACTGCTGGCGTCAGTCAAACAGTTTCCCGGGGCACATACGCACTCAGATCTCGGCGCCATGAGCTCCACCGATGGACCCAACGCGCCAGCGTCCAGTTCATCTTCGCCGTCGTCCTCGTCGCTAAGGCAGCCACAGCAGGTTACACCGCATCACAAGGGCCATCATTACATCCTCCACCATGCTGCTCAAGCTGGCATCAGCGCAGCCTTGGCACCGGTGCTCGCCATCGCAGAGCCGGGAAACAATCCTTTCTCCATCGGCGCCCTGCGCGAGGACAGCACGAGGACCAAAGGGAGGAGACGCAAGGCGTTCCTCCGAGCTGGCAGGAGCATCAGCCCCTTTCGCGGCAGCGGGCATCGCAGGAGCAGCAGTGCCACTCGATTGATGAAAGACCCATCGGACGAAAAGGAGGAGCAAGAAGCAGCTCAGGGAAGCTCGGCCATTGGTCGTAACAGAGGCGCTGGGAATGACAGGGGCTTTGCACGCAATTCGGACAGTGACACCAGCGATTCGGACGAGGAAACCGACAGCGCATCTTCCCCCGTCTGTCCGAGGAATAACGCTTTCTCTTCCCGTGGTAGGTCGGACAGCAAGGGTAGCACCACCACCGTGAAGAGCTCTAGCAGTTCCCTCCTCGAGGGAGAAGAGGAAACTAGCAGCAGCAAGCCGGCCATTTCGAATGGTGCAATCGAGCCAGAGAACGAGACAGGCACAGAAGAATCCATTGACGAGGCAGAAGAGGAGGACGACGTCTTTGACATTGATCCGGTCCTTCTCGATAACACCTTATTCAATGCTGGATGCCTAGACTTATACGAGGGGTCAGAAGGGGAAGGCTGCGCGGCTGCGCCGAGCAATGAGCTTCTGGGCAGTGCAGAGGACGGCAATGATGGTGATGACGAGGATGAGCATATAACTGCGCCAAATGTTGTTCTTGCTGAATCGCAAGCCTGGCAGGCGTTACGTTCGGCACCAAAGGGGAGCAGAAGCCACACTCCCACAGGCGATCACGCGCTCATTGCGAGTCGACCGATCTTCGAGCGCAACCGATGCACCATCACCCTAGTCCACGGCGAATTTGAAGCGGCTACTGCGACGCGAACTCGACCCAAGCGCTACGTCGTGGCGAGTGATGGAAGCGAGGAGGCCGCTTACGCTGCCGAATGGACGATCGGGACGGTCCTGCGCGATGGAGACGAGACGCTCATCGTCTCGGTTATGGAGACCGACTCAAAATTCGACACGCTCGATCATAAGAACGAGTCAAAAGAGGCAAGGTCGGAACACCAGAAAATCCGGCAGAACCAGGCGCTCATTCTCGCGAGACAAGCAACAGCACTGCTGCAGCGCACCAGACTCGGCGTCAGGATCAGCTGCCAGGCGATTCATGCGAAGAATGCTCGGCATATGCTATTGGACCTAATTGATTTCTACGAGCCCAACATGGTCATCGTCGGTTCACGCGGTTTAGGGTCTTTGAAGGGCATCCTGCTGGGAAGAACGTCACATTACCTTGTGCAAAAATCCAGCGTGCCGTGCGTATCCCTCTACAGGCTTGGAGGTCTAACCCGATGCCGTCATGCTGGATAACTGATCATCCTACCCTTCACCTTTCATTTTTAAAGCGTGATGGTGGTACGCTCGCGACTGAGACTTCCTCGCCTGCCGAAGGGCAAAACAGACGTCGTGGCGCACGTCAAGCAGAAGCACCTGCGCCTGCGCGACGCTTCTATCGAAAAGGAGAGCAATGTCACAGAAGCGGATCCGGACGAAACCGCTCCTACGAAAGATGTCGAGACGGAAGAGAGCGGGGGCGAGAGAAAATCAACGGACGAATTCGCAGCCGAAGAGACCGGTCAGAGAAAGGTCACAAGCAGCGCAGCGGTCGAAGCAAAAGATGATGAACGGGGTCGGGGGCGAACAAGATCTGGTTCAGCTGAAAGCCAGTAACGACTTTCGCGTGGCAAGCGTACCAGCCCGAACCTGACCCCTCTTTCTCGGAAAATATGCCAAGGACATTTATGCTGTTGAGTAGACTACATTGCTAGATTACCTCTATGTTGTACCATTTGGATTGCGGGTCGAGAAGATGCAAACATGAAGGAGCACCAAGCTTTTATGCAAAGTAATCGCTGCGGCCGAGAGTAAAATCGGTAACTTCTTGTAGCTGCTCCGCGCTGAATTTCTTGGAATCCTGTTCCCACGTATCTTGGTGCGTTCTTTTAAAGTCGGCAGCGCATTTTCGGATGGTCGTGGAAATCGGGACTGGATCCTCGGCGTGTTGCGCAACCGTGTCGCAGATGAACGCGGGCATCCAAGGTGGTATCTCGTACGGGAATGCAGAAATCAGGGCTGTCGCGCCCAACAGACCAGAGTGGAGCTTGACAAGCTTGGAGCCGAACTCGGGCGAGGTGCGTTTTGGCAGACGCGTCTCGAGAACGATGGCAGTGAAACGGTCCTTCAGACGCTTGATGAGCTTCCGTTGTGAACAGCGTACGATGCCTGAAAGGGTAGTCGCAGCCATTTCGCGCACCTCCAGATGCGGATCGGTCAGCAGCCCGAAGAGGAGCTCGATGATGTCTTGCATGAGTGGTGGATCCAGATAGAAAAGATTTTGGAAGTAGACTACCTGGAGAACCGGCAAGGCATCGAGACGGAGTCGCCAGGACTCCTTGGAAGATCTAATGAGGTCGATGATCTGATGCACGAGTAAAGGGACGGATTCCGAAGCGTATGGGAACGTGGAAATCCTTGTGAGAACCTTCCTTGCCTCCACTGAAAGCTCCCTGTTGTCATGAAGTTCAAGCATTGCAAATATATGCGGCAGGAACGGAATCACTTCACAAGCGAGAGCGCTGTTACGATGGTCGCCCATGGTCGTATTGATCCAGTACAGAGCCGTCATCGCGGCACGGTCACTGCAATAGCCACAATGTTTGATCAGCCCAGTGTTCATTAGCCGAGCAGTGTCTGCCCATTAGAAGACTCACTACTGCGAAGAGCCTTGAGACGTTGGTACACGCTCTGTCCGCCATTGTGTGAGCTGTTTGGACAACCTCTCGAGGCGGGCCTTATACATTCCAGGTCGGGCGAGAAGACTTCCCGTGTTCTGGAGGCAATCCTTGAGGAAAAGATCGACGCTGCCAAATGAAGGGTGAGCGCCAAGTAGCTCGAGGTCGGCCAAGCTCTCGCTGATAAAGACGCGTACTTCAACGTATTCGCTGGCAAAATGGGCGTCGTACAGCGTGATGAAATCCTTTGCCCATGGCGAAAACTTCGTGTCGAGCGAAACAAGCACCCCTCGAAGCAGATTTTGGGCCTTCGACTGCTCCCAAGGACTGTCACCTTCCTTTGCGATGCTGTCCTTAGCTGTTTGCAAGACATACTTGACAAGAGGCACAGCTCGACGAGGGTCGCGTTGGTGAAGCATGTATTCGACACACATCTGCCAGGCGGGCTGACTGTCCGGTGTGGCCTCCTTGAAGATGCGAGGAAGCAAGCCACCTAGCCACTTCCAGAGCCTGTCTTGAACTGGGAGCGGCCAATGCTTGGCACCCCGCACGACACCGCTGATGATCTCCGCAGCTGCACGATGTTTATGTCGATCACGCTCCTGGATGTACGCTTCAGTCTGCGTCTGCACATATTCGAGCATTACATGGCCATACACCTAGGCAGCAATGATGGAACAGTCGTCAGTGTCTCGTCCAGAATCTATATCAACAATATCCTCCCCCTCACCTGGAAGATCGACTTGATAAAGTTAATCGTCTCGGCGCCCTGCAAGCAGAACACAAGCTAAAGAGTCAGTGCCTTCGCCTGGAAACATGGAGAGCAGTGCCACCACTCACAATGAAGTCGCGATCCTTCTCCTGCGACAGATGCTCAAATAACTTCTTCCACCAAGTTTCCTGGGACATGACCTCGCGAGCCGCAGTCACTGCAGCGGCCGAAGTCGGGTCCCAGTCGAACGCAGTATCTGTGCCTTCACTCGGTAAGGCGTAGTAAGCGGCGCTGTCGGACCAGACGAGCCACCCTTGAGAAGTCTTGTCTCGCAGCTTTGAGTCGACAGAAAGTTCGCTGGCAAAGTCGGCGAAGTACGCGTCCGTGAGACCTTGCCCGACAGGTGACGGCAGCTGCTCCACACGCTTCAAGGGGTTGCTTGTGCGCATGAGAACAAGGTCTTCCTCTGTCTTGCACATCGTTCTGAGCTTGAGCAGATACAGCACCTTGACGAGACCGATTTGTGCACTTCTACGCATTTGAGGATTGTCCGAGTTTATTTGTTCCGCAAAGTATCGTGCGAGGTCGGGTGACAGGGGCTTGTCGCGGCGAACTAGAACGCGAAGCAGTTTTGCTGCGTACAAGGCAAAGGCCCAGTGCGTCTCCTTGGCTTGCGCAATTTCCAAGACCTGAATGGCAAGATCCGTGTGAAGCTGATCAACCAACCGAATGCGCTGCTGGCGGAACGCTTCCACTTTTTGGAGCAAGACGGTGTCCGACTGCCGGTGCTGCTCTGATAACCCGCCTTCCAAGAAGGACGCGGCTTCGAGAAGAGGCTCGGGTGTCGCGAGCCTCGCCTTTGATGTGGAGGGCTCAGCGAAGCGCACAACAAAGTCTCCCAATATGCCTCGAACGAGTTTCTGGATTGACGGTTTGGAATGGTGCTGCGCTGCAAGCAACCCCGTGACGTAGCGGAGGCTGAAACGCGCGTCGAGGATGGCCATGTTGGAATAGCCTTTCGAGCCGAGCACGTAGAGCGCGCCTTTCATTCTGTCATCCGAAACGCCAGGCTTGATGGCCTCGAATAACTTGGGGAACGACAGTGCCTTTGTACCGTCAAAGTGCGACGTGATGCTCTCGAGTGAATTCTGAGCCGTCTTGCGGATGCCCACGTAATTCGACAGACACATCTCGAGCACGAAGCTGATCAATTCATCGTCGAGCTGTGTCCTGCGTCGGTGGAAGCTGTTGAGGCGGCTGCGGGAGGTATTGTAAAATGCAGCCCTGCGGATCCAAAAGACGCGCGGGAAGTGCTTCTGCTTGGCATACAGCTTGGTCATGTTCCGGTAGAAGCTGAGTTGGTGCGAATTGGCCGCGTCATCGTCGGAGCTGAAGGCATATTGCGTCATGAATGATCGAATGGAACGCAGCAACAGCTTGACACAGTCGATCTGATCCTCTGCGTCGCTTTGCTGCGTTGTCTGTGCCGCGAGGAGGAGCGTGTTGCCGAAGCGCTGACGGAAAGAAAGTGCTTTCTGGTAGCGCAGGTCATCCGGGTCCTTGAGCAGGAAGGTAGATTTAAATCGCGGCGGCGGGCGAATGAACTCTGGCTCCTCGATACCGGCATCGCTTGCCTCAGCTCCCCCTCCTGTCTCTGGCAACAGAATCAAATGCGGCACAGCCGAGTGAATCTGCTTCACGTAGGACAAGAGTCGGCAAAAGTCGGTCGACCAGTTCTTGTCACGCGGCTGGTTGCTTCGAAGCAGGTTGTCGACTTCATCGAGCAACGGCGTCGCAAAACGGTCGAAGAGCTCGAGCACCATGTCAATCTCGTCCTTGCTTGGGACGTGCCACGAGACTTTAGCTTCCTTAGCGGTGTACAACTTGCCCCAGTGGAGGTGCGAATTCGTCTGCATCTCGTCAGAGGCCCACTCATCTGCATTGACAAAGTGCGACTCGTTCGGGTAGTAGAAGCTAAGCACGACGACGATCTTGGCGACGAGGCGCGACGTGATGCTGTACGTCCTCTCGTTCTTGCAGCGCTCAACGAGCATGAGCATGAAGCGGATGAGCTCTTCCTTGTGCGCGAGCAGACGGGGCCCAGAGCCGCTGAGCGAATGAATGAGGATATGCAGATGCCAGTGCAGTGCTGTGTCAGCTGCAACCGCCTCAGTCGTCTTGGTCGTCCGGACAGCGCTGGCGCCATTATCGAGCTCGTACTGGATGGCAGACATACATTGTGGGAGCATACGCTTGAGCACCTTGCCGCTCGATGCACGTGCGAACGAGCCGATGAGCGCGCCGACGACGGAGACGCTATTGGCGGAGACGTTGCTGGCGCAGTGCTCGGCGACAATGTTGAAGCATGTGTCAAATAAATAAGGACTCAGGCTACCGCAGATGACGTCACACGCGCCGAGGACGGACGTGACAACCTGCTGCTCTGACTTGCCGCCTATGCGGCCGTTCTTGCCTTCCTCCGGCAATGCCTCGAAGAGCTGCAGGACACGACGGAAGAAGCCGACGGCCCACTCTTCGGCCGCGCTCGTGCTCATTTTGACGAGCTGATGCTGCGCCTCGTCAAAAGCCTTGTTCTCCTCGTCCGTGAAATCGAGCCGACGCTCCATCTCGGGATCGACGTCCATGATGGACGGTGGTTCGTGCTGCTGCTGCAATGAAATTCCTTCGTTGGAGGACAACTCAGGGCGGTTGAGGTCGTCGATCTTGAGCGATATGACGACCATGAGGTAGAAGACGGAAGTGGCGATCGTCTTGATCGGATCGTTCAGGTCGATGCCGGGGAGGCAGAGGTTCATAAGTGGGACGAGGTGCTTTGCCCCTTCCGGGTAAAGATGACGTGCGGTGATCGGGAAGCTCATCGTACCAAGGCTAGAGATGACCGACGTGGTGCGGTGCGTGGTCTCGAGCGCTTCCAAGCTGGGGACGGCCCGTGAGAGGATCTCGGGGACGATTAGATCCGGCTCGATGATGGCCATGCGCTTAAGCGCGAGCTGGCTGTTCGAGACGGTGAGCGGATCCTTGGCGAACATGCTCATGAGGCAGACGTGGCGGAGAATTTTGACGAAGGTGCGGCGGATGAGCTTGTTGATGCGCTTGCTCTTCGGAACGTTGCAGTCCGGCTTCTCTTCCTCCTTGATTCGCCGCAGGAACTCCCATGTAAGGTACTGGACGAGCGAGGAGAGCTGGATCTGCCAGGCACCCCAATTGGACGGGTGGAAGAAGCTCTCGGTCGCCTGAATGAAGCGCGCCAGGTGGTCGATCGCCTTGCTTCCAGCGAGGAAAGTCTGTACACCACCAGTCGTGTTCGCTTCCTTGGGCCCAAGACGAGGTGAGCGACCCTCCATCGGCGTGTTTGCAACCGTCGGCGTCGAACCTTCGCTTGCTGTGGCGCTACCCTCGGCTACCTGTTCTTCCTCGAGTAGATGCACCGGGCCGTCGGGGCTGATGCTAAATGCAATTATGGTCGCGAAGCTCTGAAGCCGGTCGCTGGGCTTCTTCATATTGAGAGTGGTTCCGCTCGCTGAGGCGTCTGACCCAGTGCGGGCGAGCGAGGACTGCGCCATAAGGGCCGAATTGGCAGCCTTGTTGGCCCCGACTGGGAGGCCCGCTGAGCGCAAGCACTTGGTCATGATCAGTGTGTACTGTGCGTCGGTGAAGATCCCCACATCGCGCCACAGGCTTCCAGGAGGTGGCGTGTCTGATGCGGTCGATTTGGACGGTATGGATGAACGTGATTCTCCGTTCACTGCGGAAGGTGATCCTGCAACATCGAGCGGCGCCATGCCCTCGTCTTCATCATCTGAATCTTCAGAGGATGACGGCGGAGGCAGCGATGAGATACCAGCTTCTCGTAGCCAATCTACCGGATCCGCATTCATTCCAGCTTGGTGCATGACCAGCTGCTCATCGCCTTGCTCTGGGTTGAGCACATGCATGTCCGCGAGCCTGGCGAGCAGGTCGAGCATCTGGTCGTCCCAAAGAGAGCTCTCGAAACTCTGCCAGAGGCGGAACATCATTTTGAGCCACACGTGCGGCTGACCGTGCGAGATGGGGAGGAAGTGGACGAGGAACGCCTGCGTGGCGATGACGCTGTCGAAACTGTTCCCGTCCATGCGCGGGAGAAAGGTGTGGAGCATCTCGCGCGTCGCGCGTGGGTGGAAGAAGCGCTGCGCACTCTCAGCGAGGTCGAGTAAGGTAGTACTGACGTTGGTAAGGCCTGTGCGACGCTGTTTTGGGAAGAGGTCCTTCTCAAGCAGGTCGTATAGAGGCCGCCATGGTAGGACGAGGTCGCGGATGTCGATGCGCTTCTTGCTCTCCACGAGTGTCATGCACATTTGCGCACAGAGCTCGACCAGGCGCGCGTCTAGGCCGGGCATGACAGAAAGGTGGTAGTAAAGGCGTGCTAGGCGTGCACGCATCACACGCTTCATTGGGTATTTGAGGGAAAGGAGGCATTGCAGCTTGTGGTTCCACTGTACTAGCCCAATGTCAAAGCTGCCCAAGTGTCCGGTGCGTCAGTAAATTAAGGTGATACACTTGCTCTCCTCACTCACTCTTTTGTTCTGACAACGTCGATTAGGCGCCTGGCAACAAATTCGAGACGGTCGTCAAATTCTTCGAGCGTCTCGCATGGGTAGGGCAGCGATTGCGGCCAATCTAGCATTTCCTTTCTCGGGTCCCTTGTGGTGTTGCCTTTGCTGCCTTCGGCTAGTTTTGATCGATTTGAAAATTTCCTTGCTGCTGCTGTTGCACTAGTCGATTTTCGTGCATGTTGTTGGTCCTGATCGAGCGCAGCATTCTCTTGGTCTTCCTCTTCGTCTTCGATGTCGACGAGTGGCTGACGAAGGGTATAAGGATTCGAATGGTGTGAACACTGGAGCCAGCGATTCCAAGCTCATGCACCCTCTACGGCATGGGCAGGGGGAAAGAAAAAGCGTCTACCCACCTCGTCTGGCGAGTCGATCTCAAGGATGTCTTCGAAGTCTTGCTCGTCCATTTTGAAAGCGCCCGGTTGGGTGGTTGTTTCGCTTTGGGAAGTGCTCTTTTCACTTGATTGCTTCTGCTGTCCGAGCTCACACGATGCGGCGTTGAGGTGCGAGCCAGACCGCTTTCTCTCCCTTGGCGTTCAAAGTCAGGATTGCCTAAAGAGAGAGAACCCAGGGTAGATGCACAAAACAGCGAAGCAACGTCGGGGGTGTCATCGCCGTCGCCGTCGCCGTCGTCACACTCTGTTCTCATGGACGCGTCATTCGGTGTCTTGAGCGTCGTCAGCCTGCTTACGTAATTGTCTAATAACCCTGCGCTAAAAGTAGGGTTATCTTTCTGCCAAGACGATTGTCAAGTTGCCCTTTTAATTATCGTCGCCGCAGTCGTCGCCCATGGTGGGGGATGGCTTTGTATAGCCGTGCCGAATGCCAAGGTCATCACCGTTGTGGTGGAGAAAGGAAAGATCAGAGAACGGAGCAGGAGCGCAGGCGGGCAGGCGCGCTGGCATGTGCTGACTGGTAACAGCTGGCCACAGCAGCACGATGACCTCCCCCTCCACTCTCCTCGACGCATTCGCCGGCTTCCGCGCCGAGCTTGACTCACACCACGACCGCAACGAGCGCCTCGTCCGTTTCAGCCGCGACGTGACTGCCGAGAGCAAGAAGCTCATCTTCCTTCTGCAGCGCTACAACCCATGCGCTGACGCTGTTCGACAGGGAGGAGATGCTGAAACGGCACAGAGTAGCAGCGGCACAGGACGGCTCGTCCACCCAGCCAACAGGAAAGTGCTCGAGCAGGCGGAGAACAAGGCAGATGAAATCACCCGTTTGATCATCAAGACTGCACAGCAGGAGCGCTTAGGGCCAGAGCATGCGCAACAAAGCGGCAGCAGCAGCAACGATGTCCAAACAACCAACGACTGGTTGCCGCCAGCTGTGCTGCATGTGGATCGCTACGAACGGGCATTTGGCCAGGGCTTGGAAGAATATGTGCGTCGTCTTTTAGCGTACCATGTTGGTACAAATTTGTGATAACTGACCTTTCTATCTCTACATATTGGTAGATCGAAGCAATTTCCTTCCTGCACTACCTTGAGCATGGTGCAATTCTTCCATACTCTGTCCTGCAAGAGCGCTTCCGAGACTTATCGTCGTCTGGCGCAGGCACAACACTGCTCATCCCACCACATCGCTACCTCCTCGGCCTCTGTGACCTATCCGGCGAGCTGATGCGCCACGCGACTAACGCCGTCGGGCTCGGCACCTCCTCCACGTCCGAACCCGGCTATGTACCGACGGCGCCAGACGCAGTCGTCGCCTCCGTCTTGTCGACCATCCGTGCACTATATGCTCACCTCGAAACCTTCACACCATACATCAGCCGCGGCGAGCTGAACAAGAAGCAAGCCGTCACCGATCAGAGCGCGCGGAAGATTGAGCAGCTACTGTACAGCATTAAGGTGCGCGAGCGCGAGTACGCCGGCGGCGACGCGGGCGCACGCAACGAGATGCTCCGCCGCGCGCTCCTTTCTGCGGCCGTGCCTTCGTCGGCAGCGGCGCCCTCAGCTGCTGATGACGCGGGGCGTGTTGGCGGAGGCAATAAGCGCCCACGCCAAGGCGGGCATTCAGGTCGCCGCGACGGCGGCGGCGAAGATGTGCACACCAACTTCGATAGCGATTGAACAATTCTCCCTTAGATACTACTGTAGCATATACTCACCTCCCCCTCATCAGCGTGCGCAAGCAGACCAGGTCTGTTGCCCACTTGCTTGCTGGGCAAAAGAGCGCTGACATTAGAGAGCCCAACAAGTTACCCGTTGCACGATGACAATCTACAGTACAGCACATCCGCAAAAGATTGGCACTTACACAACCGATTTAGAAGGCGCGGTGGCTGGGGCATTGCCAGTGCAGCTGCCGCTGCCGCCGCCGCCGCCGAGGACCCTGCGAAGCTTGTCGTACAGGTCCGAAGTGGGCGCCGCAACGCTGGCGACGCTGCTGCTGGTAGTGGAAGCTAGCGAGTTGCGTCTGTTGATCCTTGCCTCTGTCTTGGCAATAGCCTCAGCAGACGCCTTTGCGTCGAAGCAGGTGGGGCGTTCACCCTCGCCCTCAGTCTCCGAACCACAGCCAGAATTGACGGAGGAGGAAGAAGAAGAGTTCTTTGCGCGACGTGCGCTGATGGCGACAGAGAACGCCCGCGGAGAGACAGACGCACGTGGTGGGCTGATCCTGGCGAGTGCAGCCATAAGTGGGGTGTCACCGCTTCCGCCGATGTTGTCACTATCTTGAGAGTAGAGCGAGCCAGGCGACTTGACATTCACATTGTCGCTGGCGTCGCCGGTCTTTCCTTGACTTGTAGAAACTGAGATGCCCTCCGTGAAAGGATTCGGCAGGGCTGGCAGCTCTCGCGAGACTTTGCGCGCGTGGCTCGGTGGCAAGTGTGCTCCCGCCCCTGCCGCTGTTGCAGCATTCGCAAGCGACGGAAGACGGGTGAGCGCGTCCTCCGCTTTGCCCGTTGCACAAGAGCGCGGGAACAGGAAGAAGCCAGCTGCTGACGGAGAAGCGTTCAGCGGGATGTTGCGGACGGGTGGACCGGCGCGCATGTTGTACGCTTCGGCAGGTGTCGTTAAGGCAGGCAGCATCGATTCTTGCGGCAAGGGCTTCTGCTCGTGACCGTAGCCGTGGCTGAAGCCGCTGTAAGCGGAAGCACAACCAGAAGAGATCGATGTAGCTGTCGGCGAGGTGAACGTCAAGACAGGTGGATCAAAGTCTGCAGCATTGTAGATCGGCGGGTCTCGAGCGAGACTATCTTGCGCAGCCATGTGCTCGCCACCTTTCGAAGTGCGGCTGGTGCACGAACAGCCCGTCCTGTGGGAGCCAGAGGATGACAAAGTGCTGGATCGCGAGATACCAAAGTGGGTCGAGCAGGTGTGGAGCTTACGGTAGCGATTTTGCCGTCGAAGATTCTCTCCTTTGCCCGAAGGTGCCTGGTTGCCATAAGCCAGCACGGGTATGTCGTCGTGGAAGGGGTTCGTGTATCTGTCCTTGCTGCGACCCGAGAGAATGGGGCGCTGCGTGTAGGTGCCGCTGTACTTTTCCTCTGAGCCGCCGCTCTTGCTGTTGACAGAGTGGTGGCACGACTGTGATCGGGCGATGATGGCCTCGGAGAGGGAAGCACATGCGTTGTGGTAACGCTGCGACTCAGCAGAGCCAAAGACGCGCCTTGGTGGCACGCGTCCGTTTCTCTGCGCCTGCATCGCTGCTCCCCCCAAGCCGAAGCGCACATCCTCCGCCTTTTCGCGTGCTTCCTCCTCCTGGTCGCGAAGCTCGGATGCCTCCCTTGAAGCAGACTTACGACCTCTCTTGTACATCCACAGGGCGAGACCGGCGAGGGCCGCTGCGCCAGCGAGCGCGCATGGTACAGCGATGGCCGCCTTGGAGGTCCCACCGAGGGACTTGCTGTTGTCGACCCCGCTGCTGGACTCGCTTGCTTCGGGGCTGGATGACGCAGAGTTAGGCAGAATAGCATTCAGCGCCACTGCTGTCGTCGGGGAACCGAATGGCGCCAGCACGAAGGCGGGCGTCAAGATCGACGAGACGCCCGAAGAAGCGCCGTCGCGGCGACGGTGGTCCCTGCTGTTTATCTTCTGCTTCTTCTCGCGCTCCAAGGATGACCAGCGCCTGCTGCCGTAGCTATTGCTTCCATCACCGCTTCCACTGGTTGACCTGCCGTTGTTCCCAGACGATGCCGAGGAAGAGGATCCGTCGTCGCTCGAGGATGAGCCATCGCCATAGTAGCCACTAGATGAAGAGCTGCCGTCGCCGGAACCAGAGCCAGAGTCCGAATTGGAGTCAGAACTTGAGCTTGAGCCTGAGTCTGCGCTAGATCCCGCCTCGCTGTCACTGCTGTCGGCTTGCTTCTGTCCGTTGTTCTTCCAAGGGCCACTAGATTGAGACAGTGGGACGTTGTCGAGCATGATGAAGAAGCTGTTGGCAACTGTGACGTTTGGTGCGGAGCTATGAGAGAAGAAAAGGTAAACATGAGTACCCGAGCGAAGATCTTCGTCGGTCTATGCATCGAGCGCACTCACAACACGATCGAGTACGATGAACCGTGCAGATCGGTGTTGACATTCGGCGCTGTTGCTTTGCCACATGCGTCCTGGTCGAGCGTGCCGGCCATGGCTGCCTGCAGATCCGTCGGAGAGTTGAGTAGGCACAGTCGCATCTGTGCATCGCTGGCGTCTGTATTTTGGGTTGAAGAAGAGTGCCTGAGCAAGCGAAGAGACAAGAGCAGCATCAAAGACATGTCAGCTCGACGGCAACAGCAGTATGGAAAGAGCCAAGCTCACCAGGAGACGACGACATCCTGGCCACCTGCAAAGATCTGGCCGGGTGCGGGGCTGATCCAAAGGTTGGACGAGGCTCCAATGGCAGACGTAAAGTTGCTCCCGTTCACCGAGGCACCAGGCGCAGGTGTTGAATCCGAAGCGACATTCATCAAGTTCGGCAAGTCAGTCTGGACAGCAGCAGCCGCGGCGACGGCCTTGGAACTAGCACTGACGATGGCGGCAGCGTTCATCTGCTCTTTCTTGCTCGGCGTCGTTGCCCTTGTTGTCGCTACAGCCGCAGCCGCAGAGCCACCGTTAGCAGACGGCGCACCGTAGTCGGCGGGCAGGGCGCTCCCATCTTGCGCACCTGCTCTTCCACCTGCGGCACCGCCCTTTGCATTCACGAATGACGACGATGTAGGCACGACGGTAGCGGTCGTCCAGGCTTGCGTCGCGGTCCAAGTGGAAGTGCCACTGGACCAGGTGGCGAGCACTGGCATCGTAGTCGTGTATGTTGCTGCCGCTGCCGCTGCGACGGAGCCAGATGAAGAGGACGCACTGGACTCTTCAGCCTTGGTATGGTTCTTTGACGTGCTCTTAACTTTATCACTCGATGACGCCTTGGAAGCCGTGGCCTTGTTGGTCTTGTCCGCTGCGCTCTTGCTCTTGCTGCTGCTCGACTCGTCGCCTGAGCTGCCGCTTCCGCTTCCGCTACCACTGCCGGAGCCGGAACCAGAATCATCGTTGCTGTTGCCCTTCTTTTCGTTTTGGGCTTTGGTGTGACTCTTGGCGGAGGGGATCGGCGTCTTCTTCAGCTGCATTGAAGATGTACCGCTTCCTGAGCCACTGCTTGCATCGCTGTCACTGCCATGCTTGACAGAGGACGAAGCCTTCTTCTTGCTACTACTACTACTGCCGTCTGAGCTGTCGTCATTGGATGACCCATCACCATCCTTTGACGAAGCCGACGACTTTCTTCTCCTGCTACTGCTACTGCTGCCGCTTCCACTTCCCTCCTGGCTATGTTTCTTACTGGCACCGTCCCCAGAGCCGGAATCACTATCTGATTCGCTGGACGAGGCGCGTCGCATCTCGGGCTCGTTGGCTCGCAGGAGCCAGTTGGTCCTACGCAATGGTGCGCGCGTAGAAATGCTCTGCCCCAGGACGCGGCTCGATTGCTGCGGACTGAGCCTGATAGCGCTTTCTATTTGCCCTGCTGCTGCTGCTTCTGCGGACGCAGGTTCCACTGGTACGACGGTGTACGCTGCGGGAATCGCTTGTGTGGCACGGTCCTGCTCATCACCAACGAGCGCGCGCGAAACGAGAAGTTGCAAGTTCTGCACCGCCCTCGCTGCGAGCGGACGGCGGCCCAACGGCGCACCATCGCGTCGATTGGCCGCTGCTGCCATTGCGGCTGCTGCAGGATCTCGCTCAGCTTGGCGTCGTTGCTGGTGCATTGAGGACGAGACGGCAGCGTAGTTGTCCTGGTGGTAGCCGAGGAGCTGCTCAAACGATGAATGAGTCTGGCCTTGCTGTGTCGCTTCCAATGGCGTTGTCGCCTGTGCGTCCATGTCGTTCTCACCAATGCCGTCGCTGTCGCTATCGCTCGAGACGGTCACGATTACGGGCTGGGGAGATGTCTCCTGCCTGACAGCATGATTGACGATCTCGTCATCGATGATGACGCCTTGCTCTGCCTGCTCTTGCGTTTGGGCTTTCGCTTTCGCCCTAGAGTACACACGTGCTGCCGGTGATGACGACGAGGATGCATTATTGGGTTCAGAGCGCGAAATGATGGACCACCAGCTTGCCTGTCTCGTGGTAAATGACGGGGCAGCACTGCGCTGGTGGAGCCCTGCATAACCCTCTGCCTCTTCCTCATGCTGCACCCGAGCCTTGCCCGTACCGGCGCTTGCAACGAGCGCGGACGGTGAGGAGGCCGGGGAGGCCGCTGCACCTGAGGCGGAGAGTGCAGCTGCGCTCGCCAGCAGCGCGTAAAGAGCTAAGGTAGACGAGTGTCTGTGGGCCTGGCATGGTTGTAAGTTGTCGACGTTGCTAGAATTGCTCATGGTAGACCGTCGTCGCCGACGGTATCTCGAGTGCTGATGTGAAGCTGTCGATGTCTGGGGTGCGATTGACGTTGAAGGAGCGAGCATGTTGTCGCTCGTTCCCATTTTCCTTTTTTCTGTGTCAGTATGATGTCCTCCTGGGAATCGGGGCCGTGTCGCTGATTGTGAATGAAGACCGCGCTGCGGTCGAGGAACGAACGTACAGAAACCTCACGGAGGCTTGGTGGTATAGAGAATGAGTGTAGGTCAGGCGCTCGAGGAGAGCAAGTCGAACGTGGAAAGGGGAATGAGAGAGGAAAGTGGAGGGACCAATGCGACGTGTGGGAGACCTGCCCTCTTGTCGTGGTCGAGGGGGAGGCGCTGCCTTTCAAAGGTCAGGAAGAAGGGGAAAGGGTGATGCGAGGAGGAGACCAAGATGCAGAGAAGGTGAGAAGAGAACGAAAAGGAAGGAGAGCAAAGGACAGGGCATGAGGGTAGGACGACGAGGTGTTGATGCTAGTGGTCAGACTGCACGCAGAGGATCCGGGATGCGGGAGTGAGCGTGGGCACAGACGGGGTGTCGAAACCAGTGCCAACCAGCAGCAGGCTCAAAGTCGACGGCTTGCGGAGGGATGGGGCGAAACAGCTGCGTTGATGTTCTCTGTCCGGCCAGCAGATTGCACACTGGCATCAGATAGCTCAGAAATCGAAGTCAGCGGGCAACAAGCGGGCGGGTGAGCGAGCTCAACATGTCTGTGCGGTACAAGTTGTCTAGCAGTGTGCCACTGCAGCGGGTTGCACCTGGCTCGGCACTGTCCCGAACTGCGTGCGTGATGCGGGAGCAGGGTGCTGCATCTCAAATCTTGTTTTGGCCATGGCCATGGCACTTCCGGGCACTGCCAGGGAGCGCATTGTGTCTGGATGATGTCCCAACGGCCGAGGCGTGAGCAAGAGATGAAGGTGGAGTATGAACGGAAACCAGAGAGTGTGATGGAGAGGAACCACAGGGGGCCGAAGTAGATTCTACTCGCAACATCCCCAGCGTCTCACTCCGTGCCACCAGAGCTCTGCCCATTTCCTGTCCAAGCGACGGTGGTGGCCTTGGTATATCGCTCGTTGTGCGCCTCGCAATGGCAGAAGGCAAGCACTCTCAACCTTCTCTAGGCATCTCTACATACAAATCCTCTGCTGATCGACAAGGAGCGAGTATCACTCGAAACTCGAAAGCTCGAGAAAAGGTGTTCTTTTCGCAGGATGGTAAAGCTGATTCTCTCGGCCGAGAACGAATGAAGAGCTGTGCGCGTCAGAGTTATCGAAGGGCTATGCAAATGCTGTGCCACTTCCAAGCCGATCCGCATGAGGGCGGTGCTCCTTTATTAGGGACATTGATATCAAGGCAGCATGCATGCAGCTCCGCTCGTAGCGCTCTCACCGGCGCCAAGGATTCGGATTGGGCAGCTCATGTATTGTATGGGAGATAAAATCGTTCGGGCGTGTATTGATTCGCATGTACTACTAACCTGAGCAGAGCAACAGTGGAGGCCTGCTGAGGCGAGTCTCGGGTTGCATGGTCACACTGCCGATGAACGGCATTTTTGCAGCATTCGGTATTCGATTAGGGCACCCTCTCAAGGCCATATACATTGTGCCTGAATTCAGCGTTCTGGACGAGAGATGCGATGCATGTGATTCCCATGCTGTAGTCTGGGTGGACGTCAAAGCGGCTCCGGCATCCATTGATGTGAGTGTTCGTTTGCCCGTCCAATTGCAGTCGGTGCCTTTCGTTGTTATAAGATGCGATGTCCGAGGACGCCCCTGCTTGTCTATCGTCTATGTCATCCATCACACGTTCACACTTCCCTCCCCACTAGTGTTGTTGGGAAGTCTGGGGCAGGCATCGTTGCATCCCATTACGTACAGCCTTCAACAGAATCCAGTCAATCCGCTCTTGTCACGGAGGGCATCCTCCTTGAGATTCGGGCGCACCTGCCCTCTCATCTGTCAACCACACGTTTACCTTGCCCTTGACTCCGACTTGAAAGCGTCGCTTTCCCCTTCCTGCAAGCGCCTCGAAAATGTCCTACTACCAAGGCGCCAACAGCAGCGCCTACGACCACAACCGGACCTACGAGCCCTACTCGCACGTGAGATCCGACTCGAACACAAGCATCTTGGCTCCCTACGGTCACGGCTACGAAAAAGAGTGTGGCCAGCCGCCGTCATACTACCGTGATCACAACCATGACGGCGATGACTCGCTTTACGAGGACGGCCAGAGCCACAGTCGGATCCACAGCAGTACAGCGGCAGCTCCGCCGCCGGTGCCTTCGAAAAGCGATGCAGGGAGCCAGCAAGCCCCTGGCGTCGCCGGAGGGTTGTCCCTGATGCGAAGTGACACGCTCCGTCCAGCCGATTCGATCAGCCAATATCAGTACGACATGGAACAGGCGCATGGAGGAGACGATGTACCATCCATTCCGCAACCGTACCACCATCACCAAGCACAAACCAGCATCGACAGCTCCGGGTATCCGCCCCTGCAAAGACAAGGGCACATGCACAACCGCCAGGAATCCTCTGCAAGCTACTACGATGACCATGCTTCTTCGGGGCAAGGCTATGCTAAGAACTACGGACACGCCGGCTACGAAGCCTCTAATCCTACGTTGCCGCTGCGAGGCCATGGGGGGAGCATGGGCTACGCCGACGACGAAGAAGACGAGAGAAAGCAGCTCTCGCGAGGGCCGCAAGAACCCATCCTATTCTCCAACATGGCAGCAGCAAACGGCAACGAAGGCACAACGGGCAATGATCGGCTACATGGGGATCCGAATGACCGCAGATACTACGACTATGGAGATGCAGGCGCGAGCGCAGGGGCATACGGCAAGAACAGCGGGGGCAGAGGCTTCCCATTCAGCGGCAGTAACCTGCTCGGTATCAACTCGTACGACACCGGCGCCGGGGCGGCGGGACCGTTTGGCTATCCGAAAGGCTCTCTGCAAGAAGCGATCGAGAAGCGGCGGCGGGGGATCGGGCGGCAGCGCTTTGCGCCGGTCAGTTACCTGTTTGGCCTGGCTTACCTCGGTGCATTCGTCAGTGAGCTGATCAAGAGCAGTCAAGTGACCGGCTCGGCGATCCAGACGCATCCGACTTTCAACCCGTGGATCGGGCCCTCGCCCGAGTTCCTTATCAGCTTTGGCGCGCGCTTTGTCCCCTGCATGCGCAGCATCCCGGCCGTGGACCCCAGCACGGCCAAGCTTCCCTGCTTGCAGTACGCCAATGCGGACAATGGAGGCGTCTACATGGCCAACCAACTCTGCACGCTCGCGGACCTGTGTGGCTTGGCGGATCCCACCAAGCCGAATCAGCAGTGGAGGCTCGTCGTGCCTATTGTGAGTCAACAGGTACTTGACAGGTTCTGATCGTGCTCATGAGACTGACCAACGCTCGCGCCGCTCAACTCCTCCAGTTCCTACACGGCGGCGTCGTCCATATCCTCTTCAACATGCTCGCGCAGATTTTTCTTTGCACCGACACCGAAAAACTGCTCGGATCGGTCTACTACACTATCGTCTACGTCCTCGGCGGCATCGGCGGCAACCTTCTCGGCGCCAGCTTTGGCCTCACAGGATTGCCAGCCGTCGGAGCGAGTGGCAGCATCTTTTCGTGCATCGCGGTCGAAATTACGGATCTGATCTACAATTGGAAATATGTGAGTGCCTCTTCTTCCTTCACCTGTGGCACTGCACTGTGTCTGGCATGCTGCACTCACACTAAAGGCCACGTGAGCAGGTGTAGCTGACATTGCGCGCACAATGCTTTGTACGTCACAGGAAATGAGGGCAAAGCTTCGTTTGACCGTCGCAATATTCTTCACCGTTTTCTCACTCGGTCTAGGGCTTCTGCCATACAGCGATAACTTTAGCCACATCGGGGGTGCAGCTGTTGGTGAGTGAATCGCGGGCGGCTATGCAACTGCTTCTGTGTGTTCTCGCACCGAATGGCCCTTCTGTCATCCTGAGGCTGACGCTCACACTTTCTGTTCGTAGGTCTTCTTGGCGGCTTCATCTTTGGCCCCAGCATACACTCCACTCGGGCGCACCGTGGCATCATCTGGGGCATCCGAATCGTTTGCCTTGGTCTTTTGATCGGCTTCATCGTCGGCCTCGTCCTCAATTTCGAAAGCAGCAGCGACCCTACCAAAGCATGCACTTGGTGCCGATACCTTTCCTGCTGTGCGTACGCTTTTCTGCCTTCATACCTCTTGCATGCTTGCTAGCGAACTCCAATGCTGACTTGGACGCCGTGTGCTTCATGCCATCCTTTCGCCCGCTCGACAGTGCCCACATTCAGTCAGTGCAAAGACCCGCTCAACGGAATCCAGACAGGGTCTACAACCAGCTCCAGCTCCGGTAGTAGCAACCATTAGCAGCATTGCGCCGAGCGCTTCCGGCACAAACGCTTACAACTCCGACGATAGCTCGTAGAACGGTTCGCATACCAGACAAACTCACCCACCCCATCAATGCTCTCAATGGATTTTTTTTCTCACCACCAGCATTGCACGCGCAATTTGCTCACAACGGCCTGTATCGCAAACCCGCGAACACTCCTCGTTCGATCGTGCCGGTCGCTTTACAGCCCCCAGGTGGACGCCGGGTATGTACTTTAGACAGCACAATCGCACCACAAAGGACACTTTCCCCAACAGCAGCTTTGAGAGCGGTCCGCGCGGCGTGAGCAGTGCGAAGTTCTCCGAAGGGATTGGTGGCTGTGCGAAAGGAAGGGGGGATGGGGGCGTGCAAAGTCGGATATCTGTTACGTTGGCATGCCATGTCGGTGTCAAATGCAGCGGCAGGAGCGAGTAGATGTTACACAGGTTCGTACATTCAATAAAGTACAATACACATCTACAATGACTAGAGATCCTCCTTCTCCACGCGCATATTCTAAGCAATGATCTTGCGGACAGTGCGCCGCTCGCGGTCGCCTGCGCACTTCAAGATGCCCTCGGACTCGAGCGTCCTGACAAGGGTATACAGCTCGGACGGGTCGATAGGGACAGTGCTTTGCTCGTTGAGCGCCTTTGCGATCTCGTTGTAGCGCACCGCTCGCGCGGCAGGCGCAGAGCCCTGGTGCGTCTGGTTACGACCGGTGCCGCCCATGGTGTCGAGGAGCTGGAGGAACTCGCGGCGCAGATCGCCGGCGAGCTTGCGCTGGTGCAAGCCTGCGCCCGTGTTGATGAGGTCCAGGTCGATGAGGCCCGTGACGGGGTCGGTCGCGCTCGACTTGGCCGCCTCGCGGATTAGGCGCGCGGCCTCCTCGACGTCGGCGGTGGTGACTTCGGTGGAGAAGCGCATGCGGGCATGCGCCTCGGAGAGGCGGATCATGCTCTCGAGCTGGCGTGTCGTGGCGGTGATGCGGCGCTCGGAGCTGCGGGGGTCCTCGCCTGCGCGGCGCAGCTCGACATACTCCTGCGCGAGTGCGTCGGCTGCCTCAGCGGTGAGGAGGGGCGAGATGTTGTTGCGGGCGTAGGAGATGTAGCTCGTCAGCATCTCGATTGAGAGCAGCTCCTTGGTAGAGCTGCTGGGCCGGTCTTCGAGATAGAGGCTGACCAAGTGGCGCGCCAGCCGGCGGTCGGACGCCTCGTCGATCTTGTCAAGGACAAGGTAAACGAGATCGAACCTGCTGATTAGCGTCGGAGGGAGATCGATGTTCTTGGTGATCGGGAGCTTGATGTTGTACTTGGACCCTATCGGGTTTGCCGCCGCGAGGACGGAGGTGCGTGCATTCAGGGTGGTTATGATGCCCGCCTTTGCGATCGAGACGGTTTGTTGTTCCTGCAGCAACAGCAGCACAGATTTGGAAGGTCAGCGTGTGCACATGGACATTCCGCTCGCTTGGTGCGCCTGCCGACGTACCATGACTTCGTGCAGCACGCTACGCGTGGCGTCGGCCATCTTGTCAAACTCGTCGATGCAGCAAACACCCCCGTCGGACAGCACCAGAGCGCCGCTGCGAACGAGAAGGAGGAGCGAAATGTCGCGAAAAGCTGTCAGCTGGGACGATCAGGTACGCAGAGGGGAGGCGGTGAGCGGATGGCAGGATACAACAACGCACCTCTCAAGGACCAGCTGCTTGGTGTCCGGGTCGCGGGTGACGTACGCGGTCAAGCCGACGGCGCTGGAGCCCTTGCCGCTGGCGTAGACGCCGCGCGGCGCGATGCGGTGGACGTATTTGAGGATCTGGGACTTGCTCGTGCCGGGGTCGCCAACCATGAGAACGTTGATGTCACCACGGTAGCGGGGGCCGCCTTGGCCACCGCCGGTGTGGATGGACTTGTTGGTGCCGCCGAAGAGCTGGAGGAGGATGCCCTTCTTGACGTCATCCATCTCGTAGATGCTCGGCGCGAGTGAGCGCGAGAGCAGCTCGTACGCGTCTGGGCGGCTGGCCACCTCGTACATCTTGGCGACCAGTTCGTGCTGCGTGGCATTGTTGGCGGCGGTGTCTGCTGCGCCGTGAAGGGGCGTATCGGCGTCACGCACCCCCTCCTCCTCCTCCTCACCGCCGACGCCGACGGCCTGGCTGCTGTGGCTGTGGCGCGCCTCATCGCGGTCCCTGGTGCTCGCGTCGATGCCCATGCGCTTCGTGTCGCCGCGCCTGATGTGCACGACATCGAGGAAGGTCTTGAAGAGGGACTTTTGCGTGCGCGCGCGCGGGTGGATACGCGTTGGCTCAGAGCGGAAGATGCCGGTAATCGCGACGCGATCGCCGGGCTTGGCGACGTCGACCAGCTCGTCGTACACGCACAGGCTGACCGTGTGCGGCGTCTGGCCATCGGGGACGACGTCGGGCGTCTCCTGCAGGCGGACCACCTGGCGGTCGCTAAAGTCGGAACGGTTGTGGATGAGGTTCATCGTGCCGAGCTGGTTGCACACCTCGCGCGGGCAGCGGTCCGGCTCGGCGATCCTGTTGCGGTCAATGTCGACGGTGACCGTATGGCTGCAGACGAGGCAGCGGAAGAATGCCTGCTTCATCTGCGGCACGATCGGCGTCGCGCGGATGACCAGACCGCGGATTGTGACGAGCTTGTCAATGTCTGCGTGGGGGAGAGTAAAGCAAATGTCAACACGTGTCGTAGACCCGCGCAGCGGCCCGCCGTCGCGTGAGACGTACCGCTCGGATTGAGGTCGCGCATGTTGGTATTGTCGAGGCCGAATGGGCGGACCTTGTAGAGGTTGCCCTCGATGACTTCGATCTCGGCCTTGCCGGCCTCGCCCTCCATGCCGTGAACATGGTTTCTGTTGTCTTCCTCGGCGAGCCCGATCATCTCGTCCTTGAGGACCTGGTCCATGATCGGGATCACCTCCTGCGGGTACTTATGTAGGAGCGCGGCGAGCTTCTTACTCGGCGCAAAAGCGGCGAGATCGTCGACGCGCAGGTTGAGGTTGACCTGGTCGGTCTGGCGCATGACACGGAGGTACTCTTCGTAGAGCAGCTTCTCGCCTGCCTGTGCGCTGTGGTCGAGCCCCTGCAGGCCAGATGTGGCAGCAGCAGCAGATGCGCCATCCTTGCCAGCGGCGTTGTTCTTGCGCTCGTGCACCCACCGATACTTGAGGCGGAAGCTGCGGAGGAAGGAGCGGAAGGAGGTCATGGTGTCGTTGATGCTGACGTGAGTGCCCCAGATGACCTTGGTGGGCAGGTCCGCCGCGCTGCTGCCCAGTTCATCCGTGTTGCCCGCCTGACTTAGCGAGGGGACGTCATTGTGCGTTGTGCGCTGACGGTGACTGCCCAGGTCGGAAAAGTCAAAGTTGAGCTCCGAGCCGAGATTGGACGCGGTGCCGGCGCCAGCGGCGGCGGCGAAGGCAGGGTCGCGTCGGCGCTGGGCGAGCGGCGAAGAGGCGAGGGCGGTGCCGTTCTGCAACTCGCCGCGAAAGACACGCCGGGGAGTGTTGGAGGCCTGCGTTGAGGAAGGGAAGAAGAGCGGCTCGTCGTCGCCGGCATTTC